TACCAATGAATGTTTCTTTTTTATGTGCATTTGTTTCGCATTTGAATAACAGAATCATCGAACAAAAATATTTATTAAGGCTGAACACGATAAAAAAAAAAAACTTTTTAGGTAAAAATAAAAAAAAAGATCTAAACTTTTTAATGAATAAAAAAAATCAAGCTGTTTTTGTCCTATAGTTTGGCGGGGATTACATCGATAAAGCGATAATTAAGCAGTGCCTTACATTCACAGTAATTATTTGTTGTTGTTGTTGTTTTTTTTATTATCAGTGATGGGACGAATTGATCAATCGGCTGTCGTGTGGAGAATAGTGGGCAGCAGACGGGCTGAGCAAAACTTGGAGGCGCCTCCAGATGACCGACACTTTCGACTGCTCTTCGCAGCTTGTATCGCAAACAAAGCACGTAAACCACCTGACCTCGATCGTGCAGCTGGAAACACTTAGAGTTCTATTCACACTACTGAAACTAAAGCTGAAAAAAAAAAAAAAAGTGCAGAGAGAAACTTGCTATTCTGACTGAGTTCATCAATGTCGCCGTCTGCATGTAAATTTCGCGAAAAAAAAAAGGAAAAGGGGGGGGGGGGGGGGGAGAGAGAGAGAGAGATTTTAGCGCGATCAGCAGGCGTTCGCCAGGCTGAAAACGAAATTGAATGAGCTCTCTTTCTCTTCATGTCGCTGTTTCTTTCTTTCTTTCTCGGCTAGATAATACCCAAGTTCAACAATGGGACGAGTTTAGGACTCTGGCCACCTTATCTCAGCGCGTAATTCACCTTGAAAACTACATAGTCTTACAACAATAAAATAGCCTCGGTCAATTATGTCCAGACTCCAGCGAGAGAAGCCACGGCAGGCACTCCGAACACGACTATCCAAAGGGGCACTAGAATAGTGCCACCTGACTTGGGATCGGGCGGGCATAACAGTCCTCCACAGTCGATTCAAACCGGTGAAAATCAGTTCGTCGAACGACGTTTCATCGACATGCGATATGTTTCATTGCCAGGTCGTTTCGTCGAAAGGCTTCCTGCGTTCGCTTCATCGACAGACGTTGCGAGGTTTTTGCCGAACACAACTTGATGTTTTAGCAACAAATCTTCTGCGACTCGTTTGGTTTACGGCGGAAGAGAGAGAGGAGGAAAGGAGGAGGGTCTAGGTTTGGGCTAGTAAAGTATTTGGCTTGGGTAAACCCGCTTCAGTGAATCATGCGCTAACTTTTAACCTTAAAAAAAAAAAAAAAAAAGTTGTTGAAGAAACGTTGCATTCTAAAGCTGATAAAGCGTAAAAAAAAAGATTGAAATTTGTATTTATTATTATCAATGACTTATTGCAGATAGATAAAACAGCTTACTTAGTTCCTGACAAATCGAGAATGTCAGTCACTTGAAGTTTATTCTTCCTATACTGCATCCCTCAAAATGTGAAATAGATTTTTTTTTTCATTGTGTGTATTGTTTTTCGTCAACGCATTCTAGCCCGCAACGGATCTAATCTTTATTTGTTATTGTCGAAGCATTTTTTTTGTATAGTTATTTAGTGATATCTTTTATAGTACCTTCTCAAGCGTGTGCTGCTCTTGTTCTTGCTGTTTTCTTTGTACACTTGTATACCCATTCTACCATAGTCTCAAGCAGAGACTGATAGTATTTTTGAAATAAACAAAAAAGCTTCTACAAAATGTACAGTGCCGACGAACCGTATGGTCCAAGAAACGTGTATCCACGACAAGTTGTCCACGAAACATGTTTTAACGAAACTTGTTGCGACGAAATGATAGAAACCAATTCGAACCGATGCTGTTGAAGTAACAGCTTGAACAACATAACGACTGTGTGTCGTTGTTACAGCGGGTTCAGAAATTGCAACACTCCATGTCTTTTTTTTTTTCTTTTTTTCGGGAAGTAAAAATATCAGTTATAAGAGTACACCACCGTTCTCAATGAAATCAGGCGGAAGTTACTGAGCCAATTACGTATTCTCAAAGCGTATCCTACAACCTCAGAGAACTAAGAGTCACTACGTGAAAAGCAAAGCTCGCAGTACCATTGCAGCAACGTCAATGACTGAAATGGCTCACTTCAAACGTTTTATATTGAGATAAAAAAAAAATCATTGGGTAAATTCTCGAGAACGTTGGGATCGTTATCTCCTCGCACCGAAACGACACCGTGCGTCCAAAATGCGAAGCTGTCCAGCGAGGGGCAATGCAACAACTCGAGCCACTGACTCAAACCCTTCCGCCGCCTGGCGGTCGAAGCACGAAGCTGCAGAGCGAGGATCCGAAAAAAAAGCGCACGCTCTTGGACACTCGACAAGGCGTCGGTCGTCTCTTCTCCACCCTAACAACAACAATCGCGGACAAGAACTCTTTCCGTAGCTTTCGCTGCTGTTATCCCTTGCGTTCTCTCCCTCGTCAGCGCGGCGTCAGGAACGGGCAGAAGCGGAAATGGTTACGAACAGCGAGGACAAAGCACAGCGCCGCCGCAATTTGCAGCAGACACAACTGGAAGCGTGCGCGTACACGGCGCTCCCATCCGCACACTTTCCTTGACCGCCTTCGAGATTGTCCTTGGACAGCGCGGCGTAAACGACGGCAGCGGCGGAGTCTCCGTGTCTCCAACGGCACACTCCCGTCTCCGCCGAAGAAACCTTTCCTCCGCGCCCCCCACTGCTAAGCCAGGGTTGACGTCAGCGCCGACTCGATGCCTGTCTGGACATGTGGCGGCGGCCCGCGCTTCGTCCGCTCCTCCCGAAGGCGTCGTTCTTTGTTTTGTTGCCACGTGCCTTCCCAGTGGGAATCGCGCGTTCCGTGTCAATGTGAACGTCTTTTTGCGATTACGACGATCTAGTACAAGGTCTTTTCGGAGGCGACAGAGATGGACAGATTGAAGCGACGGCCCATGTCGTGGTCCAGTCGTGACCACCACTACCGCAGCTTTGGAAAAGAATACGCCGTCAGCGCGCTCTTGATCTTTATGCGTGTGCTTAAAGCGGTGTTCTATTGTGTGTTTTTTTTTTTAATGGTTTAATGGCGCAGCGGCCTTTCTTCCGTGTTTGTGTTTACGATTATGATGCAATGTTACATCGGCAGACAAAATGCTTCGGGTACGACGGATGGATTCACGAAGAGTTGGATCAGACCAGTGAGACACCCGATTTTGCAGATTGCGTCAACGGTGACATAAAAAAAAAGGCAATGACATCCTAAATTTATTTTTGAAAAATGGAAGGTAATTTGACTTTTTAAATTTAATTTCATCAAGGATTTTTTTTTTCCTGGAAATCTCACGAATGTTATGACTGCCCCGTCACGATGTAGCCGATTTTGTCGGAAGGCAACGGGACGGAATAATAGCGCAACATTGCCCTTTCTTTCGCCTCAAAGCGTTTTGTTTCCTCGATCCTTTTTTTTTTTTTTTTTTTCTTGTAAGTTTTATTTTTGAACTCGTCTATAGTCCACGCAGTTAAAAAACCAAACGTGCTTCTCGTAAATCCTGTGAACGAGGCATCGCAAACTGTGCTGTCCGCGATGAAACGTCGCGCAGAACTTTCTGAGACGGATTCCTGAAGTCCATAACAAATCGTACATTCCGATAACCCACTGACTGAAAAGACGTCACTCACCAACTAACAAAGAGTGCATAATCCTCGGAGTGGTTGGCAGGGCACAAAAACGAACAAAGTTTGAGTCCTTTGGGGGACATGCAGTCTCGGGTGCGTGATAAGCTTGAGGTATATACCGTCCTAAGTTATCATTTTCCACGCGTTTTCGCCCCCCATAGGGCTCAAGGACAGACTTGCGCGAGCATGTTTGAGCATACAGGTGATCCAGACTTGTTTAGTAGACTAGAGACACTACGCAGCTGTAGTAATATCGGTGCTTAAAATCATCGTTGCAGTTATCTGAAATCGCATAAAGATTTTCTGTCCCTTAGGAATGTCAAAGCAGCGCGCGACAATGCGAAGTGATATCGTCCAAGCTTCCCGACGCCTTATCTGAAACTGACCAAGTCGCATTTTCGGAGACTAGAACGATATGCACAGAGTACCAAAATGGTGGCTCCCACAAGAAAATCGGCTAACAAGAGCCGATACCTCCCTTCGCATACTTTATTTAGTCAGATTGTCTCGAGTTTCAGCTAGTGAAATGCCAATACTCTATCGGCTTTACAACAGCTCCCCCCCCCCCCCCCCCCTTCCCCCCCGAATAACTATAACAATTCACCATTAAAAAAATATAACTGATATAACTCTTTGCAGTCTTTGCTGACGTTCATCGACAACCATATCAAATAAAATGTGTCTTGCCTGCTGTGCTGTGCCAATGAACTGGGTCAACTAGGATCATGACCGGCTCTTTGTCAATGAACACTAAACCATTGCCTCCCTGAAGCTATGACTAAACTACATGAGCATGCTGACTTAAATGCGAGGAAAATATGTCGACTACATGGAAAGAAAACGCCCTAGTGTAAATAAGTTCCTTTAGTCGACCTAAATAGAAGGTGATTATTAATTTAATTTTAATATATTTATATATCTGCTCGTTAGGCTTAAGAACACGAAACACAAAGGCTTTGCGGACACGCCCAACGCGGCGGACGAACTAAAACAGTGGACACCCTGAAGCGCAAGTAAAATCCAGGCAATAAAATAAATAAAATATTTCCCCAACTAGAAAGGTAAAAAAAAAAAAAAAAGAAACTGCCACTCTCAAAAGCGCGCCAAAACGAACGGTCGCCATCAAAGGGCGCGGGCTTTTGAAAAACGGCCACTAAGCTAAGCCTAACGATCGAAACATCAAAACGGATTCGCGAGATTCAGTCTGCTGCCGAGTGATGACAACACGACGCGGCGACCGAGCTAAAGCCAACAAGATGGCAACATACCACCAGGGTCAACCAAAACGAAGAGCGTGCCAGAAAGAGCGCCCTGGAACAGAGCCAGGGTCAACGCAAACAGGACGGGACGGCGAGAGCAAAGCGAGAAAGAGACGGAGTTTTTCTTTTCGGGGCCACACCGAACAATTTAATGAGCAATACGGCACCGCTTTTGCCAACTCCCCCCCCCCCAACTTCGGGGGAGCAGCTTAAAAGAACATAATTTAAGTACGCAAAAACTTTATACAAGAACTAGACGACATGTGATGTTGCATAGAGGTGAGCGACGATGAGTCTATGGTACAGTTCTTTCGATGGTCTGCAAATGGCACAACAACAAACAGTGGCGACGGCGAAAGCAGCAGCAACAGTTAAGGTCACTTTGGAGGCGAGCGCGTTCACGCCGTCGTTGCACCGTACGCCGTGGACATCATGATCTGACAGCCCTGCTTGACGTGCATCATGACTTCTTGCTTGAGCCGACACACCTGATCCCTCAGCGACGACACCACCGAGCCGAGCTCTGAGTTCTCGGTCTTGAGCGCGTGCACCTTGTCCTCGAGCCTCGAGATTCGCTCCAGCTTTCGTTTGCGACACTTGCTGGCGGCGATGCGGTTCCTCAGCCTCTTACGTTCCAGCTTGATCCTCTCCTGGTCGCGCATGTCGATGGGCGACAGCGGCGGCGTGGCGCCCAGGTTGGGCACCGTCTGGGGCTCGTCCTTCACGTGCCCATCGCCGCCGCCCAGAGAGTGCTCCGACGACGAGGGTAAGATGAAGCTGTCACTTGAGGTTGAGGCGCCCGAGTCGGAAGCTTCGGCCGCGGACAGTGCGGTCTCGGACGGCCCGCCGGCCGTCTGGTGCAGTTGGGCTAACGCGTCGACGAAACCCCGCGCGTACTGCTCCTGCTCCTCGGTGGCAGTCTTCGTGAACAGGTACTGCGTCGTCGGCGTGGGCGTCGTGGTCACGAGTCCGTTGTGCGCGATGATGAGCCGCTCCAGCTCCGGCGACGCCAGCTGGAGCATGTTCAGGTCGGGCGACGTGAGCAGGCTCGACAAGCGCGCAGCTTTTCGTTCGGGCCGACCCGCACTGTTCAAGTCCAGGGTCATGCTACGCTTACGCGAACTTAGGTCGTCTCTCCGCACCAGCTGTGGCTGTTGTTGCTGCGGATGGTGCTGCTGTTGTTGGTGTTGCGTCGTTGGCTGGGCGTGTTGCGATCCCGCGGCCAGCCTGCTGCCGCCGCCGCGGATGTCTTCGTAGAATGTCGTATCCATCGCTCGGCGTCGCCGACCCCCCAGCGTAATCCGAAGGAGCGTAGCCCCACACCAAGGTTCCGTGCGGTCCGACAACGCAACGCCCGCGCACACAACAAAAACGTGGTTCGAGCGGGCACACCGACGCGACGCTGCTTGCACGGCTATGAGTCACGCGAAAACACCCAGGGCCGCCTTTATAAAATGGTGACTCACTGGAAAGCACTGCTCGACGTCACGTCCGCCTGACGTCAGGAACGCACGCCCCGATTGGACGGGAGTGACGCCACTCGAACACGTGGGGTTGTTTTCGTCGTGACGGAGGCGACGGAGGGCTTCTCGGAAAAGAGCGTGTCGTCGGCTTCCTGTTTGCGACGGCGCGGCCAATCGGGAGCGGGGAGCGGATCCAACGATGCGCTTGGAGGGCGGGGCCAGTGTAAAAAAAATATAAAAAAATACAACACGCATACGCGCAAACGGCGCTGCAGTCGCTAGCGCGGTGCAAACCGCTTTTTTTTTTTTTTAACTAAGAACTAAATGCGAAAGCAATTTAATGAAAGGCAAGCGTGGCATAAAGACGTAAAGCGTAAGTTAAAGTATGAAGCAAAAAAGCTACTCGCGTGAAATGATTTTCATAGACGTTCAAAGAATAATCGGCAATGCTTATCACAGTAGCGTTAACAGCGCCACCAAAACCGTTGCGGACATCTATAGTGCGATTTTTTCGGGAAGGTCGCACAACGCAGCTAGTTGCTCAGTTTATGCGCGCTTCTCGCGCGCTATCTATCAGCCGTACGTTTCAAAAACTTGTTTTGCATTGTCGAGGCGAAGCCAAATATGGGCAATAGTTTGACGTCACCGTAATCTTTCGTTGGTATGCAGCTGAGCGGAAACGGGAAGCTATTTACGGCACTAAAGAGCGCAGATAACTGGTTTTGCCTCGTTTTCAGATTCGCCAGGGATGAAAGAAGGCATCAATTACTCGGAAAACAGGAAAGGCATCCTAGCGTAGTAAATTCTTAAGTTCATTCTAGCGAAACACTCTCAACAGGCTCTCTGGCCTTGTTTTTCTCCGCTTTCGCGGCATTCCGCTACTTCCTTTTTGATTGAAAATCTCATTACTACGCTAAAATCCTCAAAATTTATGTATTACAGCTTAGTCTTTTAAAAAAATATGAAAATGAGACATCTTTTTGCACAATAAAACAGATACTTTCATAGTCAAACTTTATGCATGTACATATATACATATTAAATAATTATGAGTCAAATGTCCTCTTGAAAAATCAAGTAAAAAAAAAATCCGTTGCGGTGTAGTGTGGTAATTCTCGAAGCCCCACTGACTGCGAGAAGCAAAGCAATCAATGCCCAATAATTGGAGGGAGTTGTGTTCAGTGATAGGTCAGCTCTAGTCAGCCATCATGCCTCTAAATGACCGGCCCTCGTTCAACTATGCAGCAAACAGTAATAACGGCAGCAAGTACCGTCATCACAGGCGTAACCAAATGTGGCACACATACCTAGTTGTTGCTTACCATGCGTGCAATTTGAAGTCCTTTAACTGAAAAGCAACGGCAACATCCTCTGTCGCCGGAATCGTCACCCCCAAAATCGCACCCTTAGCTATGAAACGCCTATGGACAAAGTGTATTGTCTTTCTGCGAAACTCGTAAAATGCAGGCCCCGCATTTAAATCCGTCCGACGAACGCAGCCAGAGACGAGACCGCCCTTATGTAGCGTTGACGGGACACTTCAAAAACCGCCGGGACGAGGTTGCAACGGAGCGCCTGCCTGGAATGGTCCAAGAGGAACGTTCAAAGCATTCGGAGACTAGAGAACTTCGGCGTGCGCAATCAAGAGTCCGAAGGCACGGTTGCGGAGTCCTTTCGCCGACTGCAGCGGAGGAAGGCCCAGAGTGAATGACCGCGGCCTCCGGCGGCGTGGAACGCCAGAGCTCCGGAGATCGCGAGCAGCAGGTAGATGGGTACCAGGGAGGCCACGTACAGGCCCTTTGGGTTCAGCAGCGTCTGGAAAGGAATGCAAAAACGTCGGACGTCAGCGCAGCGGCTGGCCAAGCACTTTGGACACGGTAAACGCAGCCTGCCCGTTGCTTTCGATGGACGGACGGAATAAGGCGCTAAGCAAACTGGCCAAAGACGCGTTCTGGGCGCTGTGCCGCTACTGGTCTCACCAGGGTCGATGCGGTGAGGTGGCAGGCCAGCACGAATCCGACCAGAGGCCACCGTCCGTGGTCCAGCGCATGGAAGGACACCACCCCCCAGAACGTGTGCAGCAGCACGAAGGCCTGCGTGGTCAGGGCTGCACAAAGACACGGGAGTTTGGCAGGGAGACAGACGTTTCGGACGCGAGTCGCGTGTTACGAGTAAGGGCTGCGGGAACTCCTCTCCAGAGTTCACTGCAGCATCATGGACTCCTCGTCCTGCTTTCTACGGGGCGTTTCACCAAGCGCCATTAGGACGGAAAATATATTTTTCTAAGTAAACCAACGAACACAATGCGTTTGGAAACACTTTTCACAAAGGTTTGTTCAGGTACTGCATTCGTCATACTCAAATTTCATGACAAAAAGGCAAACAGCGCGCAGAAAACGGGGACTAGAGGAAGTGCAAACAGGACAAGCGCTGACTCTCAACTGAAATTTAATCGCAAGGAAACAAAACAAAGAAAACAGCAACTCCGCCCACGTCACATGACACATTCACCACGTGTCCAAAAAAAAACATCTCTTTGCTACTCAGGCCCAGTGACGTTTGGCTTACGCAGTTCGCGCCGGCTTTGATGATTGCATGCGCCTCTAAAATTTCTCTATTCACTATGGTAGGGAAAGAGTGAATAGAGAAATTGTAGAAGCGCATGCAATCACCAAAGCCGGCGCGAACTGCGCAAGCCAAACGTCACTGGGCCTGAGTAGCAAAGAATGTTTTTTTTTGACACGTGGTGAATGTGTCATGTGACGTGGGCGGAGTTGCTGTTTTCTTTGTTTTGTTTCCTTGTGATTAAATTTCAGTTGAGAGTCAGCGCTTGTCCTGTCTGCACTTCCTCTAGTCCCCGTTTTCTGCGCGCTGTTTGCCTTTTCGTCAGTATGAACCAACTAACCCACATCGCCACCCTTATTCAAATTTCATAAGTGCAGGTTTGAGAAAAAGGAATTCAGCCCAAAGAGCCACATTTATTTTTTCTGGACGGAAAGGAAAATGGAAAAAAATGCTAGGTTGATGGTGCTTTTTTTTCTTTAATTCTTCATTTCGCACCATTTGTGAGTAGCTGCGTCAACCGGACGGTGTTCGCTATTTTCCTCCCCGAGCATGAAAAAAAAAAAAAGAAAGTGGGATTCTTTAGCATCAAATGTTTGTTTAAAAAAATCTACACTCATGAAATTCGAGCATGATAAATGCGCCACCTAAAGACAGCTTTGTGAAAAGTTTAATTGCACTCGTTTCATTGGCTTATCAAATTTTTGATGCCCGAACAGCGCTCGGAAACTCCCTGCACACAAACGTAAACGTCGCAACGAGGGAACACTGCGGCCTGTTATAACTCTGGCGTCCATGAATTCTCGCCAAACATGGCCTTCCACAACACACAATGCTGGTCACAACAAACACTTTCGTTCACAGTTGAGATGGAACCATTCAGAGTTGAAATGCAAGTAAGGCGGTAATCCCCAACACAAAGGAATAGCATCTAACATTCATTTTTGCCACATCACTTCAAAGTGCCACACTCCGAAGTAAGAATTGAGACAGTATTTTGGGGTGGCCCAAGGCAGTACAGTGTTGCTCCAGAAATTTTGCAACAATCGCTCTCAGTGACATGAAGCTTGAAAATAAACGAGATATCAAACCGTAGGCAGAAATGACTGTCACGGAAGGTTCTCCGGCAAACAAGTTGCGCAAAAGATGGACATGCGCCCAAACGCTCGAGCAAAATGATAGCTCGTAGCATTCGGTGTCCGTCAGTGCTGCATTCTTGTTCTTCTTCACATAGTACGGAAGAACTTAGGAGAGGCTTTTTTTTCCAGATTGATGTAGACTGTCAAGCCACAGGATATCCAGCTTTGTTTTTGTGCTACTAGCACACTTTAAAAGCGGGAAGGCTTCCGTTCGCCTAAGCAAATATCAAACGCGAGTGGTGAAGACTTCATCTGCCAGACCCAGGCAGGAAATGATGAATGTAGTCTAGGACTCGAGTCATTTTGGTTGAGACAAATAAAAAAAACTACCTGATGTGACAAAGAAGTATGGAGAGCCGCCATGGAGTCCTACGGTGCCCGGCCCGGTGGCGTCGGCCAACACGTTGAGCAACGAGAACACGCCGCTCATGATTCCGAACCCAAGTCCCGCCACTGCAACCAATGTAAAGGTCCATGCTCAGTTGATCACCAAACTAACATGGTGTCAGTGAAGCTATGCCACCACACTAACTAAATGCGGATATTTACCATAGGATAATGTGGTCCGAGAGGTGGACACAGACGCTCCGTCCGCTCCCACTTCCGTCACTTTCTTTAGCCCCACCTCGGCTTTCCTGGGAAGTCAATGTACAAATTTTTCAGCTTCCTGCTTGCAAAGAATGGTGTGCATTTAGATGATGGGGGTCAAACAAGATGAAGAGTGTCCATTTTCAAATGCTTATTACTTGAAAAGTGAGAAAACCATTCGCTTTGTTATGATGTGACATGACTGCGATTCACCTGGATGCCCATGTTTCCTATCTCGCATGCAAAACTATTCCTTGAAATCGTGCCAAGCTTAACACAAAGCACAGATCTCCCGGAAACAGGTTGGAACTGCATGTAAGCAGACATAAGTTACCATGACAAATGCAACACAACCTATTGGTATTGCGTGAATGGGCCTTCATGCTTCCCTAATGTTCTGCCTCTTTTTAGTTTATGGACATTTATTGGAATCACACCTGCCTCAAGCCATAAAAAAGTTTTCAATTATTGCAGCCATTACTAGTCACAGTGCTTCAACGACATGTATTTGATGCAATAAGGCCTAGAGCTCTGTACAGGCCCGGGCGTGAGCCTGATAGCGCAAATTGTTCACAGGCTCACACCGGGCTCAGGCAATGGTTTAGCACACTTTCTAAAACGTTGAGAAGAAAATGGTAACGGACTGATCATTTAGATCTGAAAGAAACAAAAAAAGGCGAAGTGTACACTTGCTACAACTCCAGAAAAAAAAAGTATTAGAAATGGTCTAAGAACGCCCAGAAGAAAATACACTGAATCCTGGGGATTTCATCAGCATAGAGGGACAGCTGCCAGCAGGCAAGAAAACGAGAGATTCCGGTAACAGGGGACAGTATGATTGTCTTTCCCTTTCCTTTTTGAACTCTTGAAGAAAAAGGAAGAATGCCCTGTTCACCACAAGTGTGTGAATCACCCTTAATTCAGTGGGCCCGGGTTGGGCCTCAAAAAGTAGGCCCGTGCTGTGCTCTAATAAGGCCCACTCTTTTTGCAGACACTAAAGCAGAAAGGCAAATATGGCGGTATGATTTTATGCCATATCGTCTGCTAGCGAGTTGGAAACTAGGCTAGACAGCCGTGAGTAGCCACATTTTCTTTTCTTTTAGGTAGCATTTTAGTTCAGGAAGAGAGGGAAATATGCAGCGCTGGTTTATTGCTATTTCAGTCTCACAGCACACACGATCAATACAAATATTCGAGAAAAGAAAGCGGCGCAACCATGATTTACGTACCGTAGTATCTTGTAGAAGAGGTACCGAAATGCCTCTTGGAAGAACACCGAGAACACGACTCCAAACGCTAACTCCTTTCGTAGTGGAACCGCAGCGAACCAGAGTATTGATGATAGTAGAAGCGCGAGTAGCCAGAAAAACGCCCTAGAACGGAAACAGCATTGTGAGGTTTGACGAAAAGCGAGTGACAGCCACTGAAATTTGGAACCCTGTCACAGGCACGCACCACTAACCACAGTGGTACACACTCATTCAAGATTTATTTACTTTTCCGTTTATTTTTTTTTTTAATTTTTATTTCCATCACGCACTCAGCTAGAAAATTCTTAGAGGGAAGCAAGGTGCTAAAAACAAAAAGATCCTGATTAAAAGAAGATCAGAAAAAGCAAAACACTAGCACAGGTATGACCGGTCTAACTCACGCAGTTATGAGTATGATGATTCGGATTGGATCTCTTGCCACTGTGATGGCGAACATAGATAGTGCTGGTCCGAAGGCAATCAGAGTACAGCCGAAAAATTCCATTAGGGTCATATTGAAAGGAACGCCGGGTCTTTGATCAAGAACGATGCACGACTGCGGTACAGAATTAGCGCTAGCCCTAACCCTAAAATAAACATAAATGGATAGATGGACGGATGATGGCAAAGACAGATGGATAATAAAGGGTGGACGCATTTCTAAAGGACGGTGCCTTGCGCCACCTAGCCTAAGAACAACAAAAACTTGATTTTTTTTTCCAACCTTTTGAAGATTGGGCAAAAAAAAAAAAAAAAAAAAGACGCTCACAACTCTCTGTAATTTGGAATAAGAGCGCAGCTTTTGAGCTCCTACCCTGGCCCCCTTTCATTTAGCATGTAATTTTTGCTACATTTTCCGCTAAATTCAGTGAAAAAAATTCCCCGCTAAATTTAGCGGTAAAATTTTTCCGCTAAATTCAGTGGGAAAATTTTTTGCCAAATTTAACGGAAACAATTTCCCACTAAATTTAACGGGGAATTTTTTCTGCTAAATTTGACGAGAAAATTTTTTCCTAAATTTAGCGGGGAATTTTTTCTGTTAAATTTAGCAGGGAAATTGTTTTGCTAAATCTATCAGGAAACTTTCCGCTAAATTTAGCGGGAAAATTCTCAGCGTCCTCACGATGTCATTTGTGATGTCATTATCGGAAACGTTCAAGCAAGATAGAAGAGTAGGAGAGGGCACGACGTCAGCCGCGTAGCCTCCACAAGCCATGCTCCCTTGACGGCTCGCCTTTCTCATTTTCCTCCTTACTCTACTCACTTACCATGCCAACGTGACCACATCACGTGACTGTAGCTAGCCTTCGTCTTGCTATGGGGTACTAGAATACACCACAGTCTAGCCTTCGATCTGATAAAACCTACTGGACGGAGCGCGTGCAAGCCTGCAAGGAGTCCTTCTACAATCAACCATCCATCTCACACGTGACATGTCACGCGCACCAATCACCAGGAGATCTGCGGTCACGCTGGGCACAAAATCGTTTAAACTTTTTACGACTAGGCTTCACCAATATTGCAACGTGCCCCCTCCTAGTACTTATAACCTCCTTGGAAACGTCCCATAATCCAAAGCGCGGTTACGCCGGCAGTGATAACGCTCAAGCCGGAAACAAGCGCCCAAGAGCTCATTCGGAAAAAAAAAAAAACACCACCACCATCATCTTTGTCTCTTTCCAGGGAGTCACCAATTTTCCTGTGGCCGAGCCTTGTCGTAGTCACCCGAGATCAGACTCACTTGCGGACAGATGTGCTCGTTAACTGTTCCTTACATAATTTCCATAAATCTTTCTAGAAAAAGTTTCCCTAGAAAAACTTAGGTTTCCCTAGATAATTTTTATTCCTCTGCGTTGTCTCTATTTCTTCGATAATCCACTCTTTCATCTTCTCCAATGAAACCCAGGAACACCGGTGCGTATGTCGCCCATTCGGGAAGGATCACTGATGGCAGGTCTAAGCTCCTTATATAGGGTGTCCCAAGTCACCAGGCTTGATCTAAAATGGACCGTAAAAATCGACGCCCACACATAGCAATCTAAACTTTTCGTCAAAGGTGTATTTCACAGGTTGGTTTTTTCTTGTAAAATTACACAGCGTTGCTCTGTTTCTGTAAAAAGTAGGGCCAAAAATAGGGATTTAAAGAATGTTGTCATATGCCCATATCTCCAAAATTGCCATCCATAACGGTCGTTGGCTCGTCTTCGCTATTTCAACACATTGTGCAACTGTGTACTAACCACCTTGTCTCCCATCCTTGCGAAAATTATTCTTCTACGTTACCCTTCATCACCTGCATCACTAGTCTGTATAAGACAGATGTTACCATTAAGGCCCATTCACACTCTTACGACCTCTGCAACTGGGTTCCTTCAAACCTCTTACAAGAGGACACACTGGCGCCATCTATTGGGCAGCAGTATACTTGGCGGTCCGGCATATTTTCTATTTCTCTCACACATTATCCATTCTTTCTTGGCTTGAAAAACTTTTGTTGTTATATACGAGCCTTTCATATAGGTATTCTGCACATTTGACCTCAAAAATCCCGCAAAACATTCTCTTTTGAAATGCAGTTCCAGGGTCACTGCATAGATGGCGCCAGCATGCCAGTGTGTTTTCTCGTCCCAAGAAATTTTAAGAAGTTTTAACAGATCTCATCTCTCTCGGTCGTACTCGGTTGCAAGAGTGCGAACGGGCCTTTATGGGGCGGTAGGAGTTGATGTCCGTCGCCTTTACCCACACTAATGCAGCAGAAACATTGAAATATTCAAAACAATACTATATCCCACTAGATAAGTACAACTAGTTTTGAAACATCTCGAAATTCAATCAATACACTAACAAAAAAACACTCGCAACTAACCATAGTTCGGATGTTGCCACTTCCAAGATTAATGTAACTTGGGTGACATCAAGCAAAACTCAAGTTCCTAGATAACAGGCAAGGGTTCCACATGCAACCAGAAACATTCTTAGCAGTAATGGCTTTAGGATGAAAATAAAACCGCATTAATATGCTTCTTCGCTCCTGTTACCAGCAACACTGCCTCGCAATTGGGCAGGAGATCGAACTAAAGGGGGCGCTCTGACTTGTTTGTCACCCCCACATTTTGCTGTTTACCCAACGCAAGGCCTATGCACATGTCCACAGGTCTTGTGGGCATGTTTGTGTCCTCTTTTTTTAATAGAGCGCGGGGCATAGTGTAATGAAAAAAATACCAACAATTAGTGAAATGACGTTAAGTGCCAGATCTCCCCCGAAAGCAGTCTTCAGAGGATGCGAACTTGACCCACTTGGGCTTTTGTGCTGAGCTGGGCACTGTGCATGCTGCATTGTTCATGCAGGCCGGAGTGGTAAAAAAAGAGCCCCTCCTCCCCCTCACCGGAGAACACGAACTCCAGCCGAATGCTGACGCCGCGTTCAGTTATGTCGGCCGAGCGCCGAGTCATTCTATTTATTGTCCCCATCCGTGTAGTTCTAAAGTTAACCGCTTGGGGCGTCACGGTCTGCCCTCCTCCCTAATAGCACGCAGTCAAACGAAGAAAGAATGAGACTGACACCAGTGTTATAAAAACTATAGTGTATTACACTTTTGTTAATCTGCTAAGACTTTTGTCTAAAATACTCACTTTTTTTGTATGTTTTCAACATTGTACAGGACACTTCGTTAAAACGCGTAAACAGCAAATACCGCGAGAATACAGCGCAGCTTTGGAAAAGAAAACACGAGAGGGTACAGGACACCGTTAAGTTCACGAAAGTACAGACATTTGATACGAGCTCACACTCCACTGAACATTACGAGAGAATTGTCGCTAATGGATCTTGCAAAACAAGTACAGAGCTTGGCACCTCGCACACACAACCAGAAGACCGCGCAAGCAGAAGCGGACGCCGGATGCACTTCGGCGGGCGTCGTTTGTACTCCCTTGCAATGTGCGTGTGCGCTGCGCTGCCCGTCGTGCAAAATCAACGTTCGCAGCGACTCGAGCGACGGCCTGGCTGTCTTCCGGCGACGACCACGTTTGTGAAACGTCCCGAAATAAATAAAATTGCAGGAACCATCGAACATTTCCAGGGTAGAGCATTCCATTTTCCTAGCTGAGTGAGACAAAATAATTTGCCATCTTTGAGAAAGCTCCGGGCAACGCAAGCCACTGAGATGTGCCATACGAAGGCTTTTAACGTCCGTTCAAACCGCATGCGGACGTCCTGTGAATCGAACAACGCCGCATCACTGCTAGTCTTCCGCAGTGCATTGAAGCCGAAATTCGCCGTTACCTCTCTTCTTCACTGCGACGGCTAAAAGAGACTCAATGTTACCGTACACCCTCTTGCATTGCACTTTCTCGTGCCCCCGTTGAGAGCCAACGTTTCTGTCGTCGTCTGCCGTTTTGGCCAGCAGACGACAGAGGTGTTTGCACCCTGGAAACGCCCGGCAGCCCCAGCCGTTACTATGCAATATTCTGAGAGAGTAAAACAATGCAATGTTACGCGTGACAAGCATGAAATCACAGCACATTCCACTTAACCGAGAAACGCGGCTGGATACGTCGGCCCTGGGGCCACCGAATACGCTACGCCTAGAGTGTCGGCCCTCTAATCCCCAGATTCTTCCGTGGATGCCACCATTTTGGCGCCGAACGTAGATTGGGCGCAACTGCCAATCCTTCCGACCCGAAAACACAACCTCGCAGGACACGGTTTGCCGTTTCCCGCGATTTTGGATAAAAGGCGTCGCAACGACTGGCAACGACGATTTCACGCATCGAGATGGCAGAAGTGTCGGGACTCTGAAGCGTAGCTTATCCAATGACTCCAGTCGACTCTATCGACAAAAGGAGGGAGCAGAAACTCGGTGAGGAAACTCTGCCGACGGCAACGCGCAGCAGAAAGAAAAAAAAAAGGAGAGACAGCAACGACCGCGGGAGGAACACGCACGGAACCGGAGATTCCGCGCTGGGAAGTCGCCTGCAGGCACTTGAACTCCTTTCATAGCTTCCCCGCATCTCTCAACGCCGACCAGACGGTCGCCGGGGGGATATGGAAGTCGAGACGGAGGGCACGAGTTTACAAGCTCTAAACAGAGATGGGGGGACGGCACACCGATATATGAGGATGGGAAAATAAATTAGTCGATGAACTGCACGGGGTGGAGTGGCGCGGCCATCGAAAACGCGACGGCCGATGACGCGTGGACTCGGAGGTCGGTCCCGAAAAATGCAGATGCCTTCCGCTTTTCAAGTATATTACACGGGCGACGAACCGTTTGAGGCGCTTCCTGCAATCGTGAAAACAGCTGCATTGTACTTTTCCGCGTTGCGCGGCGTTAAGGGCGTGCAATGTTACGCGTGACTGATGATTACGGCGACGGACCTTCGTGAAGCGTCGACGCTTAATTCGCACGTCGGCGTACGTTATGTTTTCTTTTGGCCAAAGTTGTCTCGAGAAGTACCGTCTGTGCAGTGTTTTGTGCGCATAAAACAGTTGTGTGTTTCGACCGCAAAGGCCCCTCTCTGCTTGTGGCACCTGACAAAAATCACCAGGCGAGACACACACTTTCAAAAACGTCATGAAAACCGGCAAAACGGGAGTCAACGCAAAAGCCGCGGATAAAATCGAGAATGATTTCACACCAAGGCACAAAACTCTACTCCGTCTGTTAGGACTAAAATTACTGTCTGCTAAAACAAAGCACAATGAGCTGGTCTACTTTCACAGCTAAAACCTACCGGACCGCTGCTTTTCGGTCGACGCCGCAAAACTGGTGCACCATCAGTAGCTTCGTTCGATTTTCCTGTACCTCTTGCACCAGTGCAGAAAAGTGTAAGCTGTGTACTTCCTGTCGTATCTAAATACACATACTGGAAGTGCACAGCCCTACACTTTTCTGCACCGGTGCAGGTAAATCGAACGAAGCTAGTGTGCGGCCACTAGGTGACACCGCACGAGGGCACCCTACGCAAAACAAGGCACCGTCCAATCACGTGGGGCCCCCAACGCATAAAACTAAAAGTTATGCTAGCAAATAACACACTCGGCACATGTCATGGATCACCACACTTCTCAGAATACAAACTAACACAGTTTGTAAATGTTACAATGGTTTCTGGTGCAACCACTGTACACCGGACAAGCGATGGGGGCAAGAAACAATGTACATATGATGTAGACACTCCCAGTAAAATGGGGACAGGCCGCCTTCCCTCTTTGTCTCGCAGGGAAAAGCGGGAGCTCACTCGAGCGTGACCCAAGGTTCAGGCTTGGGGTGCACAATTTGTGAGTAAAGTGTGCAGGCATTAGGGAACAGTAGTCATTCCGGAACAATTTCGCTAAATTATAATTTCCTGGCATCCAGTGTGCTTCCCCAGAAACACCATTCAGATTCACCACAGTCGGTCTTTAAAATGCCGCTGCAAGTGGCTTCCATGCTATGTCCCTGCACTAGACCCAAACCTGGGGAATATTGGTGCCCAGCCTAGGGAAGTCTGGTATCCCAATTGGGTAGAATTCATCAACTTGAGAAACTTGGGTGGTAAATCTAGGGAAATTGGGTACCAGACCACTAGGAACATTTTTGATGAATATATAACTCCAGTGGCCCACACCTGCAGAATAGAGTAGCTATAGTCCTCATGTGCCAACCATCCCCAAATCGTTTTAGGGAAAGCCCAGAGATTTTGGTTCAAAGATTTCAGTTTCCTGACTCAATTTGGCATGTTTGGCACCACAACGCGCTCGGAATGTTTTGTGATATTTCCCTAATACGCAACAACTTTTCTAGAGGTTTAGTGTCACCACAAATTTTGTAAAACTACCGCAGTTTCTTTACAAGTTTTTAACTTTTTGCCTTTTTTGCCAGAAATTAGTGACGCCTTGTCCCCACAAGGCGTCACTAATTTCTCCAAAACTTATTGGGGGATTTCCATAGTTTCCCTAAGGCCTCCCTATTTCCCCAGGGCTTCCCTAGTTTTCCGACGTGTTCTATAGCTTCCCTAGTCTCCTTAAAATTTTCCCAGGCGATCTGCAACCGTTCCAGGGGAGGAGGGGCGACTTCATTTGAAGAGTTCCTATGGAACAATGGCCCGAGGCGATAGAGTACTTTGGGGCAAAATCGACGGCCGGGGGTTTCTCTCTTTGCGGGGGAGGGGAAGGAAGGAAGTGGTGCAGGCCGACCCGGGCACGCCTGCCTCAGGTGGGCACCACGGCCACCCTAGGCGGCCTCCGTGGGCGCTTTCGAGGTAAGGGCAGCGGCGCCTCCCCGGGGGACCTCTTCTTGCGCCTTAGGGGTCTGGGGGAAAGCCTCCGGGTGGCCGCTGCTGGTCACCTGGGCATGGAACCCTTGCCGGGGGCCTTGGCACCGCTGGCCACAAACACATGCACACCATAAGCATCACACAGTTCCAACTTCCAACAAACTTGTTAAGGCCTGCTTCAGATGGTGCTATTTTCCCCATGGTCTGGAAGTCGCAACGCCGGCAACACGCGGCAAAGATTGAATCGCCCTACTTTGTGATCATCATCATTAACATTTTAAACGTATTGCGCTTTTAGACACAAAGATACATGTCCGAAACGTGTTTATATATAGATTAATGGAGTTAAGAATACTTTTCCGTCTCCCTGAAACTACCTAGTCTAGAAAACAATTTATTTAATACCAAAACCAAGTTTAACCTCTGTCCAGTTACCGTACCACCACAGGTGGGGTCACGTGAAAATATAGTGCCTCTGATCGGCTTCTGCCGCTTCACAAGTCTCCGAGTTGTTAGAGTCACTTGCCTGTTTTGAGCCGGGCTCAATCCCAGCAATTTCTATCGCAGTGCAAGGATCTAGGGAGTTATAGAGAACAACTCGCCAGCAACCCTGAAATTTTTGGGGAAATTGCCCTATCTGAAGCAGGCCTCCACTCCCAATACAACAAACGCTATGATTGCAGCAAATCTGTCCCGCATGGACAGCCCAAGAGCAAGAGTGAATTTTTGCGCACATGTGATGAGGCAGGTGTCGCGAGCGAGATTCCTGATGGCTCAGTTCGGTGCTGGGGCGGACAATCTTCGCAGAATATACCCTTTCTGAAATTCAGTCTGGCAGCTTCAACCACTGCCACCAGGTGGCACCGAATTCCGGAAAGGGCCTACTGCGCACGGCACGCATCTCGTCCACCGCCACGCTCGTGTAAAAGAATGCGACATCGAGGAGCTCAAACTGCCACAAACGACGTAAGAAAAATATGCTGCACCCAGATATTTTTCAGGCTTTTACTCCGCATGTGCGATAATCCAATACAAAAAAAGTTTGTCGACCAGGAAGTGTTATACTATGTAACCTCCAGTTATAATGTCAGAGCCAAATCAAGACAGACAAACATGGACATGCTGAATGCTGTTTTCAGGTTTTACTCGACTCTGTTATTTAAAACACGTATACACCCAAACCACGAGGAGACCATTTAATCAACTGCTGTATGCAGCACGATCGTGACAGCAGCACGGTCCGGCCGTGCTGGATACTCGAAGAAGAAGGAATGAGGCCTCCAGACGTGTGCAGCAAGCGGAGACAGCAGCCCTTTCCAAGCACGCCAGAGTCAATTTTTAGAGGCATGCAGGTAGTTCCGTCAGACGTGGCCTCGGCTGAAGGGTGCAAGAAGACGTAACCAAGCGGGAAAGAAGGGAGCGGACGCAGAGAAATGAACGTCACGGCAACTTCTGTCGCAGTTACGCAGACGTGAAATTGCAGGCTACTGCTTGAGCTATACACGAATTGAGGGATGTTTTTTTGCTGAAACACAAGCCGAGAAGCAGGCATTTAGGGAGACAGCGTGTGCGGTGCTAGCGCGAACAAAGTCAAGAAGGTATGCATAAAAATTAAGAAAGAGGGAAGAAGGAGGGGAGGCAATGCAACTGATCATGAAACAGCGATGACGTCGTGCAGCACCGTGCAAAACTAAGACGGCAGCAAACCAATTCAACGAATCGGTTCCGACAACATACAGCATTCACTGTGGTCCATTTTAAGATGCAAAGCACAGACCAACATGAAATAGTACTATCCTGGCACTTTTGCGTGTCGTCGTAACCTCGAATATCAATGTTTTTCGAGTAAATCTAAATTGACAAAAACGTTTACAACGAAGCAGATGCCAAAGCTTCAAAACTAACTGTTATCTGAATCTAAAGTTACAATTGATTTTCTTAAAATTTTAATGGGAAAATGGGGCCTGCTTTTGCCCGTTTTCGGTAACTGGCGCCATCCAGCTCCACGCATTTGAGAGCTCTGTCGACCACCATTTTCCAATTGAAAATTTCAGAAAATCTCTCGTAACTTTTGAACAAAATGGTGGTTAGTTCAGAACGTTTGGCATATCGTTCAGACTGCCGGGGCTAGATCTGGACGAAGAATGAGCGTTCAGCGATGCATAGTTTTTATTTTACGTAAAAAAAAACAGCCTGTAAATATTTTGGGGGGACACCCTGTTATGCTAATCTGTTTCTGTCTGTACATTCTGCAACCGTGCTGAAAATAGAACTGTATGACAATGTTTTTGCTGGTTTCTTGCTAATGCTATTTCTAAGCTCTACTTTTCATTTTGTCTTGTAACGGTGGAAATCAAATTTCGTGGTTTTGCTCGTGCTGCGGCTTCGTCAGGCTGTCCTCGCGATACCTTTTTTTTTTCCACGTGCCTCTAGTAGTGTGCACTTAGTACCCGATGCAAATGAACAAATCGATTGATCAATCAAAATCAAGCGTCCCACCTGCGGTTGGGCGGCGACCCCGAAGCCCTCCGTCGGCCCGAGGTGCCGATGGTCGCGTTGCGGCCGCCCCCGCGGAGGGCCTTGAGCGGGGACGCGTATCCCGCGGTGGGGACTGTCCCCAGGGTGCCTGGAGGGACCTTGAGGGGCTGAGAGGACGCCCTCCGCTGGGGACGCCCGTCTTCCCCACTGTGGAAAGGGGCAACCGGACACCGGGAGAACGGACACGTCAGTCCAGGCTACCAAAACGATTGAGAGACGATCGCGCGACGCGACGCGTTTAGGCAGCGACAGCTATGCAGCTCGTTCGACAACGTGACGGTGACAGTCGATAGACATTGCGTTGATCATGCGTCATACGGTGAGCTAATATTGAAATGATGCTGCATTGATTTGGCTTTGATACACTGTTGATGATATATATGATTTTAAGGTCGAGATGTGTTTTCTCGCCAAATTTAGCGGGAAAACTGAATTGGTGCATACGTCACGTGACGTCAATTTTTCCGCTAAACTTAGCGGGGAAAATGAATTGGTGCAAAGGTCACGTGACGTAATGAGTTGGTGCATAGATCATGTGACATCAATTTTTCCACAAAATTTAGCAGGGAAACTTTTCGTTTACGCTTACGCCGAAAAACCGGGGAACAGGCCACTGACAGCTGTCGCTGTAAAATATTTATGGCATTGTACCCAACAAAATTTAGTACGTAGAATAAGTTTTTGAATGAATAAAGGGTTGCTTTATCCATGAGGCGGTGCACCCCAGCTCGGAGCACATGGAGTGGAGATTTTGTGCTGCGGAACCCGGGGACCCCCGCCCCAATTCCCATTCCTGTCTCTTTCAATCTGAATAAGCATTGTACGGGAATGTAATCGTGCATCACTGCTGCACGATGCACGCGTTAGAGGCCTCAGGCTAGCAGTTGTACTGCACTGGCTAAATTTCTAATTTAAAGTGTAAACCAGTGTCACCATACCTCAAAGACAAACTGACCTTATGCTGCCTAAACACAAATGCCTACTTTTTATTTTTAGTCCAGTGCCAAGATAGCACAAAGATGGCAGTGCATCAGAGCTAGTGTTAGTGCGGACTAAGTGCCGAAGTTGGCGCTGCATTGGGTGTGTGAACAGGAAAAGGCCTGGTCATATGGAGCAGAGTCTTGACCATACACGGCAGAGTATCTGTGAAGTGGCCTTTAATAACCTCAGTGTTCATGCACCCAGACTTGTACAGTGACTTTCAACAAGTGCCATATTGGTCATCGCTATAATCACAATCACTCGCGACAGCCAATGGGAAGTGCGGCGCCGCCCACGAGGAAACTCCACCGTGGCGGCGACGCTACATGTCCTTGATGCGCTTCTACGTCTTTAGTTTTCACTCGATTACCCTCACCGTACACGGAAAAGTTGCTGAACAAGTCGAGGGAAGATTACGAAGAGGATACAAAATTCGGGGCTTTCCCCATTGATGCAGGCCCCGCAGAATCCCCCGCGGCGCTGCGGCTCTATCTCCGGAGGCCGAGACTTACCCGAGCGGAACTCCGGTCGTCATAGACCTCGGATGCCTGCGCTGGGCCTTGATTTTGTTCAGCTTGTCCCCCTGAGTCAGGTCTTCCTCCGAGTCTCCGCCGCTGTTGTTGTTTGCTCGATCCACCTGTCCGCAAAGAGATTTCTTGCGGCTGCGCATTTCTGGTGCTGCGACGTACGTACAGCAGAAGGCCCATCGCCGTCGAAACCGAACGTCGTAGTGCGTCTAGTGCATCGTAACCGGAGCCACGTAATTTCTGAATCAAACTGGAAATAATCCCACAAATTTGCAAGAGGAGGCTTAAGCTTCGCATTTAAGAGTGGAACGCGATAGCCAAATATACACCCCCGATCATTTCCAAGCCACTGAAGCGTGTCTATGTGGTGTGGTGGGTAGCGTCTTTGGCTTCCAAGGCAAAGATTGTGGGTTCAATCCCGCTCCACCCAAAATTCTTCAAATTCTTTCTTTAAGGCAAATGAATTATTTATAGACCAATCAGGATTTTACCGGCCCGCCAACGCAGACACCGAAATCCAACACCGACGCCGGCTTTTCTGCACAACTGACTCCTTAAAGGTATCGCTTCAAGATGCTCGCCAGTTGAAGACTAAGAATTCGATGGAAGCTCCACCTCCGGCAGGCACCTGCCGCCTCTCACCGCCCTTCAGCCGTGTGCGCGACAAAGTGTTACCAACGGCAGAAAGCTCGATATGGGGGCAGAACGCACGTCAAATTCTCGGCCTGTCACCGACCACACTTTCGTGGTTTTTAACGCGATAGCGTTTAGTAACTCGTGTTGCAGAAAATGCAATGCGTTGGCGTCGGTGTCGGCACAGCCATGTGCGGCGTCACACGTGACGTCACACATGGCTGCGTGCATTGCATTATGGGACCACACATACACCCTTGCACAGCTTGGGAATGAGCATGCGTTTATATAAGAAGGCTTTGCAAACAGGACTCAATAATGCTATTGCGCTTCACAGGCAAAGTTTAAGCGTCCCCCAGTTTTCTTTTTCTTCTTCTTCATAATACGTAATGTAATTTAGGTATCGTGCTCCACAAAATATAGATGTTACAAAATTTATATTACACCCTGTGCACGTCACTCACAGGCGCAAACAATATGAGCACTCGCTGTTTTTCGAGATCTGTAGACAAATGTTTGAACAGCATTAGAGGCTTTTTTTACGTTTACGACTTTTTTGGTGACGACTTGTTCATTAATACAGTTAATCACTGGATCTGGAAAAGTAGCGCCATTGCCTTCCCACCTGCTACCTTGACACAAACAAACACCAACATACAGAAGACAAAACCTCTCAAGGTGGACCCTTTCAAAGCTTCGAAAGGGTCCAAAATGGCAATCACCTTAGTAACCGACAGTGGTGAGCCAATCAGCTTGAGAGGTTTTGTCTTCTGTATGTTGGTATTTATTTGTGTCCAGTTAGCAGGTGGAAAGGCGATGGCGCTACTTTCCCAAATCCAGTGACTTTAGCCATCACCAGAGCGGTCACACGTTGGCTGCTGCACACATGCAGATTCGCTTCGTGCTAACTTGCAAGCGAACGACCACACGCACACGTCCGAACATCGATGACGCCAGAGTGCCGGGAATGCATATCCGACCAATGCGCTCACCGCACTTCAAAAAGTGGCCCCTCGATTTCCTGCTGATGACGTGGTATAAGCGTTGTACCGTAACTAATTGCGAACCCGGTGGTGTCAGGGCAGCGGCAGTCGACGCTGCAGACAAACGTTTCGCTGCGGGTCGCTTGCTGGCTCGACGGTACGCGAAAGATTTGGCGGTTAGGAATCGGGACGCCGCGACGACGGCAACACTTGCAATCTTTCATGTCTTTTTTTCTATAATTTCCACAACGAACCGCCAGGATTATGACATTCGACGACACCAGCTCCCAAACTTGCGACCGCTTGCGATAACGTGCCTTCAAACCTCTCGAAATCTCTCGAGACGAGAGAATGTGCCGTCGCTGTCCTTCGGGTAACTGCGGAACCCTCCCAGTCTCCCCAAATATCCCCTTGTTCTTTTCGTGCATTGTTCTTTCTTTCTTGGCTCAAAGGTATTTCGACGACATCGTAGATGATTGATTCTCGTAGACGGTATGCAAATTAGATTGCGCGAATACCGCAAAATCTTCGCTCTACTCAAATGCGACTCAGGGGTCGGGCTCGTAGATGGCACCAGGGTGCCAGTACATTCTCTCGTCCTAAGAGATTGTGAGAGATTGCTCCTAAGCAAGTGCGAGTATGTGAAAAGGCCTCGAGCTTGAGGTTTGGAGTTATGGGTCACGCTTGGGAGGTGGGGGGCGATGGGCATTCAGCTGGGTGGGTGGGTGGTCTACAGGAAGATTTGACGTCATGGGTGACGCGTTGCTCAGACTTATTTTGCCAACCTAATATATGCCATTGCACCACAAATTAAACATTTTTTATTAAAAAAAAAAAAAAAAGTAACAAGCTTGTGAATGTTGTTTGCCTCGTAAAAAAAGTTGCCCTCTTGCCCCTGGGGGCTTAGGGATGGCGGCTGCACCCCTCCCTCCCTCCTCCCTTCTCCTTTCCCCTTAAATCTGCCCTTGTGACATCATTTGTCGCTGCTTGGGGACGACCACCTTCGATGTCAAACGCACCGCTTCGAGACGATCCACAGGCACCGCAGTGGCACGGGAGGCACGAGTGTCCGCACCCACCTGAAGCTGCTGCCTGGTCCTCTTGTCCTGGTCCGTGAGGTGGAAGCGGTCCACCCGGCCCAGGATGTGGCTCACGGTACCCTCCGTCTCCGGAGGGGTCCGGCGCCCCGCCTGGCGCCTTCCGCTCGCCAGCGTGGGCGCCGCCAGGCCCCCTCGGTTGTGGGGCGACAGCGAGCGCCGCGCGGAGCTGCCCCGCTCGTTGCCGCTGTTGGCGTTGTTCACGTTGTTGTTGTTGCGCTGGTTGCTCGTCTGCTGGGACCGGAAGATGTCCCCTTGCAGCCACAGGTAGTCCTGCTTTCTGCGCGAGGACGAGACGACGGGCCGTGGCGTGTGCATTCTCCGGACCAATGGTTCTTGAACCGGGTTCCCCGACTTCCAAAATTTTCCTCACCGTCTCTGTTCCTAAGCAAGCTGGTTTTCCGGTTTAAGCACTATTTTAGCGGACCTTAGCAACCCTTCAGGGTTCTTCCCACAGCGGTGGGCGGCGGTGGTTTCGCCGCCCACCGGTCTGGCTGACGACCTATATCTCTACTATGTCTGTCCCACCTCTACGTTTTGCCTCCACTGGATAAGACAATGCCGATTTTGAAAATGTGCCACGTCCCAGACTGTTGTGTTTGGCAGACTTGTATGCGCAACGGAACTGCACGATCTCCACAAACAAAATCGCTGCTGCGGTGGAGAAAGCGCCGAGAACACCGAAGGCTGCATCAATTGCCCCCTCCTGCTCTTCCCAACATTCTGAAAATTTTTATATATCCACATCTCAAACATTTTATGGCAGAACTCTGCCACCCTTTGATGCATAGCGATAAACCAAACACTTTGTAGTACTGAAATAAGGGTAATAGTGCAGGAGAACTGGTGAATGGTCATACTTATAAAACATCTAAAAAATTAAAATGTGGAACACCTCAACGACTTCAACACATCGCTGCGTTGCCCCCCCCCCCCCCCCCCCTTTTCTTTTTCCCTTGTCTTGGGGTTTTATAAGTATGATATCCTAGTATGTGCATTAATGTTTAGAAGGCTGTAGGCTTTTTCACTAGAAAAGGTAATAGACACCTAGATGATAACTGCTTCGCTTTCGGCAATAAAAAAATGGTTTAAACAAAATTCATCACGACACGCAAACTGTTGTGTAACAATCTTCGTAGACTGAACGATGGGAAAAAGACGGGCTCAATATTGACATGATGAGTGAAGTCATTAAAATTTTATGCGAGGCTTGTGTGTAAATGCTATGTAGATTGTGTCAATATCCTGTTACAATTATAAAGACAATGCTTAACAAAGAAGGTTGAGTTTGATCATGGGAAGAAAGCAACGGTTCCTAAATTAGGTCATAAGAAAAATAGAAACAGTCAAACACCAAAAGTAAAGCTAGCAGAAGATACACACAGGTTAGGAAACAATGCAAGACGAAAAACCTGAGACTGGGAATAGATGACAGACAAAAACACACACTGTCTCGAAACACAGCTATTGGTTTTATTCCAAGTCACCCCATTCATGCGTCTGTCCACCCTCCTCGCAACAAGATACTAATACCGAAAGCGAGAAATAACACCCACTGACACGGCATGCCCCCAACCCACAAGCATGGCCAACAAAAGAATGAACCCTCACTAAGCTGACCTTCCACTGAACCCCATTAGTCGTCTGCAGAAACCTTCCCACCTCTCCATTCAACAATACAGCGGCTAATTTGCATAATTTCTACAGCTAGCAATCTGTATCGCTCCCTTCACAATTTGCCTATTGAATTCTTTTTCTTTATTTAGGACACTTGTTTTTTCACATACCGGTTTGCACCCATTACACTTTTCAACGTGTTTTTTGCTAGCTCCGATGTTTGTGACTTGCTTCTCACCGCCCTTTTATGCTCCAAGATTTTATCATTTAAGCAGCGGACCGTTTGTCCGATGTAGAAAAATCACATTCCAAAAAAATGCTATACGCAGCCCCTTCTTCACAAGAAACCACTGGACTCCCATGTTTTATGGAACACTCTCGACTCAGTCCCGGAATTTTTCATTATGGAGCAAGTTCACCTGCTTGCTTGCACATTTCCACTTTCTGGGAAACAATATTTGTTCCAGCAGTTTCCTGGTTATAACTTATGCGAATGATGCGTAAATAAAAAACTACATACATATATATATATATATATATTTAAAGGTTACCCGGTCTCGGAACTGTATGAAACGGCCACGTTTCAACTCACCCTTCGAGCCAATGCTGCTGGTGACCAATGATGGAACCGGGACGGCAGATGCGGATCCAGGCGATGGACTCTGCCGCCGTGAACCGGTAGTGCTTCATGATGTAGCAGGCAATGAGGGTCCCTGTGCGGCCCAGCCCTGCCTGGAACACGCGCCAACCGGCCGGTCAGGACAGCACTCCCCCAAAACTACTGTCGGGGTCTATGTTCAGCAGTCATTGATGTGTTCTGCTACAGCATGCTGGACAGACATAGCAATATGGGACAACAATGTTTTGGAATTTCGATGGCGGAGAGACTGCCCACGACAGGACGACAAAGGATCCCAAACAGCAATTAACCAAACCAATACCAAAAAAAAGGAAACAAAACTCTCTGATAAATCACCATCCCCACTGAGGGCTTAAATCACAGACCCATCTTCTCAGGTTGCTATTTCCCAGAGCCCTCAAACCGCTACACTCTAAATTTTGAGAATTCCTCGAACTGCGACGTTTTTTAAAAGAAAATCTTACGACTGGGCAGCAGCTCGACTGTACGAACCCAAAAACAGCCGAGATAAAAAAACAGCCAAGCTAAAACCAGATAACAAAAAACTGGTCTCGGCTGAATCCAGTTGAATCCATCCAGTCTCGTCTTCGGCGAGGAGACTGACCACGCAAACGGCGTAAATTTCCACCACACTGTCACCTCTTCCCCTTTCTTGTTTTCGGGAGGTACCAACGAGAACAGCGGAGGCCTTGACAACAACCAGCAGAGAGTGAGAGTCCGGATTCCCCACATGATGAGGACGCTCCAAGCCTCAGTCTAAAGACGCAAGCGAAGGGAATTTTTTCCCTCCAGCTAAAAAAAGATGCGCGAAATCGAACCAGAACCGGAGGAAAACCTCCACTTCCGGTACGGCTAATACCACAAATTCAAGAAACGTGTTCCGCTTGGACAGGCCTCGACTAGTTCACTCCAGCTGGACTGACCTTAAACTGGGGACAGAGAAGCATATTTAGGCTGGCGATTTCTGGAAACCGGATGAGACTCCCTCCAATCACGTCGCCGCGGAAGTCGTCTGCAGCATCTTGTTGTACCGCAAGGTTGGAACAGACCCTTTTTGAAATTCAGACAGGCGACTTTGATCACTATCATGATCTCAGTGTATGCCGCCCGGGCAAAACTAATGGCGGCCTTCATGAGGCTGATGAAGGAAGAAGTTGAAGCTACTACCAGGTGGAAGATATACGAGGCCTGTGCGTTCGAACACCGATACAACACGGCACACGAATTAGATACAACGGCTGCTTAAGCACCTATTTCAAAATATGGTCCAATCAATCTCTTGGCAAAAGTTCACCTCTAAAGCCTTGCAATAGCGGAAACTTAATTAAAGGGAAGATGGGGCACTTCTACATTTGAGAAAAAACGCTTGAATTGCGTTCATTTGGCCTTTAGATTAACAGATATCAAAATTGTATTTCAATGCGACGCGCCGGAGAGCCGTACGAGCAATTTCAAAATAGGACTGAAGCCCCGCCTCCCTAGCCTTGGGCAGCCAAAAGAGCCGTCGATGACGTCACGGACAGCGACTGTCTTTCGCGTTCTTCTCGAGTTTAACAATACTTACGCAGAAAATGGTTTGGGTATTCGGGTTCACGGGGTAAAAATACACTAGAATTCACTTTTAACTCATTTTTTCCAAGAAGCTCCGTAGCTTCCCTTTAAGGGGCTTATCGGTCAGTCGCCGCTGTGTACTGGTCACTTATCAGGTTCACACCCTCAAAACTAAAAGAGATAAAAAAAATATCACAATAAATTATCATCAGTTATTGACGTGCAAACTGATGAAATACAGGGTGTTACAAAAGAAAATTTACACAGTCTTTTTTACTGCAAAAATAAACTAGGCATCGCCGAACGCTCATTCTCCGCCCAAAGGTAGAGCTAGAGGTCACAACCAGATGCCAAAGTTTCAGCCTGATCCGATAACTTAATCAGAAGTTATAAGTGATTTTCTGAAAATTTCAATGGGAAAATGGAGCCCATTTTTGCCCGTTTTCGGTTTCTGGTGCCATTGAGCCCCATGTGTTTGAAAGCTCTGTCGGCGGCCATTTTCCCATTGAAATTTTCAGAAAATCACTTATAACTTTTTATTAAGTTATCGGATCGGGCTGAAACTTTGGCATCTGGTTGTGACCTCTAGCTCTACCTTTCGGCGGAGAATGAGCGTTTGACGATGCCCAGTTGATTTTTGCAGTAAAAAAGACCGTGTAAATTTTCTTTTGTGACACCCTGTAGTTTCACGACTGCCATTAGTTCGTCAAAACTGAAACCGTTTTTCGAGCCACCAGATGGCGCTAAATTTCGAAAAGGGTCCACTTGTGTTTTGACGAGCGGAGTGGTGTTTAGACAAAAAGAGGGAGAGGCACCCCCCCCACCTTGCAGTGGACGGCCAGGGCCCCCGGGGTGTTCTCGCTGATCTCGATGAACTCCCGCATGATGGCGTCGCTGGGCGTCGACCCGTCCACGAAGAACAGGTCCCGGTGGTCGAAGCCCTGCTCGGCAAAGCGCCGGGCATCGTAGATCTTCTTGTTCAGCCGCACCACCGTGCTCACGTTGTGCTTGCTGAAGTACGGGAAGTATGTCTCGGGGGAGTGGAACGGGTGGCCTGGAAGGGCGGCGGGACGCACGCGTTAACTCCAGTTCAAACTTGACTGCAGGGGCGCTCCTGCCAAAGCTCTTCGACCAAAGGAAAGTCGCAGAAGGTTTTGCTTTTCTTCTTTCTTTCAGAAGGTTTCGCTTCTTTTTAACTAACAGACAATAGTCACGGACAAGTTGAGAATGGCAAGGCGTCTCTTTGGAACACCCGGCTTCCAGCATGCGCTCATTGCCTTCCTCCATGCTTTGGATGCGTGCACGCTCAAGGCCAACGAGACACCAAAGCGCTGTCAAAGGCTCACGCTGCAGGCAAAACAATAAAACTCTTCCCTGTTGTTTTCATCCCGTCAGTGACCATGATGAGTTTGTCGCCCAGAGCGTCCTCAGGAAATTCGCACTAGTATTAATAACAAAATTTAAATAAATTAACCGACCATTGTTGGTTGCCCTTGTAGCAACGGTTACTTTTAGGGCGCAGCTCTTAGGCGCCCCGATTCCGGCTTGAGCGGCGTCGCCGTCGGCGTAACCGTGAGGTCACGTGACCCCCCCCCTGAGGTCAATTGAGGTCACGTGGCCCCCTGAGGTCACGTGGCCCCCCTGAGCTCACGTGGTCCCCCTGAGCTCACGTGGCGCCCCCAAGGTCACGTGACCCCCTGAAATCACGTGGCCCCCCTGAGGTCACGTGAACTCATGTGGGCCAGGTGAACTCAGGGTGTATGGGCTTCAGGTTCAGGAGGTTATTAATAATATTAATGGGGTGGTTTCGTTTGAAATCGAACACGGGTGTTGGAGTGGGTATTTCGATTCGCCTAAAAGAATTATATGCTAAATCCCAATTTCTGCAATAAACAAAACCACTTAATTTTTTTTTTTTTAGAAAAATAGTTTTTACGCAGAAAAATTTTAAACAGGAGCGAGGTCTGGCTAAAGCAAGCGTTTTGTAAATATGAATACTTCAAATAGTAAGAATAAAAAATAGAAGGAATAAAAACTGAAAGGGTATAATTGTTTGTGAATGTGCTCCATATTTTTATTAAATGCTACATTTTTAGGTTGTTTGATTTTTGAACCTAAAGTTCTGTCAGTTTTTATCAATAGGTAAAAACAAATACACTTGCAGTAATTTTTCTTGTAAAAATGTATGGCACGAGACTTTTTTTTTTTCCCCTTGAAACTAAACTGCGTTGGCATATTTGATGCCAGAAATAAAAAATGACAAATATTGCATTTTGACATTTTTGGTGACATATTTGGTACAATTTAGTTTAATTTATTTTAACAAAATAATTTATTTAAATTTATAAATTTCATTAAAAAAAATTAATTTAACCATTATTTAAACCCGCTATATTAAAAAAAAAGTCAATTTTTCTTTCTTTCTTATTATTTTTTTTTTTTTAGAGTTTCCAATAATGTTAACTTTCTGTTGGCATAATCAAAGTTCCCCCTTTTTTTGCTGCATTTTCTGTATAAGTGCCCAAACACAGATACACGCACCCACGGCGGCAAAGGAGCAGTTTCGAAAGTTTGCTTCACTGCAAGGTTCATTAGCCTAAAAATGCCAAGGGCAGGGAGGGCCGGAAGTGTTCGGGACGTGACGGGACGACGAAAAGTGACGGAACGGCGGAAAGGAAAGTTTTGTGCTTGTGCACCTGGAAAAAACGTCCGCCCACACCCCTCTGCTGTTCCAGTGCCACTGGCTACGCACTTTTGACCAGAGCAATAAACGAAGCTCGAACTACTTTTGATCTATCCAAGTCAAAAGAAGTCAAACTGTATGCGAGGTAGCAGTAGCACAAGCCTATCAAACCGCAACCTGTCCTTTGATTTAAAACGCGTTCCATTTCTCTTTTTGGGGAAGTGCTCGTGTGACCGTGAGGGTGGCAGGGGGGGGGGAGGGGTTGTAGGGGAGAAAGCTGCGAGCCACACTTTAACATGCAAAGAGCCACATACAACTCGCGAGCCGCGGCTTGGCCGACCCTGATTTAGATTATCAATGTCATTGGGTGTATAGGAATATGCAGTGTCTATTTTGAAGCTAATTTTACATACAATGTCAGGGTCCCTGAAATTGTTTACTCAGCCGCAAAGAAGATGTCATTTTGGTAAAAAAGCTGGCGTGTTTACGATTCAGTGCAGCACGTAGAGACTCTTTGTGATTTACCGAAGGAGATCAGAGAACGACGAGAAGACGTCACTTTGAAATCGAGCACACAATTGCTTTGTAATTCATGAATCGAGAGGTATGAAAACATGCTCCCGTTACACAAATTTACGAGTGACCATAAACTTTCAAGCCTTAGGCTCGTGCCGGTGCTCGTGATTCCTAACCGTGTTTACAACCAAAACATCCAGAACCAGCAATTTTTGAAAGTAATAGATTTACGCTCAAAATCTGCTCGCCGAGTATCATGCTCAGTGTCTTGGAGTAATTTTCACTTTAAGTGTTAATTCATTCGCAGCTATTTTTATGTAAACCGCAGTAATCGGTTCTCCACCTGCTGCACAGGGTGAGTGTGCGAGATTTGATTTCATTCTCATCATATAGACACAACTATCCAAGCTGTGACAGTCACAACTTATTGGTACAAAAAAGATTGAGGTACAGCTAAGCACTTCTTATGAGTTGTGACTGCGAAAGCATGTACATCAATCATGCTGTAGATGGTTGAGCGCGTTGGTTTCTGATTTACGATAAGGAAAGAGGGACAATGAAGACAAACAGACAAGACAGGCTTTCGACTTTCGCTGTCGGCACACTGACAGACACGCAACGCCATGAGGTGGCCGGTCGTTGAAACTGACGAGCAGCATCAGTTCCAACGAACGGACGAACGTCGCGGGCTAGCCAATGAGATCGCAGCTATGTAAAAGCTGCCGCTGGCTGTGGACGCATGCTAGCCAATATGATTGAAGCAATGCAAAAGAGCTCTTTCGCTCCATGAGACAGTTAAAGGCGCGGTGCAACGACATTCAATTAGAATGCTTTTCACTTTACACGAGCTTACCGGCACTAGTGGGACTCAAGGATACTCGCACGCAACGCCACTGACCAAGAAACTCCTTTGTTGCGCTGTAATTTTGAGGACAAAACCGAGTGTTTTCATTCAATCTCTCCTTCGCAAAACCTGATGACGTAGCTGGGCGGTAGCAGTACTGCCCAGTGACGATATTTGAATGTGGCGCATAGATTGGACCCGACCATGGCGTGGACACGGGTGACTAACCGAAGCATTCGGTTAGTGACCCGTGTTTAATCGCTGCAATGACGTCAACAGCCAAACCATAACAATGTCTGGAACTCGGCACGCGCCCTGTGCCTTGCCAACCCCAGCGCATGGCTATGATCAACATTGGCGGCATATAATCGGCTCCAGACCACGTGGCTGCTTGTTCTGGCTGCGAGTTGAGGGGGTGAACTCTGCTCGTTTTCCTTTATTTTTTTTCTGGGACTTCGATTGCGTGTGGTGAAAAACGAACGGGTATTTCACAGGTCATTGACGTCAGGGATCCGTTCTGAGCGGTATTTGCGGAAAATACAAAAATCGTTGCATCGCCCCTTTAATGCTTTCGCATTAAAGATAGGTTTACATTATGTGCAAGATAATACAGGTCATCCGATCCCATGCGTTTATAGGCACATTTTTAAAAATTATTTCTGATAGTGAAGTTTACATGCACATTACAGTGATTTCAACAACGCACCACTACCATTTTTTTCATACGACAGCTTGTGAATGAATACTGCTATTCATAAAAGTGCTTTACTTTCACTTGGGTACTCTTAAAAAGTGTAAACAGACTTCTGTTATTTTTTTTTACTTAGGTCACATGCTTTATAACTAGAGCCTTTCCTCAACCGAGTTCTCGCAGAGCGACGACCCGACTGGTAACAGCGTCGCGAAACGAAACCCACCGTTCTCAATTTTGCTCTTGGGGTGAGGCCCGCAGAAGGCGATGAACTTGTGAGGCACAATCCAGTTGAGGTCGCCGTTTTCGACCCTCTCGTAGTATTCATACTCCTCAAGGTCGAAGTTTTCAAAGTCCAGAAATTTGTGGCTGATGGCCTGACAGAAGAGAAGAAACGCTGTTTCAACCCCAGCAAACGAAACTGCAAGCTAAGTTGGAAGCTCAGCAGTCAGAAGTTATAACCCTTCGTTGACAAGTGTTGTCTACAGGCTACAAAGCACATAAGAATTTTTTTTTGGTTTAATAGTTTTGGTTTTATAGTTTTGGTTTTATCACATTTTTTTTTAATATAGCAGTCTGGCATCGAGTGAAGAGATATGCAAATAGTTGATGAGAAAAAAGAAGTTTGGCACGCAAATACATGGCAATAGATAACAGCAAAACGGAGAAAAATATGGATAAGTGTTTTTCTCTTGCCACTAATATTTTATGATAGATGACCATTTTACTTGAGGCTATTGTATGATCGTACAAAAATGTTAATATTAAAATGTGTAATTGCCAAATTCAAATTCTACCTTTTTTTTTTTCTTTTTGCCAAGTGCCATTATTGTTTTATGGATGTTCTGAAAATATTTTCATGAACAGATTTCAATAAACTTGGAACATTTCTTTACTGGAATAATTGGACTTGGCCCCAAATCTGTACTTTTTGCCCTAATCTTAAGAGTTAAAGATGTAACTGGCTAAAACTTATTATTACCTTGTCTCTTCACAAAAATACTTGGGTATTTATAAATAAACAAATCTGCTCTATAAACAATCTACCATTAGTTTTAGAATAATACTATACAGTTAAAAAAAATTCTTTCTAAACAAACATTTACCCTAACAACTTAGAAAAAATGACCAAACGATGACATACTTTCTTACATTTGTTGTATGAAAAAAAGTATTGTACATCTGACTGCAGACGCAAAATCAGCATTAAAAAATACATGCTAGATTCGAACAAGTTTAGCGAAAAATCTGCTCATGCTTCAGAGATGGCATAGTCGTAGTATTTAGCTTGAATTTAGGAACGAGCAAAATAACAGAAATTAGAAAGGTAATGAGATGACCCTAGGTCAGCATGTCACTTATACGAAGACTGCACCCTGAGCTTATCTCAGTACCTAGTCAAGCCACAGCCCCTAAGAGCCCTAAAAGTAGGCTAATAAAGTTAACAAATGCAGACGAAAACAAAAATGTGTTACCTTTTCCACAGCACGCAGACAATCAAGGAGGGTGAGGTTGTATGTGCATGGACCAAATGAGGCATCCCTGCCAGGGACAAAACCACAGGTTCAAGGCTCACTTCACTAACAAAGTATATCCAAAAACTTTGCTAGCACATATGGTAAACACAGTGTTGGGAAGTGCTTTAGTTAACATACTTTACTCAAAGGGCATTGTTTGAGTATACATGTACATGTAGTTTCCGTGAAGTGTTTTTTCTGGTACTTTCCGAGGAAAGTGCAACTCCCGACCTTCAATGTACATTCCCCCAATTCGGTCTTGTTAAATTCGCATCACATAATGATGCTTTGTCAACTCAGAAGAAATACTGGCAGGGATGTTCTACTCGCACCAGAAACACGAGCAGACGACGCATCGATTCGTTTGTACTGGGGGCGGCTTTCCCGCAGCCTTCCGAACACCTCTTGCTCGGTCAGTGCAAGCGAGGAGGTAAAAAATATTAGGAAAGGAGGTACTCCACAAGAGGACTGCTTACGGAAGCTATGGGGCTGGTGCCATGCTCTCTATAATGAAAGATTGTGTTAAAAAGTGTCTTTACTTTACTTTCAAAGTACATTGTATTTATAGTGCTTTACTGCAATTACATTGTGCCCTATGTACTTTCTACTTTACTTGAAGTACATAACCTCCTCATTTACTTTGTACTTTACTTCAAGTATGCTTTAGATTTACAGCGCTTGTACCGTCTGCGTGTTTCTTCTCCTTCGTCCGTGTTTGTTTGTGCTGTTTTTACATTATGATCAACAAATACCAACTAGCCCAACTCTCTACATTAATTCAGCTTTAGATGTACTTTATCCAACACTGGGCATACGTCATGGACATTCTGAGAAAACGTTTTCGCACTGGACAGTTTAATTTTGTCCGACTGTTCACCCCACTTCATGGTGGTCTGAATGTGGCCAGTTTGTGGCACTCTCCCCTCTTGTGAAATTTTTTATGACTTTTAAACTTCCGAGGACAAAATAAAATACTTAAAAAATCAAGATCAATAGTCAAAAACACCCTGCATTCAAACAACTATGCTTATGTAACATACCCCAATGCACTCCTTTTTGCACCTCACAGTTTCGTCTTCTTTTGCTACGAATGTGCTAAAAGAATTTGGCACACAAGAACCGATGTTTTTCCACGTAGGATACAAAAAAGAGAGCTGTTTCAAATAGGTCGAATGGGTGGTATGCTAAAATTGTACAAGAGCACCTAGTTGCAGTCTGGGCATTCTCCCCTGCTCAAAAAAAGTGTATCTGCTGTTTCTCAAGTCGCATATAAGTGCCAAATGGAATTTTTTGTTTAATATATGTTAGCAAAAGAATAAACACAGGGACGTACAAGATGGCACAAGATGTGCCGTCTTCTCCACCCCTGTTTATTATTTCAACAATGTAAAATACCATCAACATATAGTCACCTTCTAAACAATTTTTGTTCTTTTCTAAGAAAAAAAAAAAAGCTTCATTTTGATTCTTTTGTAAAAAAAAGTTTGTTCCTGTTTCTGAAACTTAAATATTCCAGTGAACTTGAAATAGCTGCAGGAAAATTGGCGTCAAATATACAACAAAATTTTCTTTTTACCACCAAACACTAGTTTGACCCAATTCCTGTTCAAACAATGCAATATTTGCATAGCTGTTTAACTCCTTCAAAAATTGTAGTATTAAAACTTACATAAAAAGAAATAAAATAAAGTAGCTTAGCAAATAGACCCTTTCCTACACAGACACACACGCAAATTATGCGTATGAAATCCAGGAGAAATTAATTTTTTTTTTTAAAGTTATTTCAATGACCCCACAGACTCCTGCACATTTACCTGAATGGGATGTAGGAAGCGTAGGACCCATTCACCAGTGGCTGGTAGGCTTCCTCTGCCGACCGCTTTAAGTAGAGCACCTACATAGAAGAGACGTGTCGCTGAATGTGACCAGTGCGACAGATGCCATATTGAGACACCCCCCTTCCCCAACTCTCTTGGACATCAACGCCTTGGCGCACAAACTAAAATGAGAATTACAACTGAACAACAAAAAATATTACAATGTTCCCCGGGAATATTTAAGATGACAGTCATGAAATATCAATAAGCAGTAAATAAACTTTTGAACAAGCATAGTTTTCGTTCCACAATTCAACAAATTGTTTTTTAGCTTCGTTTCTCCTTGTCTTTGTGTGCGCGATTTTTCATCGTGTTCTATCGAACAAGCAGTCGTGCAGTGGAAGCCAGTGCACCTCCAAATAGTACAGAGTGTCACCGAAAAAATATTTACACAGATTTTATAGTCGTAGAAATGAAGCATGCATCGCTGGACGCTCATTTGACCAAATGCAGCGCTAGGGGTCCGGACCAGATGCAGAAGTTTCGGAGTTTGCCGTCGCCTTTTCGAAAAGTTACGAGTGATTTTCTGAAAACTTCAATGAAACAATGGAACCCGTTTTTGGCAGCCGACGCCATTCATCTTTATGTGTCGGTTGTCATTTTCCTACTGAAATATTTTTAAAAATCACTTAGAACTTTGGAATTTGGTAGTGAAAGCTCTGAATCTTTGGCATCTAAGCAAAAACTAGGCTTTATACTTTTTTTTTTTTTTTAAAGCATTTTGTACATTGTTTTTTAATAAGGATTCAGGAAGTTAAAATTCGGCGGGTTCAACTAACGTCTATTGGCAGAACAATCCATTTCTTTTCCATATGCTAGCTGTTAAAAGAACAGTCGTCCACAATTTATTTTTTCACACTTCAATACCCAAAGACACCTTGTGGAAGAGTTTGATGCGGAGTGTCTCACCGAATATGCACCAATCAGGAAAGCTGCATTGACCCTCTTCTTGCTGTCGCTACTTGTGTAGTGCACAATCTTCTTCTGCGCCAGGGCATAAGACTGCGATTCCAACAAAGTATGGCCTTCAAGCTCGGCAGCACATCCAAGCCTTTAATAATGCGACCGAACACAGAAATGCACAATAAAATAAAATTTAAAAAAAAGAGACAGAAAGACCGTGTACACAGACTGACCTTGAGCTTTTTGTTGAGCTTGACGCAGTAGCGGTACAGCATCGCCAGATTCAGCGGGCCGAAGTCCGCGTAAAAGCTTTCGTACACCAATTCCTCGTCCACACTGAAGACGTGGCTGAGCGCCGTTGAACGCGGCTTGACCGTGCTCCTTGCGGTCGCAAAGAAGAGCCGATCTGAACAGACAGAAAAATAAAAATAAATAAATGGAGTTGTAAGTCGTGAGCAAAGAAACCCTACAAGAACGCGCGCGCACTCAAAACTTTCATTCACGCCGCCGAGTCCGGCATGCACGCAGTGTTCAGCCGGTGAACAACAAGTACGAACGAACAGTGCGGGAATCGAGTCGGTTGATTTAGGTCGACCGATCGCGCGGTTCTTCCACCGTGGCATTTTTCTGTTTCCTTCAAAACGGGCGCGCGATTATTGCAACGCCAGATCGCGCCCCGCGATTCCTAAATTCAAAACTTGGAGACCCGAGCCCGGTCACTGCACCCGGGTCCCGCGGGCCCGGGAAGCCCCCCCAAAACAGAAATGAGGTCAGGCGTCGCGCCGAACCCCGGGTTCCAGAAACGAAACCTCCACGGGCTCGGGGGCTCGTCCGAACGCATCGTACTAGGCCTACGCCGCGGGGAGCTCATCGAGACCGCCCACCTTTGACGATCTCGGCCAAGTGGATGATCGAATCGCTGTTGATGTCTTCCATGGTTCCCGGCGGCGTTCGGGCGGCGTTCCTCTTCCGACGGCGAGGTTACCGAAGTCGAGGAGCTGCCGCGTTCCTTCAAAACGGCGCCCGCGGGGTTTGCAGCAGCGACTACGACGGGTACAGCCCGGGCAACATCCCTGACGGACCGACGCCTGCGAGTCGAACTCTGCGGTCGTCGGCAGATTTCGACGCAAACACTCGGCGCTGGGCTGCTCCCGTCAGATTTTGTACTTGGTCGAGCCCTGGGTTCGGTCTTGGGCGCTCAGCTGTCCACCGCCTTTTAACGCACAGCCATCTTTTTTCCTCAGCCGTCAGCAGAAATTTAAAAAGGACCCATGAGCGCTCGTCTAGCAACGCCCACGTGACGCAGGCAGGCCAATGGGGGTGTCGGGGGCGGCCGCCATTGCTCGATGCCTTGCCGCCTCACCAGCCTCGCGCGCGCGCCTCGATGAACGTTGCAAACAAAATAAAAAAGAAAATACGAAGGTGGAGGGGTGTTTCTCACACGCTCAACCGATTATTTCTCGGTGGCGTGCGACTTTGAGACAACAAACCGTCGTGCAGCACGCCTCGCGTAGCGTAGTTCGCTTGAGCTCAAGGATACTCGCAGATACGACTCGAGAAGCAGATGAGCAGATTAGGCGAATTCGCAGACGGGTAATTTAGTTTCGGTTTCGGCAGTTTGCGCGCGCACCATGGGCGGCTGCCGTTTTATACGTGAAACATGTCCATGTTGATTTAGCATGATATGCTACGGTTCAAGTGGCGAAGAACAAATTGATTAAGTTGATGTAAGGGTGCATGCGAGCTAGTGAAGTACTGAGATTTAATTAACCCGCGACTCCAACTCCGCAACAAGGAGATGGTAGATTCCACCATGATACGGCCAACATGGACAGCCATGTAACGAACCTCTAGTAGTGTCATGTAAACGAAATAACGCACAGAGCGACGGACACGTGGCGATATACATGCGCTGTAAAATGTACCCCCTAGAATAAACTACTGATCATTGCCGGTGTAAAAAAAAAAAATTGCGCGGAGAAGCACCTTTAAATTAAAGGTGGCCAAATCAGCCACCTTTAATTTGATCATTATCAGAGAAAACGGCCTATTTCAGTATTGCGAGACTGAGGGCTTTCGTCGAAGTTCGCTTATGAGCCACGACCGACACATTTCAGTCGCATTTTGATTCAGCGTTCTAGAATAGAGGGATAGCATCACGGCACAAACTGCATAAAATTAGGCTTGTTCGATCTACCTGCGCCAATGCAAGAATGTGTAGGGTAGTGCCTTTCCAGTATGTCCCGTGAGATACAACCAAAACTACTACATTGCCCTACAATTTTCTGCCCCCATAGAGTTGAGGTGTGCAGGTAAATTAATTGAGCCTAATCCACTGCTCGTGTGCACATCAGGGTTCCAAAAGGGACTGACAATAAAGTGACAATCTCTAAATTGGTTTCACTGAGTGCCAGCTGTATAACTGGCAATTTGATGTTTAGGTCCGCCATTAATTGACTGCGGAGCAGATGGGGAGATCCCGTCGCTAAACCCAAAGAATTGTTCAGTCGTTATTTGTGAACCGACAAGCAGGTCTGCAACATCAAAAATGGTTACTCAATGGGTGGAGAGAAATACCGACCGACTTTAAAGGATATAAAATCTCGCATTTGCTGGCTGTGGCTATTTGATAGGAAAATGCGCAGTTTACCAACAAGAGCCGGCGTCAGCCCACACCAGGCAATACAACATGTAGGTCCGTTTCACTCAACCCGGGGGCGCTGTGGTGTCGACGAGACGCGACCACAAAAGAAGCGCCTTCACTAGCGACCGCGAGACGCGACCATTTAATGCCGAGGCGAGGCAGTGTCCTAGCGTCCCATTATGCACGATCCATAGGCATAAACTACAGTCTGTCGGCATCTGTAAACGGGCAGTAACAAAGCAACTGAAAGGACGAAATGCGACCTAAAGATATTCCAATGTGCTTGCCACAGGTCTATGGACAATAATACTTGAAAACTTAGTGCAACATACGCAAGAGATAATCGGGCCTCCGACCTTTACATTTCTGTAGCGATGCCTCTCTCTACGAGAATGCTTTGAAACTGTGACCTAAATATGAGGGAGCAAAACCAGGGTCCTGTTACTGTGTCACTTTTTAACATTGCCTGCTTTAAAGCCAACAGACTTATTCCAGCAAGGCTTCAGTGCATTGACCTAGCTGCAGAGCATGTTTCTGAACATTCAAGAAAGGCGTTCGCCACAGATACGAAATCATTGGTCGGTGCTGAAATGTTTGCCAGTAAGATGTTCTTTTGAGCAATCACTTCGAGAAATTTGGGTTGTCCGACGTTATCGACCAGGTTTTATGAAGGTGATCCACCGGCAAAACGGCCTCAGCACCCCAGAAGATGGAACACAACAAATTTCCCCTCAGATTGGAGCACGCTTGGCGTTCACTGGAGTGGGAGACTATACTTGCTTTTGCCGTTTAGATTAGATTAAAAACAAATATGATTGATTTGTAAAACTTAGTTGGTCAGCACGCAAAGTGATTGCTTATTATAATGTTTGTCAAACAATGTACGTATGATGCACATTTCTTAGAAACCAAAGTCTAAGCTAAGAAATAACAAGCACTTGTCCTGAAGGGAACTGTGCAGTGGCAAGTGCAACAACTGCCAGTGACGTGATCGAAAAATGGGAAATACAAATGAAACAAAAAACAGACAATAAAAATACAAACAGTCATGCAACTATGCGGCCATGGTGTCCCTTGTCAGCATTTCCACTCCTGCACCTCAATGGGTCCGTTGCAAAGCGCCAGTAAATTCACAGAATTACTGCAACATTGGTAAAATGTGTAAAAAAAATAAACATTGAACATTTATTGCACATATATTGAGCACAGAGCAATATTAGCGTTTGTACAAAAATATAGCTGTTTCTGCAACCGGTAAGACAACATGGAGAGAAGAGAGAGTGTCCCTTCAGTATTCAGGAGAGCTCCAGCAAGGCAAAGGTCCCACTAGTCACTATGGCACTTTAGCTGACTTTCTCTAAATATCTGCAAGAATGTTTGCTCAAACCGAGAAAAGAGGAGAGAACAGTAATAACAGCTGTCAGACATAATGGGATCCCACATCCAGGATTATAAAAACTTAAAAAGAAAACCAGCTATAATATGGTAACATTTTCCTGCAAAGAAAAACCTGCGTTGCAAAAAAAACAGCAAAACATTTGTGATTGCACGTAAAGGAAAAAGCTCCATTCGACTGTGTATTTACTTGGAGTGTAAGTGTGCTTAATAGTGTAGGCGACAGTATTTCTAGGAGGCACTTAAGAGGCTGGCCAATGTCTCACCTTACTGGCCATCATTCAGTCGTAGAAACTAGTCCCTTCTCATTTTACATTTCTGAAAGAGTAGGAGTGGAAGCTTAAAAGTAAATATAACAAACGCATTAGAAAAGATTTAAATTTTCCGAACAATGTTTTTGTAGACTGAAGCCATTTTTAAGACATACTTTATACACGTAGCACAATAATCACTCGCTACATCCCCGTAAAAACATGTTGCTGAATGCATCTTTAGCAATAACAAAACCCAAAAAGAAAACGACTCTTAAAGAGATGCACATGAAATATTGACTCCCCGCACTCAAACTCGCTTCCAAACTGGAAACATTTTCCCTGAACACAAGCGAGAATCGCAGAGAAATCCCCTGCAATTCCTAGGCACTCGGAGCTAATGACGTCAGTTCTCTTAAATGCGATATTTCCAGCTGCATCGCCTAAAGGCACCCACTTGGACAGAAGTCTGTCATTAACCGCTGGAATAACTCTCTTTAAAAAAAAAAAAATACCCTTTAGAAAAAAAAGGAGTATTTCCCCAGCAAAGTATCACATACGCCTTTGTCGAGAAAGCTCGAACACTAAATTCTTCAAAAATGCTTCAAAACCTCTTGGGAGGTAAGGGGGGTAATGGTTTATGCAGAAAGGGTTGTTGCCGTGCAAAAAGGCATTGCAAAACATCTCATTTTTAAGCAACAACACCGAGTACCAGCCTGTAGGCATAGCCAACGAATGCTAAAAGTAAAACAAAAACATAAATGTATGCAGTGGCCCCAAAAAAAATAAAGGTTCAATTTCAGCAATGCATAGTGCGAACCAATCAAAACACTACATTGCGCAGTGAGCAGCTCGCCGAACTGAACACTTCCAGACGGACACGCAAATAGTAGTCAACAGACGGCCGGCTGGACTCGGCTAAGACAAGTACCGTAGAGCCAACGTTCAATCCCGTAGCCCCAGTTCGGTCACCTTGCGCTGTGCGTAGCTCATGACTATCATGCTGGTACCGTTCGCTACGAAGCTACGGATCGAGCCGGGAGCCAGACCGCGGTACATCGCCGCAAAGCCACCCTTCTCGCTGTAGACAGACCGCATTCGCTGAAGAAGGGACACATTCCTGAAAGGCAAAAATTTAAAGGAGTGCAGTTACAAGTGTGGTTAATGTCGCAACAATTAAAACAACACTAACAGTTGCTAAAACCCACAGAAGAAACACGAAAACCTTTACCTTTAAAGAACCTGGTTGCAGTCTGTTCTTTTCTGTTTAAGGGCTCTTAAAACGCCTATTAAAAGGGTCTGCACAGTGCTTGTAGTCGCAACTGCCACTGCTATCAGCTAGAGAACCAATCAAAATGAGAAGCTGGACTTGGGCCAGCAAACAAGATGGTAGTTAAAAGTATTGTCACTACCAATTCTAAAAAAAGCAGAGAAGACAATTGCCACACATTCTACGGCACTCGCAGCTGCCACAGGCTTCTGGCTTCGCCATCATTTTTCTATCCAAAAGCACAGGTGTCAAAAGCACTTCATAACAGATGCAGCATTTTTAGAAGTATCACTGATATCCAATCTAACATCACACCACACGTGCAGGTAAGTTGCAAACAAATAGGGGTTGGGTGATGTCTCGGTTTAAAGGGGCACTGCTAGCCTTCTCATGCTGCTTCCAAGTGTGCACGGGGACTGACTGCCAAGAACATGGTAATATGCAAACTTAACATTTTTTTCAACATTCATTCTTAATGAGGCACTGTGGGTATGCTCACTTTACAAGTACAAGAGGAAAAATTTACTTGTGTGCGTTACTGGTGAACACTAGTGATGGGCCAAACTTTTGCCAAATCTTGGGATTTGGCAAAGCCAGACTTTTGCCAAACGTTTCTAAAGACTCGTCAAAAATACATTGTTACCAGACTTAACGCTGATATTCAAATTTTTCTGGTGAAAAACTTTTTTTTGTTACATGTAATACATATTGACACTGTTATTACTAAAGAAGGTGGTATTCTAGAAGATAATTGTGTTGGTGTCGTTTTTGTGTGTTTACTGGCAATTTTACAGTGACTTCTTGTAAAAGTGGCGTGACAACGAGGTTAGGGAGTAGCGGGCGCGCGCAGTCACGAATCGCGATATGAGTGCTTCGGTCTTGAAGCCTCATCAGCGCACGCCTGCAAGTGTGTGTACATTGTCAAGATAAAGGCAATAACATTGCCTTTATCTTTAACATTGCGTTCTTACTTTCTCTGGAAGTCACCGTTTCGTTTGCAACAACGAATGCAACGGTTGCCGAGACTTCACCAGAAGAGATAACAATATTATTGTAAATACGCATGCTTTTGTATTTGAGTCACTTGGCATCAGCTTTGCATGAAAACATGCTTTCTATATATTCGCAAGTTTCGTTTTTAACCTTTAAAATGCCAGTTTGTGATCTTAGGACACATACGGACATTAAGGAAGATGGGAAGAGTTAGGAATGTCAGATGTGCAACGACGAGCATAATAGTTCTGGGTTTAGCTTTATGCAGAGACATGGAAACCGCAAAATGATGCTATTTATAAAGCAACATTATTTTGTTTTGGCACAAACTACTTGTGAGCTAAAAACATGATTGTTATAATTGTGGGGAGTGCATTAAAGTAATTGTCAGTCAATGTTTCAACCACCTTGTTGCAACACTGGAAAGATTAGATGGAAATCACATTATCCAGAATGTGCCGCACCATTCGTCACTTGCGCAGTGAACTGCGTAAATTGCTGGTCGGTCTTCTGTTCTTGAGGCAGAAAATATTGAAGAGAACCACACTTGCAAAGGCTCACAAATGCACAGTTACCGTGTTGCCTACTCCACACTTCGCTGTAACCGCTGGTTGTACCACGCTGTACGATGGTAACCACACAACTGCACGGCGTGCACAGATATTTGCCCAATTTTTGCCGAACTTTCCCTCAAAACTTTTGCATCTGCCGAACTTTGCCGAATCTGCAGTTCGGCAGATTCAGTCAATCACTAGTGAACGCTCGAGGAGGCAACGACGGGAGCAAAGCAACTGGCCGATGAGCCGCAGGCTAGCAGACGGTGAGCCTTTCAAGTCTGCTTTGCTCATATTGCATTACCCCCGAGAGAAGAGGAAAATAAATGGGTGACTCCACAGAAAGCGAGAACTCCTTCCCACCAGGTATGCAAACATTTGCGTGGCCATTTTCATTGTAGTTTCATTTCCCGCGGCTTCCTTAAAAGTGTCTTCTGTTCGTGGATGTTATAGTATCTGGTGTTTCTGGTGCAGCTGCGCACCATCTAACCGTGCTGTGCACCTATATAATGTTGGGCTCGCTAGTGTATACTCCTCAGTTGGTTTGATAGCATGCCCCCCAAGGGATGCCCATCACCAGATGTGACAGAATGTGGATGTGTAAAAAGTTTCGGGAAACAGCTGCACCTAGAGAGGAGGAGAGAGGAATGACGCTCACTTTCCGTAGTGTCCCTGCACTTGAGATTTCATGTACTCCAGTGGCCAGACGATCCACCAGGCGGCGGTGGCGGCCAGGCCGGAAATGAGGAAGGGACCCAGGAGGGGGCGCTGGAAGTAGTCGTTGAAGTGGCGACGACCAGAGTCCAGGAAGATGAAGTAGGACGTCATCAGTCCCACCGTGCGGAGCCAGGTGACGCCAAAGCCCTGGCAGACAAGGAACCTCATTGGCTAAAGAATGTCCCAAAGACACCGTTCACTGCAGTACAAACGGGGATATGACAAGGGGCATGTGGATGACTCAGGCCTAATGCAGGCCAGACATCCTTACAGATCAAAGAAAAGCCTCATCACCCCTATCCGAAACTAAACTATGAAGTGCACAAATTCGTCTGCTCCTTGAGCAGGGGCTGCGGTAACATCAGAACGCCAAACTCTGATTGAAGGACAGAGGGTAGACCTCAAGGCAGCTTGCTTTGAGGTCTACCCACTATCCTTCAATCAGAACTTGGCGTTCTGACACCACCACAACCCCTGCAAACAAGGCAGACAAACTTGCTCTCTGCATGCAAGAGAAGCAAGAATGGAAAGGCAACAAATCAAGGTATAAAAGAAACCTTTCCGCAGAGACATCTTGCCTCAAACATAGACAGCACCGCCATCACAATTGTCTGTGTACCCACCGTGTAGACCTTGCGAAGCGTCCACGTCTGGCCAATTTGCCGACTTATCTGCGAAAGAAACGATGACAATCGAGGGTTCATTGGCGCAAAGGCAACCGAGACTATCTGCACAAAACAAAAAGTCATTTGAAAGAGCCTAAAGGAGGTGGAGACAAAATCGGCAAGCTATAGCTGTTGTAAATATACTGGGCATTTATCCTGAAGAAGAAAACCTACAAACGATTATAAGATCCCGTTCGACAATGGCGTGAGTTTCGAAGAGACTATGAAACAATTTTGAGGTACACTGTACTTAAGTGCATTTCATACAACGTGCGAAATTTGGTTACCACAGAGTAACAGATGTCCGTGGCCCGATTCAACGACCCCTATGGATACCTCATGAAACTTCAAACTGAAGTTTTACTACAGCGCCAATGACAGTTATTCACATCTTTATTATCCTCGCCAAACCGGTAGAGACATAGTATTGTCGTCTCCGACAGTACAACGGGAGGCGAGAAGAGAGTTTGAGCTTTGTGCCCATTTTGCCATGTGCCACAGCACACGTCGTTTCCTCACAAACAGTGACAGTCCTCTTCAGAGTTAGACAGAAGAAATGCTGAACCGGAAAACTAATATAGGTTTGGGTCATTCCATCCTCAAGGAGACGCTGCAATTTTTTCATGTCTGGGATATGTACGAAAACAAAAAAATTTTTTATAAAGAAGTTTCTGAACTCTGTCTCTGAAAAAATAAATTATATTTTTGCTGATGTCATGCTCTAAATTTCTGGAATTTACATAAAACCCTTGTAGTTAAAAAAAAACTGTGAGAAAATGGTTGCATACCACAGAAATTTAGGTGGGTGCCTAATTACATAATTACATGTCCTATTTTACAGTAATATACAAACATTGAAAGATGCCATTTAAATTTAGTCCAAATAAGAGCTCCAAAAAGAAGAAAGAGACTTCATGAGATTTCTTTTTCTTTTTTAGCCAACTTGGAGTTTGGTATTAGCTATAATACTTTTTTCTTTTGTTCTCATAGAACTAATATTTTGAATTGCACATGTTAAATTTTTAAAGCCTCGCTTTGTTGCTTTTTAATTAAAAGACAAAACCTCCAGTCTACGCAAAAACCGCCTTATTGAGAACCAGAAAAAACAATGTGGGCATCGGCACCCGCTAGCACTCAACTCCAAGCTGACCAAAAAAATGGAGACATCCCATGGCCTCTTTTTTTAAGCTCCCATTTGGACTCAAAATGGCGTCTTTCAATGTTGTATTTTACTGCAATGTCCCGTTCACACTCTTGCAACTGAGTATGGATGAGAGGGACGAGATCTGTTAAAACTTCTTAAAATTTCTTAGGACGAGAGAACACACACATGACACACTGGCACTATCTATGCGGTGACCCTGGAACTGCATTTCCCAAGAGCAAAGATTTTGCGAGATTTCCGAGGTCAAATGTGCATAATACCTATAAGAAAGACTCGTTTATAATGTTCACAAAAGTTTTTCGAGCCAAGAAAAAAAGGATAATGCGCGAGAGAAATAGAAACTTGCCGGACCACCAAGTTTACACAGCTAACCAATAGATGGTGCCATTGTGTCCTCTCGTTGTAAGAGGTTTTAAGGAACCCAGTTTTAAGAGGTCGCAAGAGTGTGAACGGGTCTTAAGATAGAGCAGGTTATTACGTAATTAGGTGCCTACCCAAATTTGCATGGTACGTAACCGTTTTTTCACAATGATTTTCTTAACTACACAGGTTTGATAAAAACTCCAGATACTTAAAGCACAAAAAAAAAAAAAAATATATATATATATATATATATATATATTTATATTTTTACATTTAAATTACTGTTTTTGTACATATCCCAAAATGAAAAAAATGCTGCATCTCTTTTGGCATGATATGACTTTTCTCCAATCGCTGCTCGCTGAAGTTCGATTCTGAGCACTGTTTGACCAAAGCCTACCAATCATTTCAAAGTCTCCTCAGCTGATTTGAAAAGACACAACGCTAACCTTGGCATACTCCAGCGGGCATTCGATGATGGCCCTGGCCGTTGAAGCAATCACGCCTCCGACAACTACTCTCCTGAAAGTAGGGACCAGGCAAGTCGGAAAACAATCACACCATGCCCGGAATCAACTCTATGCTCACGTCTGTAGTCCAGCCGTAAATGGGATTTCGCTCCTGGCTATGCTGCCATCAAGGTATGTATACCTGAAAAGAAAACAAAATACTTGAAATCGTATGATATGACGTTGCCCGGGTGGTCAGTTATCTATTTTACAAAATGTTTTCGCTCGATAGTTTTTAGAGATGCTTGTATGAATTTTCACAGCATATTTGGTATTTCGTCGAAAGTATTGTATGTCGTGTCCGCTCACGTTTTTCTTAGAGCTCTGCCACTGTACAAGGCGTCCCACTCAGGGTTCTTTTCACCGCAAAAATAAACCAAGCATCACCGAACGCTACTTAAGTTTAGTCCTAGAGGTACGAACTAAAAACCGAAGTTTCTAACCGTTATCTCGGACACAGTTATACGTGACTTCCTAAAAATTTCAATGAGACCAGTTTTCGGCAACTGGATGCCATTCATTTAGAGGCCCATCGGCCACCATTTTTATATTAAAAATTACAAAAAATAGTTTAAAACTTTTGATTAACATAATGGTTAGTTCTGAAACTCTGGTTCGGACTGCTAAGGCACATTTCATCAAAGAATGCGCATTTCGTGATACATAGTTCATTTTTGCGGCAAAAAAGCCTTGTAGTTTTTTCCTTGGGGACACTCTGCATTTATGTACAAACAATATGAACTGCGCATTGTGTGCGAACAAGCATGAAAACGCTTACGCGGCTTCAAAAACAGCAAACTGTACCGAGCGGTAAATGCCAGATCCAAGTAAAGGTGGCACGCAACCTCTGAAAAACAAAAAGAAAAGGAAAAAAAAAAAGTCTGCATTAGGAATTATAATTTGGGCACGAATTAAACACGCTGAACGCACAAAAACACGTTTAAGTTACCTGTATAACCCAATGACGCCGCCCGTTTTGAGCGTTTTTCGGAACGACTGGTACATGCTGCAGCTCTCGAATCCCACTTGAGCTTGCATTTTCGTCTTGATCGTGTCGAACGGGTGACCCACGCAGACGTTTGTGACTCCATAGAGAACTCCGACTGCGAAGACGATAAAGCGCACAAACAGCATCAGACGTATCGTCCCAATGTGATATCATCGTATAATTAGACAATTTCAACTGATAACGCGTTGTGAAGTTGTTTTTTTGTTTCTAAAGTAACCTAGTCTCGTGGTTGAATCCCTAACTTCAATTCAGGTAGTCGCGCTTTCAAGCGCCGGATTGAATTAATTCAGCCTATTCCACAATCTAATGTCACGCCACAGTGACAGCGTAAATGCCTCACCTCCTAGTCCAATGGCCCCTTCCTTGATCCAGTGCGTCCGCTCTTCGTTGTGTGTCATATTAGCAGTTTGTATATACTATCTGAAAAGCTATGGGCTAAGTTAAGCGTTTCTTTTTATAAAGCACGGCACCACCGCAAGCAAGGGGCCGAGATAAACATCTGAGCTGAATGGCCGAGTTCGCCCGGTGCCCGCGGTGCCGCCGAACGTATTTCGCCATCTCTTTCCGTAAAACCCACCGCCGTCTCTATGTGCAAAAGGTCATTGTATTACTCCGCTAGAGCAACGAAAAATAATTTTTGTGACTACTTCATAAACTTAAAAAATAAAAATTTAACACGGGTATTTTATATTTATATAAAATAATTTTAATGAGATTTATTTAAAAAAAGAGACTTTTACACCTTTGTTGGTATTTCTTTTTAATGCGGAGGCACCTCGAGACACCTGTTTGCTAAAAGTCGACGGAGGTAGCCTTTAGAAACGAGCTATTTTTGCTTGTGCAGCCATCTGATGGAGAGTCAACGAACGATACACCGTACGACAGATTTTTAATACACGTGCGTGCAACGTTGGCGCCGAAACATCGGCGGGTCTCATACATTCCGTAACATTTTAATCCGCTCCTTCTGTTATGGAAATTGACCGGATATCAACACTACTGGATGAAATTCTAACCCCACTAGGCATCGAATCCCATCCATTTAAGGTGAGCCAGTCGCGCACGCGTCACATACGATTGCCAAATATCCCTGCGCAGTGGCCCGTTATTCGAAATTGGACACCCCTGCTCGAAATCAAAATCGCAGTAAAACATACGGAACTGTGTGTTCCTTTTCAAATGATATAATAGTCATGCACGCGCGACAAATGACTGAGTTAGACCGATGCGCTTGTGTGTGTTTTCCTCTAGCCGATGGATGCGTGGCCTTGAGCGGTCTAGAGCAATGGTTGAATAACCGCGCTCTAATCGCTTGGTTTATTTCAGATTCAGTGGTACAACGACCGGGTACCCGGAGCTTTCAAGTTTCAGCGCCATCCGGACACGCTTTGCTTCGTCTCTCTCAGCACACCGTCAACGTTCGAGAAAGCCTTCCTACCTTTTGTTTTGAACGACCGAAACCTGACATTGAAAGATCCGTTCGATCAATGCATGACGGCGTGTTTCGCTAGAGCCATCCAGGTAGGGTACTGTTTATCAGCAAAGACGCATATCTTGCGGACAACGTACCTACCAGCCTTTTATCAACAGCCATCACAGGCGCGCCGTTTTTGCGTTTTTGTTTGTCTCTTTCCTCTTTTTGTTATAGTTGGCAGGAAGTCCGTCCATCTGCTTTGCTGCAGTTCGAAGCCCAACAGGCAGTGGCGTAGCCAGAAAATATTTTCGTGAAGTGTTTCAAGGTGCTAATGCAATCACACACACACACACAAAAAAAAAAAAATATATATATATATATGTATATATATATATATATATATATATATATATATATATATATATATATATATATATATATATATATATATATATATATATATATATATATAAAAGATAAAGTAAAATTTTGGAGGGTGTTCTGACACCTGAACAACCCCCTTGGCTACGCGCCTGCCAACAGGGTTTTCTCTAACTTGGCTGAGGCTTGAACTGAGCATGATAAGCATACTAGGGGGTCTATAACATTCCGTGGGAAACAACAAAAGGATATTTTACGCAGGTGTTTGTAATAATTATTAATCCAGACTCGCCTTAGCCGATCAGCTAGGTTCTGCTGGAATGAACAGCTTCTCAACTTGTTTTGTTGCTGACGTTTGTCACATCTTCCATAGTCATGTTTTATTTGTTTATCTGTATGTAATAATGGTATCAGAAATGCATGTTTACTGTGTGGAATTGGGTGCCATTTAGAAGGTCATTACTCAGTTCAACATCAGTAGAAGACCTTCGTTTGCTCATACAAACACACCTAGGCAAGCCACTCCCTTGCTGCCCTACCAACATTAGATGCAATGTTTCGAGTGTCAAATAGGAGTGTGAAAGAATTCAACAATTTTTAAGATTGTATTTGATGTGATTAGATTATGGCAGCTCAGCCCTCTATATTGTGTGATCACAGTCTAAAGAACTAGATCTAACCTAAAAAAAGAAAACAAAAATTTTTAAATGTTAAAATCACGCAAAAATATTCCAAAAGCCGGGAATCATAATGATCAAAAAAACTGCTCCGACTTTACTCAACAAGATTAACAATTTAATCAAACGTTTCGTCTCCCATGCAGGAAACATCGTCAGTGAAACCTACAAGCAGGAATGAGAGAAAAAACTTCAACAGTCCTATTTAAGCAAGTCCGCGTACACATCGGGGAGGGGGCCGCAGTTCGAGTTGCAAGCTGATGAGTCACTTCGGATGAACCATGATTCCACGAACCTGCGTGGACCCCACCTTTGTTCGCGCGCCAGAGTGGACGCATTCTCAAAGTCGAAACAGTGACCCGTATTCCAACAATGGTCTACGAGTTCCGTCTTCGCTCTTGTCGCATGCGTGGCCTTCGCCACGTCCCTTTTGTGTTTGTTTAAGCGAGTGCAGCGCTTCCAGCCTGTCTCCCCAATGTAGGATGCGTCACAGTCTAGACAATTCACTTTATACACAACACCACACTGGGACTCTGGGGGGGTGTAGTCTTTAGGTTTAGAAATGAGGTCACATAGTTTACGATGTGTACGCGGACTTGCTTAAATAGGACTGTTGAAGTTTTTTCTCTCATTCCTGCTTGTAGGTTTCACTGACGATGTTTCCTGCATGGGAGACGAAACGTTTGATTAAATTGTTAATCTTGTTGAGTAAAGTCGGAGCAGTTTTTTTGATCGTTAAAATCACCTTATTTTTTTATAGTTTCTCCCCACCAGGCCTTTAGTCTGCTTTTTGTGATATTTACTGCCTTGCACACACAGGCAGTATCGCAGTGTTCATCTCTCCTCGGCACAGTTGGCGCATTACCGCTACACATCATTGTCTGTTCCTGTCACACTGGCGCATTCTCATCTATTCCTGTCACGCCGGATTCAATTCCCAAGTGCCAAAGTAACAAAATGGCCATTCGCATCAGATGGCACGAGGGGCCTCGGCTCACAGCCTCACAGCATTCCATCATGACGTGGAAGGTTGTTTCTTTGTGTGCTGGCCGCATAGCTGACGCGTAATATCCAGCCCTGCCGTGTACTTGGCCCTGAGGTGGCGTGCTTGTAACTCGCAACTTTCACGTACGGTGTTACCGCGGTGTGAGAATCGCGCTCCCTAGCTTCTGGATGATCGGCTTCGCAATAAAGGTGCTTGCCTGCATGTTCCTGACGAGAAAAAATTAAGTAAGGTTTTAATACTGTTCGTATATAGCAAAACTCAAATAACTTTCGCGTCGCAGACCCAGCCTCGCACTGCTGTTCTACGACGATCATCCAGATGATAGTCATTTCGATAGGCACCAGTGTGCCCCCTATAGGTCGTGAAAGTTATGAATACTCCTCTGCGTGCTTTGCACAGTAGGCCACAATGGTTCGAAGGTTGTGATCTGCTCAGAGGTTTGATTTCTGCAAGCTTTTCAAACGTTTGAGCTTGAATGTTATAAGCTTTTAATTGGCCGAGTTTGCGAAGTTCAAACTTTGTAGGTGAGCGTTCATATAAATTACTCACAATGCTGCCGGAAGCCCACAAATCATTAATTAAAAGGAGAATACTTGAACTTTTTAGTTCCTATGAAAAATTCAAAGTTTGTCTAATCTTTTGACTTGGTAGTTTAGATCATTCATAATTTGTCAAATCGGTGTTCCTGTAAATGAGAAGTTTGGATGGCGTTGAACCGGTGTTAGTTAACATTGATGCATTGGTAAAAAAATAAAAACGGATCAAAAGAAGACGCACACGACACACAAGCACTTGTGCTCGTCCATCACACATTTGCAGCATCTTTAGTTGCTGTTATACAAAACTTTCTGTTAGCAGTAATTTTCAGAACGAACATTCGTGAAGTGTAATTGGGGGTTTACACGGCATTTTAAAAATGGACATTTTGCATGACCCCACAAAGAATTTCAGGCTGATACGACCTACTTGCAATTAAAATCTCAATTGTGTCTCGCCTACTTGGCATTAGTCAGGATTTGAGTCCACTAATCAATGACTCATTGGCCGGCGGTTTGTGTCAAGGTCACCATTACAGCTAAGGGTCGTGAAACATTCTTCATAAAAGTTGCTACAAGATGTACTGCAACATCTATAAATGCACTTGATAAATGGCTGGTCTATGAGCTGTAAGCATCCTAAAAAACCTAAAACATTACACTCATGCGCAGCCGATTTGCATATTAAAAAAAGTCAGCAAAGTTCCCAACACTTAAAGCGGCCCTGCAATTAATTTTTTACTAATTTTTAATTTGCACCGAACCTGAACGTAGTAACTTTGTGAAACTTTTCTTTTCTCGAAATTTCCATTATTTTAAAAGTTATGGGCAAATTAAAATTACAAAAACAAGCAAAAAATAACCTCCCTCATGACGTCCTTGGTTGCTTGAGAGTGGCCGTGAACTAGAGGAGAAGTAGTGGGCTCATCGAGCGCTCACGGCTGCCGCACTCCGTGTCGACGGCACGAGAGGGCGCCATTAAAGCGTGTTCTGGATAGGCTGTATGCAGCTGGCAGCCAGAGCAGCTCTCATTGCATTTGCTGCGCGATTAAATACTAATTCGGCATGACACTTCACCGGCCACAAACGACAGCAAACACGGGGTAAAGATCAGTTCAGAATGGGAGCTACTTTGCGCTGCCATACCGCGAAACGACCAAACCACAAGACAAAGCTTCTCGCCGAAGGCCTTCGGAACGCTCGGAGCCGGTCGGATCCTCCTGCCCATACGACCGCAGCGCCGCCGCGTACATTTGGGACTTTTCCGTGTTGGCGCCTGATCCCACTACTCCTTTCTAGTATGCGCCGCCTTATCCACCGCTTGGTGGCGGGTATTTCTCCAGGTCATTTCTTGTTTCCGTACTTTGTGAACTGCATTCATTATTTTTTTTATCTAAAATACTGAACAAAAACTACTTTTATAAATAACCGAAACGGTTCGCGCCACTTATATTTTGTATTTCGACCAGAAAGAAGCCTTTAGCGGCTCTGACCAGTAGTAAGCCCAGGACCAAAGACGTCACATTTTGCGCGCTTTCGGTACCGCGGGTCGCCCTCGTCGGTGGAGGAGGTTTCCGCGTCGTCCGGTTAAAATATGACGCACTTATATTTAGTTACTCTCTCCGTGCCCGCTGGCTCGCCCGAACCCCAAGAGACGTGGAAACCGCAAAAAAGGCAGACGCTTAAATATGATTGCAGGGCCCCTTTAATGTTGGCGCAGAATGACAGATGGTGCCAGTGGCATAGGCAGGGGGTTGGTTTGGGTGTCAAAACCCCCCCAAACTCGTCACTTTCCTTCTTTTTTTAATTTTTTCTTAGTAAAGGAAGACCAATATTAAGTGACTACCGAACTGTTCCAGCTAACCACGGGGTTGGGGACGACTGTGTCCGTACTTGTGAATTGTGCAGTACAATGATTACTACTCACGAAAATGGAGCAGAGCAGTGCTATGCCCCCACCCTGATCATGGAAATCCCCTCCCCCCCCCTACCCCCCCCCCCCTTGAAAAGAATTTCTGGCTATGACAGTGGATGGTGCCGCCAAACCTTGCTGAATATGGTCGAATGACAGATCAGCCACTTGCGAGCGATGGGTTTCTGCATGTATGAGCTGCCAACCAGTCTCGCTCGTCCACGCGAGAACCCATCGCTCGCAAGTGGCTGACAAGCCCCGCCTGTCGTTCGACCATATTCAGCAAGGTTCAATAGCGCCACCTGTCCTTCTGCACCAACAGTAAGTGTCGGAAAATTTGCTCACTTTTTTTAATATGCAAATCGGCCGTGCGTGAATGTAACGTCGGGCTTTTTAGGATGCTTAGAGCTTGTAGATTGAATTATGACAATAAAACAAGGCTCTCAAAAAGCACTTCAGTGCCTTCTTAAGAGCAGCAAAATTGGCCCCAAATTCAGTGGAAAGTGGTGCTTGTTGTGCAGGAACTACTACAGCACGTTTGCGCTTTGTTGCGTCTGAGCTTGTTGACGGGACTAGCATAAGGGGCCATATCTGTATTCTTTTTTTTAAGGCATTCCCAGGTGAGTCAGTCGAGCTGCTGCAGGACTTTGAACTTCACCCAAACAGACGGCCTAAAGTTATTATGCAAACTGCCGGACACGTGTCGGGGGCAGTCCACTACTACGGCTGCAACGACATGGAGATCACAGAAAGCCCACCCAATAAGGTGAGCTTGCAAGGCCTTACAATGGAGCCAATTTGATCTCCATGTTCTGACACCCTCGAAATATGGTCGAACAGGCTGTGTGGAAAAGCGTCAGTATCTGAGATTTGCAGGTTGGGTGTTCATGCACCAGGAACTTTAATCTAGGTGTCTATGATAAGCGGTAATAGCTGTATGCACCTACCTGTCTCGGAAGTTTGGATTGTACCTTGTGTGCCCGTCTGGATGTGCGATGCTCATTACATGTTGTGCCTCTGTTGCCTCTCCCAAACTGCAAAGCTGAGAGAGAAGAGATGTGAGAGCGGGGGAGCAAGGTGAAGGTAAGAGAGGAGAAAGCAGAGAAAAGTGGGAAGTGTCAGGTGTGTCTTAGTTTTGAAGCTCTTAAAGCTGAAATTCTTTACCCAGACTTCTGTCTTCTGATTACAACAAAGGCGCTCACGAGTGATTTCACTGACCTGCCTTTCACAGTAGAAGTCCATTAATCACGGTAGCATTCGACTGACGTCGAGATGCGACTGCAAGTTACCATCTCACCCGAGCGTCTTGCTGCTTAGTTGCTGTGCTAAGACGCAGCTGTATCTCGACGTAAGCCCCTCGAAGTAAACCAGCGTTTCTGTGCGGATTGACCTTAGTGCTAGGAATTGATCCTGTGTGGAATGAGCACTAGGAGGCACACACTGTGCGGAACACAAGTTCGTCTGCATCTTGCGCAGGGGTTCCGGTGACGTCAGAACGTTGTGCTCTGATTGGCTCCGACTGGAAAGATGGTGAGTCCTCGATGTAGTCCTCGATGCTGGCTGCCTCGAGGTCTGCCCACCATCCTTCAATCAGAGCCAATCGGAGCTCGGTGTTCTAATGTCGCCGCAACCCCACCGCAAGAAGCAGACAAACTTTTGCTCCACATAGTAGTGACTGGCTGGATGAAAATAGAAGGGAGATCCTTCAGTTGTCTTGCATCCAGCTAGAGCTCTCTACCTTCGATTGCACTTTGTTGTTTCGTGCGACTCTGACGCGCACGCGCGATCAGAGCACTGCAGAAGGCAACAAGTATGTGTTAGGGGCCGGGCGTCCGAAAGATGTGCCCGGTTTTTCTCGTCACGTCCGTGACCTTAAGCCTGTTGATCTGTGGCGAGCCTGATATAAGAAACGCTAGATTGCTGCCTACTTGCTTCCTTCCCTCTGGGGCACTAAACTTGTCAAACACTAAGTTGGAGCCGAAGTTTGTGGATTGGACTCTTACGACGAGAGTGCGGCCTAACTGTCGCAAGAGTCCGGTCGCCGCGCTTCGTGGACTTGGGCTCCAACTTTGCGTTTGGCCGAGCCTACCGCTTCCTGGTCTCTTCTGTCGGTTGCCGCACCACAAAGCTCCAGTCGCACTGCCAATACATGGCACAAAAGAGAGTTTCCAGACAGTGTCCAAGGCATGTTTCTTCCTGTTTTATTGGTTACACAGAAACTGTCTGCATACGTGCATGGGGCATGTCCAAAGGTAGTTCTGCCCTGCCTGCAGCGAACGTTGCGTCTTTAAGCCTGCAAATGCCGTCATCGTACATCTTCTGCAGAAACTACTGGGCGTCTGCATTCACCCGAAGTACGGTGGCTGGTTCGCCTTCCGCGGCGTCTTCATCTTCAGTGACATCCTCGTGCCTGACCTGGAACAACGGCAGCCTGCGGATGTGGTCCAGCGCGAGGACGTGCGGCGAGACCTCCTCAGGCTGTTCAACTTCTCGTGGCAAAATGGACTCTACCGGGACGTCATCGACGTGGACGAGCGCTACTCCGCGAGGCAGCAGGAGTACTTCCGCACCGTGCCGTCGCAGCGGTGGGAACTCATCGAGCAGTGGCGGAACGAGGCACGTACGAGGAGCTGGAGTGGTGTGGGCCGGTGATGGCTTGCTCCGGACGACTGTTCTGCGACTTGCGGTCAACCGTTGACCCACTGCCGCATCGGTCTGCATTTTAGCACCAGTTGTTGAGCTCCACTCCGTGCAAGTTCGTCTGGTTCTAGAGCGAGATGTTGCGGTGACGTCGGAACACCGAACTCTGCTTCGCTCCGATCGGAAGGACAGTGGGTGGACCTCGAGGTAGCTAGCATTAAGGTCTACCCACTATCCTCCAATCGGCGCTCAGTGTTATGACGTCATTGCGACCCCCTGCAAAAGAACCAGACGGCGAAGGCTACGGCCTAAGCGAGCCAATCTGCGTGTGGGGGGGAGGACATGCAGCTGTGCTCTACTTCACCGGTTGTGCGCCGTGCTGTCGAAGCCAAGTGCAGGAGAGGGAGGAAAGGCACTTTTTTATGAATTTTGAGTGACAGGCTAATCTTTAAGGGGGACAAAAGCAACGTCTGAGGCACACCAAAAGGGTCCAGTTGACAGCCGTCGTGTCGATATGGATCGACACGACAGCTACCCCGCTGCCGTGTCGATCCATATTTTTGCACAGGTTGTAGAGTTTTCTGCTCGATGCATCTCAAGCAGTTCGTTTCGCTGTGTTTTTGATTTATGGCACCACGTGAATCGGCGACTTTTGCTTGGTGTGTGGTGATTCTTTGTACATTGGCAATTGGGTGGCTTCCGTTTTGCTCGTTTCTATTACTTTTGCGTGTGCAATTATCTGGTCAAAGTGGACGGAGATCAGGAAAAGGTTTGGGTTGGAAGGTATGGGACATTTTTATCGAAAAAAATATGTGGCACAATGAAGTTACTTTTAGCATAACAATGGCAGCGGTGGAAAACTTTGACGATTGGTGTTTGTACCCTCTAATGATTTTGTTCATAAGCAAGGAGTGGGCTAAGTGGTTCTTACCTGGCATTTTTTATCCATGGCATTGGCCATAGAGAAACCTTGGGAGTGCACATTCACTGCTTAATTGCATCTTTGTGGGATGTGGCAACTTACTGGGTCAAGAGACTGATTCATGTGGCTTACTCAAACGACTCCACAACAAAACGGATTGCCCGGTGCAACCGATTGACGTGCGCGGGACCTCAAACTTTTAATGTGCACATCTCTGAGTAAAGGGCAACTCCGCTTCATTTTTTGTTTTTGAAAAACAATGCAGTCCTCTTCAGTACTTAAAAACGAAGGAATAAAAACAGAGAAAACATACACGGACGATCACACTCTTTCAAATAGCAACATTTAATTCTTGTGACAAAAATTCAGGATCTACTCAGAATTTTTATGCAGATAAGGTGGGAAAAAAGGAGGGGGATGGGAAACCTCAAGGGTGGTGGAGGTGGACAAAGTGCTGTGTCATGGTGGTGTCTGTTCCCTCTAAGTTGAGGTGGGGGAGTGACATCAGTGCCTTCTAAGTTGAGTTCCGTGATTTTAGCAGCTCTGGCCTAATTTCTTAGGCTGGAAAATTTTTTGATGGACAAAGCCGAAGTTTTTGCTTGTGTTTATAATTGGATTTAACAGTATATATTCCATTTTTCCCGAAGCAAATGCCATAGTGTCTTTTACTAGTGTTTTTTAATGCGAAATCATAGACTATCCCGAAATCTTCGAAATTGAGCGGAGTTGCCCTTTGAGAGGCAAGAGGAATTTGCATACCGAAGCTGTGTCGTCTTGGAATCCTGCAAAAGCAGTTTGGAAAAGAGTAAAGCCCGTTAACTTTTTTTACCTCATCTTGCATTTGTTTGGCAGATCACGTGCTACAATGGTTCAAAGCTCCCTATCAGGTCGGAAAGTAAGCTTGCTCGATGCTGTAGACTTACCGTAAAATACCGGGCAAGCGCCCACTCGAACTTTGGAGATAATCGCAGAAAAATGGTGGATGAGCGCTTGTCCGGTCATCAATTTTACATATAAATGTATTGTGCGTATTTTCTGAGATCTTACAAATTTGGTAATGGGTGCTTAATGTGGAATGGGCAGGTGCACGGTATTCTACGGTAGAAAATCTTGAATTTGTTTCCTGTTGGTGCATGCTGCAGTTTTTAAGCTTTTGGGGCTAATAGATTTGGCTGTTTTGGAGAGCCAACTCCATATATTCAAACAAATCACACTGCATCAGTTCCGCATGCAACTAGAGTGATGCCGAGAAAAGTACTCTGTGTAAGACGTTGTCAAGGAATGCTCATGTAGCAGAGCTCGAGATCGTGCACTTTTGTCCAGTAGAAACACAAATGCATCATCAGTCTACTTAGCACCATCCAGCCATGGTATAGTTTAACGTTTGTTTAGCCTCATTGTTATCACCGGGTAGCTAGATAGAATGTCTCGAATCTAGATTGATCAGTTGCTCGATCTTCAGCTCTGGCAGCTGCTGTGATACCATTCAAAATGCAACTATGGCGTTTTTTAAACGTAACCACTTTACCCATATTGTTTGGGTGGTACGACTTGAACAAACCATTCCAGGAAAATTGATTTCAATTCTAGACATCAGACTTTCACAAAAAACAGAAACTTTAAAAAAAAAAGGGGGGGGGGGGGGGGGGGGGAGGGTTCGCGGATTATGATCCCCCCCCCCCCCCTACCAATCAGAACCAGGGGAGTTAATAATAGAGCAATGCATACTGCACCTATGATGATCGTAAGTGGATGTTAAACTAGGAAGTAGGACTGCTCTATGCACACATGACCAATCCCCAGCACTTTTGTTGTTGTCCTGAAGAATACAAGTTGGAAGGCATTTGTGTTTGGATTAACCCTCAGGAAACACCAAAGTGTTCGGCAGCATCCTACATGGAAAAAGTGTACGCAACTTGTTTCAAAAGCCTGTTCTTTTTTTTTTGTTTTTTTCTATTGGTTACAACGTTGTCTTGGGTATTTTCTTCAGAGGAACAAGAAAAGGAAACACTCCACATTGTTTGTATTTACACTTTTATAATGTTCGAACAATAAAATCTGTTTTCTCTGTACAATTGTCGGGACTATGGACGGATGGCACGGCATCACGAGCCCTCACACATTGGGACAGCACATCAATCGCAAGTTTCACATGCACGTCATGAGATCCATTTCATTCAAACAAAACACTGCCCCTCCCGGCACACATATCGCACTTTCTCACGCGGGAGATCGACCCCCATCCAAAGTTATCCCGCTCGGGAGACTGTGAACCTCTCATTTCAACACCGCTTTTGATTTGTCTGGGGGGGGGGGGGGGGGGGGGGACGGGACGGACGACAGGGCAGAACACAAGAACACGGGGGAGGTTATTGCTGCTCCCGAGATCACGGGCACAAAAACTAAGACGGGGCATTTTCTACCAGCAACTTCATTTAGGATTTAGGATGTCACCAGCAACACCGAAATTGCTGGGAAAGTTGCCCCGTCTTAAGCGGGCCTAACACTGTCCCGACGGATGCGACAGCAGGTTGAACGACAACGCAAACTGTCGTAATTCGGACAAAAATAAAATAAAATAAAACACTAAAACATGCTAAGAACTAAAATACTCTCATATAAAAACATGCACACAGACAAGGAAACTGGCACTGCCGAGGAACCTCTATGCACTCGACTTTCCCTCTGCACGGCCACAATCGCATCGGGCAGACATAATTGACTCGTCAAAAACAACAAACAAACGCAACATGCCACAGCATCAATCGGAGCACGCAACAACAAACAAACCGTCCTTCCGCTCGTTGACTGACGGACAAGCTCGGCAACACGGTGCGAGGAATCAAACGGAAGGAGACGATCACAACTCTGAACGGGCACAGGGAAGACTTAGCATGGTGACACTTGAGATGTGGAAAAACAATCGCATCAGGAACAGTAGCGAGAGGATTTGCTCAGGTCTAGCGGACAGTCGTCGATTTCGGCGGCACTGTCATCGTCGATTTGAATGACGTCGCCGCACTGCTTGTGCGCGTTTGACGAGAGTTCCATCAGTGCCAGTGCACCGAGCATGCGCTCCTTGATGTCCCCACAGGCCGCCTTCTTGTTCAGCAGCTGCGGAGCGTCCTTTTCGGCCTGGTCGTCCAGTTGGCGCTTGAGCTTGCGTTGACGTACCTTGGAACTACCCCTGTCACTCTTCTCTCGCTCGTAACTGAAACGTAAAAACAATTGCAATGAGCATCCTTCGGGCTTCGGCATCGCAACCACGCATCGGAACTGATAGTAGTACGGCATCAGTCCCAATGAAACGTAACTTTTGGTGCTACGTCCTCCGCGTTTGTTTCTTGTACGGACGAAAGCGTAATCGAGGACGATGCTGTGAGTGCAGCTAACAAACGAACGTGCCGAAGCTCTTAAAACGCGACCCTCGCATTTTTGTTACGGAACGCTACCTTTCTACTCTTTCCTAGATCTCGCACTCTGCACCAACAGTAGGTATTGCATCCACACATGTTTAAAAGCTATGCAGTGTGGACTATGCAGGGGTTTGTTTCCATCTAAATTGCTCGTTGCAACCGTACACTAAATGGAAATGCTCACTTTTTAAGCCAGAGCAGGACAGCTTCGCTCTTGTTCTCGGAGTCTGCCCCTTCCAGCTGGGACGTCGGACTGTTGTCGCGCTGCAGCAACGCGTACGGATGCTCCGGGCAGTGCCTGTTGGCGTGCGTGAACCGATGGGGGCACCCTGTCGGACGAGAAAGCAGACGACGAGGATGAGACGATTGGACAGCACAGAATCGCCAAGCAAAGATTTGTACACCACACAGCCTTGGTCCCGAAACACTAAAGACAGACAAGCCGGTTAACTCTACATTCCGAGATGCAGAAAAATGAAAAAAGGGCACCAGACAGAAATGCATGCTCGAGAGCTCGGCATTTTTTCTACGCCGCCTCAGTCTCTTGGAGGGTTTCCCACAAAGTTTGGTCAAAGCTCAATGAAAGTAGGTGTGCAAGTCGCTCTCTGGTTGTGAATGATCGGCGGGACCTGTGAACAGAGCCGACTTAGCCAACTGAGGTCCTACACCCTTTGCACGTGCCGGCTGTAGTCTGTCGCAGATTAAGAATAGTGAAACAACCTCCTCCCACCAAGCTTCCATTCTTACCCCTGCAGCAGAATCTATGCCGGAGAGGAGGAATCCCCCCCCTCAATTAGTACAACCAGAGAGCTTTGTGGGAGAAGTGTTTGTCCTGCTATTTTGAACCTACAACAGACTATGCGACATTCTACAGCCAATATGCGGCCAGCCAATGGTCTACACACCTTTTTCGGTGCAGATGAAAGGTTTTTCGCCCGTGTGCAGCCGTTGATGAGTCTTGAGCTGTCCGCTCTGTGCAAACGCCCTGCTGCAATCCGGGTAGTCGCAGATGTAGGGTTTTTCGCCTGCAAATAGAGGCAAAGAAAACGAACAAACGTCAGGACGTGCACACAGTCGGCAAGTACGACCAAGACAAAAGCGGGGAATCGTATCAAAAACGTGCATGGCTTAAAAGTTTGCTGTGGTGCAATGTCTTTCCCCCACGCTTCATTAGCGCATCTCTGCATTGGACGATTGGGTCAAATCGGGGTCCGCGCCACAAAGCTTATTATTTATTTCTTTAATAAGACTAACGCGTTTTAGATTAACTGCGGTCAATTCTCATTACAAGTATCGAAGGACAAGAAAAACAATTTGCAACACATGCATTGGCCTAAAAAAGAACGCTGCATATCCGCACTGCTTACGTTGTTAATTTGATCAACATAAACGCAAATTAACGTATCATATCGATTAACTGTCATGAAAGCAAGGTCTTCACATATTACTTGTGAAATCTTAATCGACACCGAAGATGGCGGACTTCGAAGTCTTTTTTTCGGTCCATCGTGCGCCATGGCCTTTTCGTCGCCAGAAAAACAAAAGAAGCGTGCAAGTCGGAAATAGCAAACCACGCTGCGAGTAATATTACTAACATGATGCCGCATAACACTCGAAACATCAATCAAGAAGTAATTGACGACATTACTATAATTAATAACACGCACGAACGCGGCCTAGCCATTTCAGCGCGGGAACCACACTACGAAGTTTTCCTCTGCAAAAGACGCCGACATCAAACATACGGTAATTGAAGTGCGGAAGGATTAAACGCGAGCCAAGCTTAACAATAAATCAAGGTCAGTGCCCCAGACTTAATTTTCGGGCATGATCAAACATGCCCAAAAAGACAAAAAAAAAAAATGGTATTGCACACGCGCCAAATTAAAAGGCCAACCCGGCGCGCCATACCTGTGTGCGTTCGCAGATGCGCCTGCAGCGATTTCTCCCGGGGAAAAACGCGGTTGCAAATGTCGCACTTGATGGAGCTCGGCGACGAAGAACCTTCGAGGATGAGCGACGTGATCGTGTCCAGCCGGGGTCTGCCCCTGCGCATCGCATCGCCAGCACCTTGAGGCGTTTTCGGTCCATCAAGATCGGGCGATCGAGACGGCCCGCCGGGACTCATGTCGATCGTGCGGGCGTTTTCGTGCCAGTTCCAGGGAAACATCTCTTGGTCTCCGATCGGGGGACTGCTGGGGCCTTGGTCCGACATGGTCGACCGTCTGGGCTTCGACATCGGTGGCAAGTTGGTCATTTAAAAGGCGCCGAAACTGGGTGACACCGGTCACAAAAGCCACCACATCCGGAACCAGCTTTGCGCGCGAATGTGCGCAAAATTTCGCGCCAGCCCAGCCGAATCCCAGTTGCGGTGCATCTTGGGTAATAAAGTAGTTCGCTACAAAACGAAACTGTTTCGTTTGTTGGGCGTTTTATGAACCGAAATTTAAAATTAATTTGATCTAACTTAATATTAAGTGGAATATTACCTACTTCAAGTCGGCCGGTTTCAGATTTTGACGGCAAAATAACGACAAATAAAGGAAAGAGCAAAAAAGTGAACAAAACCAGAAATTGGTTCCTTCCCGTCATGCTGCGCGCGGTTCGTTTACCACGCCATTTTGCATGATTTCGCGGGAAGTAGTAAAAATTGGTCAGAATTCAATCTGAAGGCATCCTCCGATCGGAGAAGGCCAATCTGACCATGGAGAGTTCGTACGGCATCGGCGTGAAGAATAGGTACGAACTGTTCTACGATGACGAAGAGGATCCCACAGAATTGCTCCGGCAGCAAGAAGAAGAAAAGGAGAGGCGGAAGGCCGAAAAGATCACCTCGAAGGACAAGCCTAAAGGCCCGGCGCCCAAGGGAGTCAAGCCTCCGGTGAACGCGGCTGCAAAGAAAATCCCAAAGGAAATACCGATCAACAAGGCGCAAGAACGGAACGTCGCACCCAGGGACGGTAAGCCGAGCCGAGATCCAAGTGCGTTGTAGCCGGGCAATAGGCCTAAGCGAGCGCCCGCGACCCGTGCTGCGGCGCGATCGAGTCGTTCCTTCCGTACTCGTACGGAAGGCCCGTTCTGCTTATCGCTGTCGGTGCTCGCGTGCTTGCTCGGCCCCGCGTGAAGCCGAACGCGGCTGACTTCGGCACCGCAAGCACGGCCAAACGTGCCTGCTCTTTCCATCTTCACTCTTTTTTTTTTTCTTCCTTCCTTCCTTTTCCCAAACATGGCATGGCATCGCGTTTGTCGCGCTTTGGCGTTCGCGAAGTCGGGAGCCCGTTTTTATATTCTGTTGCCGGTCACGGTCCGAGTAACCTTGCCGCGACGTAGTTTCTCTCGGTACACGCTCCAATTTGTCGCGGCTTAACGCTTGGTTTCTTCTAAAACAAGCGCTAATAGAAGCCGAGTCCGAACCGATGGATGTTTTCTCTACCTGTGCCATACCGCCATGCCCGCTACCGCACCGCTTGCCGCATTGTTGCTAAAAAAACAAAACAATAAAATCCGATGGAGTAACGGCCTTAAACTACTGACTCGTCAAGGGGAGCCGTCTCCCAAAGCACCTTTTCTGAGCCGCACTTTACTTCGCCTGAAACGCAGTCTTGGGAGCAGATCGCAGTACTGCAACTCCACGTGCAAGCGAAAGACGTTCCCGAAGCAACACAGGGTGTCATATCTTACGGGCCATTTTAATGGTTTCTGCTCTAGCAGACGCATGTAAAATCGTCTGCTGGCGAAGTGTCAAGTCTTGACCTCGATCACGGTGGTTTCCGAGGTCCGAACGCCTTCATACAGTTGTCAGTCTCACGTGGGCCGGCAGTTAGGCCTCGGTTGTCTTTTTGTTTTCTTACTCTCTTGTTCGGTGCCGCACGATGCCGGTATGTTGACATGCGAGCACGACAAAGCGCGCTGTGTAGCGTAGTGATCGCGGCGTTTCGAACGATTTGGGTGTCGATTCGTGGCGGATGGTTATGTAAAAAGGGTGCTGCTTCGCTGCCCCGGGCTGTAGGCCAAATAGGGCGTCAGTGCAGTGCATTCGGCGCTCCTTGTGGAACCTGGAAAAAGGTCGCTTTGCTGCACTCTTGGGCTCCTAACTAGATTTTCTCTGCCCGTCTATCGAATATTTCTATCAAAATAGAGATACAGTCGAGACTGACCGATCGTGCCAAAATGGCTGCCATAGCCGTGCTTCGGATTGCTCGCGTTTTTTTTTTTTTTTTTTGAACAAGGAAAGCTCCTTTTCTTTATTTTTTAAAGTCTATCCTGGATTGGTTTCTCGTTTTCCCGGAAAACTTCTTTGGAAGAATTTGAACTGTATGTCATATTTGTCTTGCTCTTGTCATCTGAAGTGACGAGTTGGGATTTAGATGGATGAATAAAAAATTTACTTGACCGTTATGGTTCAGCTCGCATGTGTACGCAGCTGTCCAGCTGTTAGGACTGTCTGAATGACGCTGCTTTCAAATGATTCACAAATGCCATACTTTTTTGTTTCTTCTGGTTTTTCCTTATAACCAAGAATTCATATGCAGGGGCAGACATGCATTTTATGGGCTCTTTTCTGCAATGCATTTTGCTGCATCCAATGTCGGAAATAAGCTATGAAACACAGACTCTTCTCAGACATTGCCTAAGCAGGCTAGGTTAGTGTGTTCCTCTAGAAATATCTAGAGGAACACGAGAAGAATACAATTAGAAAAGGGAAAAGAAAATAATCTATTATAAAGCTCAAGACGCTAGAAACTATAACAGATATGAAGTGGTCAGAGGACTATGGAATGGAGTGATGGTACCAGGACTGTCTTTTGGCAATGCAGTACTGTACTCGAAATCTGAGTTTCAATCAGGGTTAGAAATTCGACAAAGAAGCGTCGGCAGATTGACACTGCGAGCTCATGGAAAAACACCAAATGAGGAAGTACAGAGGAACATGGGATGGTCGTCTTTTTGAGAGCAGGGAGGCAATTAGTAAGTTGAAATTTGAACAAAGGTTGACTGAAATGGATGATATGCAGTGGGCACGGAAGGTATTCAATCAAGTATTTATACATGAAAAGTTTAAACACAAAAGGGACAAACCGAATCCGAAAGCTTACATTTAAATACCTACACACTGGTGATGGGGCTGAACAGACTACGTCTGTGAAAAAGAGGGTGAAAGAGGCAGAGAGGAAAATATGGGAGGGGAGAATGCAGGAGAAATCAGCCTTAACACTGTACAGGTCACAAAAGCAAGACATGAGAAAGGAAAAACTGTTCGACAATTCACGGGGAAGTGCTTTGCTGTTCAAGGCAAGAACGGGAGTTTTGAGGACCAAGACAAATAGGGCTAACTTTCAGGAGACAGACACATAATGTGCCACCTGCTATAATGAGAGTGAGACACTAGAGCTCTTGGTTTTTAAGTGCACAGGGCTTTCTTCTTGCCCGACCCAGATGGGGTAACAAATTTGGCCGGGGCCCTAGGTTTTGCTGGTGACGATGGAGGGACGTAAGAGAAAAGGATTACAGTCACAAAGAGGCGATTAGAAGATTGATGGAAATCATCTAGGGAAAATTAAATGATTGACAACTAACTAGCACAGCTGGGGACAGGCGGGACGGAGGAAAATTGGGGCTCCGGCCCAAAGTCTCAACCCTGTCTCCCAGTGGGTCCGGTGCTGGGGTAATGCCGAAAAGGTTTGACCAGAGAAAAATTGGCAGCTTCCTCGTCGGGGGGTCGCCGATCCCCCGAAGGTCATCCTGATGATATCCCACACTGCCTGGTGATAGTTAGGGGGAGAAAAATTGGTCTTAAAAAGGGCGGGAGAAATCACGTTTTTGTCTTTTTAGACTTAGGCTAGGTGGCGCAAGCTACCGCCCGTTTCAAAGTGTATAGCCATTAACATCCATCCATTCAGTGGCAAAGTTTTTTCAGCTGAATGTGGTCTCGTGTTAGGAGCTATCTTTAGACATTTCTAGGGAGGCAATGGCAGCCAACAGAATCCCCAAATATACGAGACAAATTTGCCACCACAAGTAGACAGTTTTCTTACTAAACATTTCTGAAACTTTGTCCCTTTATCCGAGCGTGTCAGGTGCTGAAGAAAAACTAGAGCGGAAACTAGACAGAGAAAAAATAATGCTTAGATTGTCTTTATAGCCACAACAGCGCTTTCAAAATAGTGTTGAAGCCCTTCCTCCCTGCATGTTCAGTGGAAGGAGGGAATTGTGACGTATTATAGAGACCTGAACATTTCCGTGCCTTCTGCAAGCATTGTCCGAGCACTCAAAAATGATCCACGTGTTCCCTCACGAGCAACATGCGCAAGGCAACTGAAACCTCTGGTATGACGTTACACCCAGTGGTTAGTTTTTTCTCGCGTCTATTGATATGTTTGTGTCAAATGTCTGTGATTGGATTCGCCAAAAAGTCATTGGAATTCACCCCTAATTCGCTTCACTTTAAGACTGTGCCTAAGCTTTTTGCAATGCGTGGTTTTCATGTAAAGTGTGAAATAACCTTTTGTCGCAAGATGCATACCATAAACCTCGCAGCATAATTTTTGCTAGCAGCAGGCCTCGGCACGGTTTTTCATTGAGTCCTTTCACCGTAAAGACCCGATAACTGGCGACAGATGACAGTGGTGAAGCAGTAGACCAACCACACCAGATAGTTTGGCTGCGCTGCCACTGCGTGTGACGGCGCAAGCTGCCTTGTGCACTGCTCCCCGCCTCCCGTAGACTAAACTTACAATGGCGGCACGTGCCTGCCAAAAGCTTGCTGAAATCTAATCTTGCACATACAACAAGTATAGGTAGTGGGCAAAGCACAAAGGCACAGGACACAGGAAGGCCCAAAAGTCACAAGTGACGAGCCATAGCACCACGTCACCGAGGTGCTGCTAGAACGACGCAGTCTTCCCAGTTGACTGAACCGTTGTGCGCGTGTGCATCTCGCAGACAACAAGCTTCAGCGGACAGTCAGGCCGGACCGGGCGGTCAAGTTTGCCGGCCCCGGGGCACGGGACAACCAGCAAGACTTCGAGGAACGGAAGAACCGGCGCAACCGCGAGGATCGGGTGCCTGCGGGCGGCTCGGAAAACCGGTTCGACACTGGCAGGTATGGGCTACCGCGCGCCACCATCATTTTACTCTTTGTCATCCCCTCGTCCCACAATGCTGGAGCGCCTTTGCGTCGCACTCTCAGCGGGGCATCTGGGAGGGACACATGAAACTGCTTGCACGTGTGTAAGGAGGTTTCGGTAGCTCTGCCTGCCTCTTAAGGAAATTGCAGCAACAGGACCTTCAGTGTCTCGAGATCCACGGTTCTTTAGCTTGCTGCCTGAGAACTCTTGGCTACCTTGAGGGATGACCGAGGAATCCGGTTAGAGAACCCCGCGACGTTTACACACCGTCGTCTGCTTGGCTGATTTGTGAAACTAAGCCAGAGGTATGAGTAGTTGCGAATGATTGGAATCTACTTTGTGCTTCGTCGGGAGTTGTAATGAACTGTTGGGGTTGTTGTTTGGGCCTTAGGTGGGGTCATAGCATTGTCAACTATGAAGAAAGTACTCCGCCATACTTCTACTTTTGCTCATCATCACTACAAAGCAAAACTGTCAACTATTTAATTTTATTTGGCGTTCTTGTCTAACGGACTTGGGATTAGAAAAAGCGTGCACGCACATTAAAGGGACACTCAAGTGGTTTTTGAGTTTGTGTTTTGATGATAACTGAATCTAGACTCCCTAAGTATCCCTAAAAACCAAAAAGATAGTCATACGGTGATTATTTCTTTAATAAAAATGTAATTGAAGGCCGCCAAACCTCGGATTCGTCCGAAAACGAAACCACTCTCATTGGTCACCGCTCGCATATCAAAACAATCTCGGGCCAATGGCGTTAGACGACCTTCCATCGCGCAGTGATTCTAAGGTAGTCGCACCGGCCAAACTTCTTTGTCATTCGAGCTTCGATCATGGCGGAGTTCTCTACGTTCGAGGACCTGACGCCGTTAGAGGTTGAAATTCTTCGGCGGACAGCTGACCTGGGGATGATTTCCTACCACGGCAATCCGACGTGTGATGTGGACGATAGCAGCGTTTCGGAGTCGTGTTCGGGTTCCGAGACCGACAAAACTCTGACCTTTTCAGGCGTTCTTCGATTTGCGGTTGGGGCAAGTCGTAACCAAACCAATGTTTGGCATCTCAGCGTAACCTCTGGTTCGTGATTTTAAACGATGTCGCCACGTTGACTTTCACCTCGGGAGTACGGCAGGCTGGTTCAGACATGTGCAATGAGTGTGTACCTATGACTGCGTCTGTTGCAACCGGAGCCCAGAACGGCTGCTCTGCACCGCGCATACACACACCTGCACCACTAAAACCAGCGCAGCGGATCGTCAGCACGGCGACCGCTTCTACGCCGTCGCCAGCTGTTTCAGCGGCACGTCTAAAAAGGGGACGCACTGCCACTCAGTGCTGTAACAGAATATAGACAGTTTTCTATAGCCTGGAGCTTTATTATTTTCTTTTTTCATGATAGGCTTTAGGGTACAGTGGATGAAAAAAAAGAAAAGAAAAAGATTCAGTACGCCGTCTTGGACAATCATGGCTCTAATACACGACTTTGCCAATAGTACACATATCGCCACACGCCTTTTCTACAATTATAAAAGACTATGTAAATTAGCAGCAATATAGCAACATAGAAATATGATTTCGTGGTCAGGTAGACGTTACGAGCGTTCAGGATTGCTAACCCTAATCACTTTTCTTTGGTGATGAAAACGTGTGAAAATTTGCATCCTTTGTACGATATGCGCCAAATAAGAAATCTGGGTGATGTTCGAGAAAACAAATGCTTATAGTGAGTTCGTTTCACACGCACTGGCACCGTTCGAGTTCTCTCCCAGAATGCATCGCACTCGCAGAGTGTTGCACGGAGAACTGGACTCAAACAAACTCTCCAAATGCACCGAGTGCAGAAGACTGATGCTGCCGCCATCTATGTTGTAGAAAAGATACCGACCTCAAACCGAAACTAGCGCCTTTCTGTTCAGAGTGATGGGTGAGAATGTGAGAGTGCAGTCACTACCAACATTATCTACAAACGTTGAACGCTGCAACCTGTAGTTTTTAGTTGCTATGAGTTCAAGCAACTCGGCTGTCGTAGAGATGGTTGCAGACGGCGTAACTTTCCGCACCCAGCTGTCTACAAAGCAGCTGGTTGCGATCTTTCAATTCTTATAACCGTTTACACTGAAGAAAACTGATGATGCTGTCCGAGCAGAAGCTTGATCCGTTTGAGCATGGTATTGTCCGTGAACCACTGAAAGGGTACGGCTTAAAACTAGTCTGTTGGAATATCCGTCAAAACTTTTCGTGGGACTTTTTGATTGTCATTATAAGTGGATCAGATATTAGCCTTGGTGAGGACGTCGAGAACGAGAGCTTTCTCGAACAAAATACGACGGGGCAAGTTCGCTGACGTAGGTAAATGTTAAACATGATGATGTTGCCAAAGCCTCAGGTAAAGTCACTATGTTTAGCTTTCTCTGATGCTTATTTCGCCGTCGGAGGTTTCTGCTGAGGGAGTTTTGTCGACAAATGTTCAATTTTTCACCCGCACACGGATGTTGATAGACATCTCGGGGACCGCTGGTGTGTTTGTTCTGAGCCTTTCTTGACACACTGTATAGCTCAGTGTTTGTACGGCAACAGATGGACTTAAAACCTACAAATAAAGCACGGGTTGTCAATTGCTTCCTTCATGAAATAGCAGACGCTCACAATTCAAGCTCGCGTTTGATTCTGTTGCCTGCGGGACGCGATTTCTCTTAGAAAAATCAACTTTTTTTCCTTTTGGTTTCGCGACACATCGTAGCAGACTAACCCTCGTCGTCTGCTCCCGCTCCTCGCCGGAGCGAGGCATGACGGGATTGCATTTTGGCGCATGCCCGATTTTTCCGGTGCAGCGAGTGCATGCATGTGTGGGGTGCCACCGCTGAAACGAACTCGGAGAGTGCAACTACTCGTGGAGCGCCTGCCGAAACGAACTATCTTTACACTGCGAGTGGGCACGCTTGGGCACGAGTGCCATGAAACGAACTCGCTATTAGAAAGCATCACTGTAGTCGAAGTAAACAAACTCGACGGCACGGGCGTTTCTGCTTTCTTGAGAGTGCCGCCACGACATCGCCACACGAGGAGGTGGTTCTTCCCTTCCAGTATGTGGTGGGGTATCATAGCAACACGTGAAAGTTCACAGTCAAGGATAGCGCTTTTATGCGGAACGATCACCTTTCACCACGTCGACGATCTCCGCCGACGCCATATTTGCAGATAGGAGCCGACCCGTGACCGGCACGACCGGCATGCAATGTGCGCAACCAGTTCTCTTCGACCTGTGATTGGTCTGTCTATCAGTTGTTTCGAACGCAGCAGGTAAAGTTGGGCTCGCTCCAACTTCTTGCGTCGTGAACGACACGTGCGTGCATTCCTCCGTCGATATGGCAACTGATGGTTGCAGACCCTTGCAACGGTCGTTTCGGTTGTTGCAGTCGTTGCGGTCGCTACGGATGCATGTGTGTGAACGGGCCTTGACACGAACGCACTTCCCGAAACCCCGGGGGGGAAAGAGTTTGTGATACGTGCGCTTCCGCGCATCCCAAGGGAACAGGAAATTCGCCCCCCCCCCCTCCCGCCTGCGGAGGAAGGCAAGGAAAAAACATAGTCCCTTGTTTGTGGTATGATAATTGCAGTATAGTGTATTCTAAACTAGAACTATTTTGCGTCTTTTGAAATTGTTATGCGCAACATATCTAAATGAACTGAAAATTGTTTCTTCAGCGAAACTTTACAAAGGCCGCCAAAATTTTCGAACATACGATAATTTCATTGGTCGGTGCGGGGACAGAAGAGTCTGCACACATTTTACTCCTGCGTGATTAATAGGTGATTCTGCCTTCTAAAACTGAAGATACTCATTCAGTGACATTTCCTTAATACCATCGCACCAAAAAGTAGCCTCCCCAAAAACCACTTGAGTGCCCTTTTAACAGTCAAAACTTCAAAGTATTTGGCCTCTCTTCAGGCTGGCAGCCTAAAACTGCTGCATATTCCTGACTGCAAACTGAAAGCCAAGTACTATCACTTTGACAAAGCAAGGATGAACTGGCAAGCTCTTTCCAAATCACACGTATCCTGCATAAATGGGTAATTGCTGGCTCCTCCAAGCCTTCATATTTCTTGCCTCTTTAAATCCGGTAAGTAGGACACACTGTCGAAGCTGTATACTTCACTACCTGTTTTGGATTCCCGCATAAATGTTTTGCCTGTCTTTCACATGGCATCAAAATGGCTGGATGCCAGCCAATTGGAAAGCTTGATTTTTCTATTTCAATTGGACAGTGGAATCCAGTACTCTTTGAACGTTCAGTGGCCCCTTTAAAGGGTTCATGCGGCAGTATGTTTAGTCTCGTAGATTGTGGTGGTCTCTCGTCAGAGTCTTTCTCCCTTGCTTCTTTTTGCAGCAGGGATCGTGGCGAGGGGGACATCCGGAGAGGGGGCCGGGGCGGCGGCCTCGGCAGGGGAGGCTACCCGAGGCGAGGAGGACGGGGGGGCGGACCCGGACTGGGAGGAGTGGAAGGGGGTCGGGGGGCCCCGGGAGCTGGAGGCCGTGGGGGCGGCTTCGACGGACGTGGAAAGCGGGAGTACGAGCGGCAGAGCGGCAGCGACCGCAGGTGAGCCACCGTGTCTCGCGCCGGGGTACTTCACCGCCTCGTGCACGGAGGTAGGGCCGCTTGGTTGCGTCTCGTCGGCCCTCTTGACGTTCGTCGCTGTACGTGCACGGCAACTCATAGACATTTGAAAAGTGCTTGCCCAAATGCGGAAGGGCGAGGGTTGGCCGTATGACTGAGAAGCTCTGGAAAGTACCTCCGGTTCGGAATCCGAAACTGCTGGAATGTCGTGGGCGGGTGCACCAAAATGAAACCGTATGGAGAGGGGTGACGACTCTCGGCCTTCATTATTTCTTTTTGATGCTTCTAAGTCTGAACAACTTAAAATCACTGTACATGCTCCCTAATTAAGAAAGACCTGCGCATGGGCTCTCTATCTACCATTGCTTTGGAAACAATTCCCAACCAATGGAAAGGAAAACATCTGAAGGGGGAAAAAAAATCTATTGAAGGGTTAATACGGTCACTTCCATTCAGAATAACAAAACAAAAATGTGTGTATTCACTGGTTTGTCCCCGAATATTTTGTCTTTATAACGGGGTAACCATATCAATGGGGTTTATATTAGTGAGTCTTGACTGTGTAGCCCTTTGGCTAAGTTAACCAAGACCAAGGAGAATGCTTTAAGCAGAGTTGAGTGCACTGCACGTGCTGGTGTCTGCAGCAGTAACTGTTTTAAAGTTAGTACCCAAAACAAGTGGACTTTGCATGTGCGTTCATCACCACCTTGTTTTAGTTACTTTGAGTCCTTTGTACAGGGGCGAGCGCATGCAGTGCATGTACACCCGTGAGCGATATGAAGGTGAACAGCCCTCTTCTTGTTTTTGATGCTCCTGCAAGTTTTGGAACAAGCTCTGTTCCAGAAGAAGGCTAGAACGCAAAGTTTAGACCCCCAAGCCACGTACCATTTGAGACGTTGAGAGTTAGTGCAGCTTTAGGGAGCCGTAAAACCGGCAAGAAACCAGGTAAGGTGTTCACCTTCATATTGCCGGCGGGTTGTACCTATGTTTCGAGATTTTTCCTCGGTGACGGGGTAATTCGGTGAGAATTCTGTTGGAGGAGCTTGGCTGCGGTTCTCGGAAGGAGTCTCCTCCGACTGATGTCCTACAGAGCGATGCGAATCTCCTTGTCAGTAAAAAAGTAGCTACATTGAGGCCAGTTTGTGGAATCGCGTGCGCCAACATGCGTCTGATGTATTGAACTATCGGCATCTGCACGTCCGGCCTCCATACTTGTGTGGCTGTTGCACCGGCCGGTGTCGCATTCCAGTCGTCGTAATTCAGCCCGAGCCTGTTGGGAATCAAGGGATAGGGTCTCGGCAGCCTGCCTAGTAAATATTTGGCGACGTTGAGAAACTTCCCTCCTTTCCTGTGTTTGCCACTGGCAAAGGGAAGCAACTACTTTAAGGGGGGACATGGGTCCTTGGAGCCAAAAACGTCCTAAAACCGTATTCTTTTGAAAATGGCGATGGCTGTTGTTCTGAATTTACCAGGCTTCTAATTTTGTGGGTGAATATTTGGGCTATAAATCAACTAATAATGCCTATGCGGGCTGAATGTGAGTTGAGGTTGACTCTAAGACATTGTTTTCACAAGACACAATTTTTGGACTCGTGAAAAATTTGCAGGAGGGATATCTCAGCATCCAGAGCAGATAGAAATATAACCTTTCCTGAAATGTGTAGCTAAATGTGTGAAGCATACAATGTTGAGAGCAGACTTTCTAATAAAACTCTAGAAATTTTTTTATTTGATCTTTTGTTTTATTACTTGTTAGCCATGTATGGAGCACTGAACTTCAATGTGTGGTGAAATCACTAATAGTGGGTTTATCTTAAAAGTACTTCCAACATTGTATGCTCTACACTTTCTAGTATCTAGCCATGTGTCAAAAAGGATATTTTGTTGAGCAGTTTTTTTCCTACCGTTCCTCCAAACAAAGGCAGGCAAGTTTTAATTACCTTGAGGACAATTCTCCTGACTGACAAAACGACCCGATATATGAAATCAGCGCAAAAAGCTGAACAAGCTTTTTTTCTTCAATTGCAGTTGCCCTTTGCGACCTTGCCAGTCACATATTTTTACAAATTTGAGCTGCGGCAATTGGGATTTCTCGTGCCCAGTTTGAGTTGGTTTGAGTTTTTGGCCCCAATTTAAAGAAATAAGAAGATTGCTGCTGCTTTGTTCTGTCCAGGGAGGCTAGAAGGTTCTCCCAGCTTTGGTTTTCTTTGTGGACAGTGGAAGTGTTGACGCTCAGTGTGACCTTCGTTTGTTTACTTAGACTTGCGAGAATTCGCTTCACCCGTGGGGTTGACTTTGAGGTTTTTTCGCTTTCCAGTGGGGTGAAGTCTGTAGACAAGAAGGGCGGTGAAGGCGCCTTCAACTGGGGGACTGTCAATGACGACCTGGAGTGAGTTGGTTCTCTTCTTTTATTTTGGGGCAAGTCGTCTTGGCTAGGCAGGTGCACTTTACTGAGTAACTGCCCAGGTCACCTGGTTGTCAAATGCCTTTTTGACAAAAAACATTGAAATGATGTTTGCCCCCTCTGAAGTACTAGTGTAGTGACATTTCTGGAATTTATCCATTGTGTTCGGCTTAGTGTTGACTGACAAACAAAAGTCAAGCACGTCTGTTATGGAATCCAATGGCACATTGGCACTTCCAAATGTTGCCCGCGTTAGCATGAGAGCTTCAGTGGCGACCGTCTCTGCTTTCAGTGTGTTGCCTGTTTCTGTCAAAGAAAAGTGGTGCGACCTCTGATCTGAGCAATGCCCTAAAGACATCTTGCCAGTTCATGAAACAATTCAAGGGTGGACTTTAGTTAAGGTTCCATGCCTGCCTCCTTCCTTAAAGGGACACTGACAAGCTATTTAAACTCACCAAGGTTTTTTTGTACGTAGCATGTGAGGGCTCAACTACCCAGGACACAATTTGCGGCTCGAAATTTGTTTTCTTTCCGCCTGAAAACCTGGCGGGTTTGAGTCGTGCTCGCTTTCTTCTCTGTGGTCACGTGCCGTTTTTCATGGCTTAGGACGCAACCACCGAAGATAATAGGAGTCGTGGGTCATTGAGGGCACACACTTGATACTAAAAATAGAAATGTGGCTTTTCAAAAGCTACAAATACATTGGTAAAATAAAAAAAAAAAAAGGTTGTAGAGCTACGCGACGTCTGGTTTCGGTTTCAAGCAGTTGCATTCTTTTTACTTTATGAAAATATATGTCAAACTAATAATTGTAGCAGAATATTGATTGGGTAGTCCTCCGACGCCATAATAAATCTCCTGACATACAAATTTATAACAAATTTGGGAGTGGTTTCAATGTTGCTTTTATATTGAAGCATAAAACCCATCTACGACAAGCACAGACTCATCATACTGGAATGAACGTAAGTTTGCAGGGCCTCTCTAATGTATGCTGGGTCTTGTCAACATGTTATGTTAAAAAACTCTTTAATGTTAATTTGCTTTATATAGGCTCTGGACACCTTTGAATTTCTGTCCTATCTCCCCATCTATAAGAAAATACTAAAAAGCATAAAATTAAAAAAAAAAAGGAAAAAAAACAATTCACTATTTTACTGGCATTGAGAAGGCAACAGCAGGGAGGGGCGTTGCTCGTGGTTTGCAGGGCATCTGTAGTGTGACATCTGTAAGGCTTTGGGAAGAGTGGTGAAAAGCTGCTGTTTGGGCTTGGAGTCTTGATTGTCGAGTACGGCTAATTTTTGGTCCATATCGAACGACTGAACACTCTGGTTCTTGTGTTCCCTGTCAAGATGGTCTCGGCACGGGGCTACGAAGCTTCCATAGAGAAACTGCGGACGCTTGGGAGAGGCTTTGCGGTTTGAATGAGGACCTCTGGTTTCTCGCCCCCCTTTCAGAGTTCAACTGAGCCCGTTTGGTGAAGAGAACGCCACAGAGACCGCCGAGAAAAGCGGAGACGAGACGGCCGCCGCTGAGAACCCCACAGACACCAGGTAGGTGCTTTGCCGTTAATGGGAAACTCCGCTCAATTCCGAAAAATTTTGGCTTGCATGTGATTCCATTTCACAAAGCACTACGAAACAACTCTACGTCTTCGGATTCGCAAAATGTGGAATATTATTTGTGCAATCCTAATTGAAACATCAGCTGATACGGTAACCGAAACTTCGGTTGCGTCGGGCAACATTGGTCTCGTGTGGTCAGAGTCATGGCCACATCACGTCGAACCACATGGGCTTGTGACGTTCGGGAGGGGGCGAGGGACAGGACACGCGACACGGGCAGGTCGCTTTGCATGGCGTGGACGGTGATGGCCCCGGTGGAAGGCGAGAAGAAGAAAGGAGAAAGGGAGGGGAGAAACAGACCGATAAAGCGCGCAGGGCAGCGCAAACCAGCGCATCCGCGTTGCGGTGATCACGTGGACGCCCGGTCAGCCAACACCGGGAGGAGGAACTCATGACGTCATTGTTCAATTTCGCTCTGAGAAGTAAAAACAAACAAAACGTGAAAATGACTTAGTCATGCCTCTGACGTAGTGGCTCATTGTTGGCCGCTCCAACTCTGTCGCGTTGACTTCGCTGACGATTGTGCCTCACGTCGCACTCAAGAGTTGGCAGATTTCGGCGACTTGGCTCACTTGGAGGTTTGCTGGCCAGTTTATTAAATATATAGACGGAATTAGATCGTAATATTTGACATGGGGTCTTCCTATATGATACTGAAGAGGGCTACATAGTTTTCTAAATATCAAAAATGAAGCGGAGTTGCCCTTTAAATGCATGCTTAAAAGTGTAGTTCACCATAAAAACCAAAATACAGGTCGAACCCCCAATGTATGCAAATGCATGCATTCGCATGCATGAAATGCTTGTGTGAGCGTTACTTCAATCCTTCGAAACCTTCATCCGACGACAGGTGCTTATTGCTGTCCGTGGCCCACGAGGCGTCGTCTTGCATGCGTCAGTCGCATTGCCGATGCTGCACTTGCGGAACGACTTGCACACCGTTTCGTTCTGGAGTTACATTACGCCAGGTCGGAAGTGGCGTTCGTTGCAAGAGGCCAGTGGGTGTCTGATTGACATGCGTTTCTGCATAAGCGGTTCCTTTTCACTTGAAGGCCATCTTGCGTCTACCTCCACTCATTTTCGTTCGGGAAGCAGCAAGGACGGCCGCAACACAAGAAACAGAAGTAGCACAAGACAAACTAAGATGGCGGCATCAAATACCCAAATTGTCAAGCCTTTTTTTTTTTTGCCAATGATTGGCAAGTGAGAGGGGGAACCCGGTGTAGTTATTTCTATAAAGTGAGCAATTAAAAGTGTGTGTTGGTGTAATTAACTCTACTTTTGATAGCAGACTTACTTGCATTTTTGGGGTATGTTGTTTAGTTACTCCAATGTTGACAAATACAGTAATCTCTCGTTATAACGAATCCAACGGTGTGGCAAAAAAATTAGATGGAAGCTGCTTTGTATACTTTCATGTATGCTTGCATACTTTCAGGACCTCACCTTCGTAATAAGTGTGGTAAGCTGCCGATACACTCACAATAATCCGGTTTGAAATGCTTGCATTTCGGTCAGGGCCACATTGAACTTCGATAAATGTGATAATGGGGGGGGGGGCGATTTTGTTTCATTGAGGAATTGCTGTACACAAGTTTCTGTTCTCAGCACTCTATGCTATCACCGGCGTCAAACGCCTTTATAGAAACTGCACAGGACTGGTAAGGACTTTCGTTGTAAAATCGCTAAGCTACAAGAGTTGAATGCGAAATTGAACGTTTTCCCTGTGCTACCTGGAGGTTGTTTCTGAGCGATTTTGTTTTGCTGAAGAACTTTTGGTACCTATTAACGACTCCCGCAACCTACGTGGGTTGCCATTCTGGCAAATACATACCTGCCAAGTCTACCGTATTACCTGGGAGACTTACGAATTTTGACAAGTTTTTTTAGTGTACATTTCTTTTCAATCATTTATTTAGGAAACGCCCCCCTAGCCCTCCCCCACACACACTTAGAAATTCTCCCAGATTTGGTTTTTCCGAACGTGGCAGGTGTGCAAATATAGTGGTTAGAGACCAAAGTTTGTGGAGCACGCCGATTGGACCTTGGTGACAAAAGCATGGCGTCATTGTCGCTCTGCGTTCAGTCGGAGTGCTCTGTATACTTTGACCCCAACTTTGTGTTTGAAGAGTTTATGCTGTTCGCGTGGTTTGGTGTCCAAACCGTAAACTGATGCACACGCAGAAACTTTTGCTCATATGCCGCGGTTTTAGAAAACTACCCGTATTGGGGCATGTCATCCTTCTCAGAGAGATGTTCTGCCTTGCAGAAGTCTCACTGCAAAGCATCTTCTTTTTCTCTCCCCATGGGGCATTGCAGCAAGGAAGAGGAGGGCGGAGCAAGCACCGCGGAGGGAGTCCTGCCCGACGATGCCAAGGAGATGACACTGGACGAGTACAAGAAGGAACAGGAGCAGAAGCGCTCGCGGGCGAGCTTCAACATCCGCAAGCCCGGTGAGGGCGAGGAGAACGCCGAGTGGAAGAAGATGTACGTGCTCAAGAAGAAGATCAACGAGGAAGGCGAGGAGGAGGAAGAGGAGGAGAGCGAGGTGGGTGGTTTTCTCTTGTCGGGCAACTGTGCGGTGCCCTTTTGGCTTCCGATTGTGGGTGGCATCGGAGTCATCAACCGATCAAACTTTATGACCTGTTTGTGTGTTCACGATCGGACGGTGTTTTGGTGAGAACTCCTCACCAATTTACAAATGGCGAGGGAGGTCTCGCAGTGTCTCAGTTGCTTGTCCCGGGTAATTCTCCGCCCCCCGGTCGGAAATGTGTGTTGCTTCCAACGTAAAATAGCAGGCAGTCATGATGTTGATCCGTGTCCTCTCTCTCACTTTGCCATTGCATTCAATTTGTAGCAGAGTCAGCTTGGTGTTGGGCGGCGGAACTACCCAGCATTTGCGAAGGAACCATTGGTTTATTCCTCCCAACTTAAGATAGCACACAATCACAATATCTGTCTGCATCCAATCTCACTTAGCCATGGCACTCTGTTTGTAGCAGACGATGCGCATTTTTCTAGCAGATTTTTGTCTGCAAACAATGTTTCTTAGCAGAGAAATTCTTTTCTCTTTCCTCATTAAAAAAAGACAAATATGAAAAAAAAAATTTTTTCTTTAAGTAAAATGAAATTTTATTTCTAGGTTCATGAACTTTGTAAGGGTATCTCAACAGAGCTTCGTTCATGTCCGCTGTGTGTAATTTTGCTACGTGCCAGTAACATGAAGAGATGCGAAGCACCACACACGGAGTGCTGCAATGTTTGTTTTTCGCCTCATACCATAAAATACCGGGCAAGCGCCCACTCAAAATTTCGAAATAATCGCGAGAGAATGGGGGTGGGCGCTTGTCCAGTCATCGATTTTACATATACAGTCGAACCTCGATATAACGAACTTCAATGTAACGAAATCCTCGATTTAACGAAGTATTTTATTTTTCATAATTTCTTGCCCATAGACCCCATGTATTTTTAGTCCCTATATAACGAAGTCTATTTTGCTGCTATTTCAATATAACGAAGTGCCATTGCCATAGAAGGCAATAAATAAATCAACTCTAAAAAACAACTTCGCAAAAAAATTGTGGTTAAAAAAAAATTATGCGCAAACGCGAGCGCTTGATAGGTTACTTCACGGGGACAGGCCTTCCAACGTTCCTAGGCTGCCCGAGGATGCGGCGCCGGTAGCGCCGGCGAGGCATGCGGCAAAGCGGATTCCGCGAGGCTGGCCAGAAAATGCCGAGCAAAGAGTTAACACGACATAACAGCATCACCACTGACATTCACTGATCATCATAGTCCACTGTATCGTCTTGCGAGCGTGATGTAAAGCAAAGGCGCAAGCACACTGTGGGCGCAAGGGGGCAAGTAAACTGTGCGGTCAAGAGTGCTGTGTAGGTTGGAAACATTGGCACCGCCTAAACTAAACAGCTTTATTTTTTAACCGGGCGGTTCACTTACGTGTTTGCTGACATAAGGAAACGTAAAGTTCTTTCTTTGGATGAGAAAGCAAACGTTTTGGACGCCATCCTGAAGAAACTGCCGAGATCACGAGCACTCGGGAAGTGCTCGACGCAATGGACGTACTGAGGAGGTACACGGCGTCGCATGGGCAGCAAGATGCCGTGCAAGCACTCTGGGCGCTCGAACGCCGTATGACGCCGCCGACGCTGCTGCTACTGTCGGACAAGGCGCAAGCAAAACTCGCGGACTACTTTGCCGCTAAATAAATGTCATTTTCGGTGAGTTTTCATACCCTTTTACGTAAAATGTTTCGGAATTTTTTATTTTTTTTCGCATGCTAAAGCCAAATTTCGATTTAGCGAAATTTCAATGTAACGAAGTAAATTGCGAATTTTACCGACTTCGTTACATCGAGGTTCAACTGTAAGTGTACTGCGCATATTTCCTCAAATCAAGCAAATTTGGGAATGGGCGGATGTGCGGTATTCTACGGTAGGTGCTCCGTGCACGCTAGGCCTAGCGAGAAGATCATACCCTCGTTGGAAAGCTTATCTCTTGTTTTTTTTTTTGTTTTTTTGGCACTGATCGTAATCGTCGTTCAAGAAAAATAGGCACCCTGGGAGACATTCGTGAACCCTCTCGGAATTGATGCGTTTTCATGCTAAAACATGCTACGCAAACTCTTATTGACCGAACTTGTGAAACGTCGGCTCCTATTGGCCTCTTTACGTCACATGCCTTCTGGCTTGGCTAGGTCGCTTGCTCGTTGTCTACTAGTTCTTGTTTAGAAACCTGCTCTTGCACTTCGTCGGTCTCTACTTCGTGAATTTTTCGGTGAGCTTTCGGCGATAGTTTTGAGGAGATGCCCGTGGTGAAGTCGCAAACACAGCAAAGCTTTGATTGCCGCTCGCAATTCAGATTGCGCACACTTGCTGTTCATGACAACAGTCTTCAAGATTATTGCATGTCCCACTGAGGCCACAGCAGCATAGCGGCGGTGCCTGCAGTACCCGAAAGTGCTACGCTCTGTGAATCTGACTTGCTCACCGCCTTTGAGTGGAATATCAGCTTTTTGGAGGAGGCAGGCGGAAACAACGGGAGCACCGAAGATGCCTTGCGGCGATGGTGCGGCAAGCTACCGTTTGGTAGATTTGGCTTGTCTGCGAAGCATGGTGGGAGTTCCGCTGTGCCAAACTTGCCATGGGGCGGGTTTGGAACTTTGAGAACGCGGCACCGGAGCTCATCTGACGTTTGTCGTTGAGTGCCCACTTGTGAAGCCGTCGTTTTGGCGCCGCTCTCGTCGACCATCGATGACACTTACTGAACTTCCTGTGTGCCTCGTAATTTCTGCACGCAGCAACGGTTTTTGAATTTTTTTTGTGGAACTATATACCCCTCTGCCGATGCACCTGAACTCCTAGCAGATGATTGCAACGAAGGTACATGACGCGGCCACGCAAGCATCTGCTAATGCGATGGCAGAGGCTGCCGAGACGGTGCAGAAGGTGCTAAGAACGTCGAACGACAAGGAGCAGGCGCCAGATGTCTGCGCCAGTTACGACGGGGACGTGGCTTAAATGAGGCCACATGTCTCATTGTGGCGTTCCTGCTTTATTGAACTGGACTTGTGTGGGGGTCAGCAACTACTGCCACGGTTGGAGCCTTGAACCGAAAGAGGGCTTGGAAGGATACAAGGAGTGGCTACAAGAACACAATTCCAAATGCCGAATAGATTTTAATTGATAGGCCACTGCTTTGGAGGTGCACGCGGCAAAGTTGATTTTCAGTCGGTCGGTGGAACAACACAAGCTGCAGTATGTAACTGTGCTCTGTGATAGCGACCCCAACGGCTTCAACCGCATTGCTGCACTGCAACTCTATTATATGGATACGAGCAAAGAAGACTGCATTAATCATGTTGCAAAGAGGCTTTGTGCGGGAATAGAAAAACTCAAGAGAGGACTGGGGGGAACGGCGCAAGCTGACAAATATTATGACAAAATTGACTTACTACCGTGCGAGTGCCCTGAAGAATGCCCCGGACGTGACAGCAATGCAGCGGGTTCCCCCGCTGCGTGTGCAATTCTTTGCCCTATCTTGAGCTGTTACTTACCATAGAATATATTGTCTCTCTGAAAATACCTCCCCCCCCCCCCCCCTCCCCCTTTCTCGGAAAAAAAAAATGCGCTTATATAATAGAAAAAGGGGGGGGGGGGGGGGGTAAATGACGGTTGGTTTTAGGTACTGACGAGCAGGTGGCAACCCTACGTGGTGAGAGGCAAATCGGGTTGCATTCTCACTCTCACGGTGACCAAAGTTTGACCCCTGAAAGGAGTCTAGCCACCGGCCGGTGTGTTTACCACATCCCTATCTCAGGTCCCTCGTTTTCTGCCTGATGGCGTCGAAGCGTCGCATCGTTGCCTGTTGGGCAACGATGCGACGCTTGCTCCGGGATGCAGGAGCGAACCGGCATCCAAGAAGACAACAATTGAACTACGAGTGTCGGCAAGAGCCACGTAAACACCTGATCACACTGGGAGCGGACGCGCGCATTTGATAGAAGTGCTCAAGCCGTGCTGTTGACCCGCCTCTTGGTACGCGCTTTAGAACCAATCTTCTAAAACCGACTGCAAGAACCGCCGGGCCTCTATAATCGGTTACAAGTCAAGGAGGTAGGAGAAGCTCCTTCCACAAGCGTGATGCGCCAATTTCAAATCCCTCTGCAGTCGAAGGAAGAGTTCACTGGAAACGCTCCTTGCTCCGCTTCAACGGATAGATATTGGCTACAGAGTGATGCCAACTTGTCTCCGATCCCACTTTTTAAGGAAGCGACCTTTGTATCCATTGCAGGGGGAACCAAGCCCCTGAAAGCAGCCTTTGTATCCATCGGAGGGGGAACCTAATCCCGGGAAGTCGTATTTGTTTCCATTGGAGGGGGAAAACTAATCTCCCTCTCGTGGCTTCCACAATGCTCAGTCAAAGTCGAAAGATAAAAGCAAATATGTACAGAAAGGCAAGACCCTCTTCGTGCATTGGCCGCGACGTTACGGAAACGATGGGACGCTATTGGGTGCAGAGGTGGTGGAGGGATAATGCCGCGTGCAGGGTCACGGACTTCTAGAAAGTTTGGGACCCTGTGCGCGGCAATATCCCTCTGATTCCCTTTGAGGGGCATTTGCCGCTACCTCCTTGACTTGTAACTACACGACGCGAACTGCTCGAGTTCAACAGTGTTGACGTGCCGTTGTGTCAGAATAAAAGACACGTGAATAACAAATTGCGCATACCAAATTTTGCAAGTGTAATCCATAGGACATTTACTTCAGCACAAAAAGAAAAGAGATGGAATCCATATGGGTGTCTCTTTTTGTTGGAAGTGTTTGCCACCGCTGCCACTGAAAGGAAGGCGATGACAAGAAGGGACTGGCCTGTTAACCGAAAATGGAGGTCGGCATTTGAACTAGTCATACTGGAAGGATCGACGAGGTTTGCGCGGGCACGATCCATTTGGCAAGCCAGCCGGTCGTGGGCAGACGGCCTTGGCCAGGGACTGTGGGGGTGATGTTGGATCAGAGTTCCTAGGCCTAGCGTATCGAGCTAGCCCTTGGCGGCCGGTGGGATTGTTGCCAGTGCAGCTTTTTCCGGGTGTCTGTGGATCCAGCGTTTATCTCCGTCGTGGTTCGTTTCAAGTACTTTTTTTTTTCTTGCTGCTTGGAAGAATAGCACTTAAAATTAAAAAAAAAAATGTCCGTTCAATGTTGCGACGAAGCAACCGAGCGACGCTGTTGGCCATGTTGATTTGAATGTAAAGAACTGTACAAGACACCTCTGGAGCTGTCCTAGGATTCCGTCGTAACTTGTGCAAAACTTGAAATAAGTTTGCTTCGTGGCTATGATTTCTCGTGTTTCGTCGTGTCAAACTTTTTGTCGTAGATGGTCTCTTGAAACTGGCCTTGGTTGAGACGCCTTCTAGGCGCAAAACTGGACTGTGTAAATGGGTTTTTGAACTTGTCCAGTTTGAAATCTATAGTCCATTGCAACCTAAGAACGAAGGGCGAGGGTAAGACGGGCCAAGGAGGAGGAAGGAGACGAACGCTGGACAAGGGAGGGGGAAACCTCCTTCCCTCTTTGGCGTTCCGTCTGCTTCCTCCTGCCCGGCCCGTCCACCCTCGCCCTTCGTTCTTAGGTTGCAACGGACTATAGTGAGGTAGACCCTTTCCAGGAGTGAGTCTAATCACTTTCATCGGAATTGTCGCAAACGGCTATCTGCTGGTTGCTGTTAAAGGAAGATGTGCATCAAGATGGACAAGACCAGTGATGGAAGTGCTGCGCCAATTGCGCCAAGGACGCAATCCTGCTACATGTAGCGCCTAATTGCCATTTTACCGAAGAATTGCGCCATGCCTGCGCCGAGATGAGATGTAGCAATAAAAAATAAAAATTGAAGTCTTATCAGAGCGCGTGTCGGTACCGCGGTATTTTCCGCGCCGCAACTGTTACGCGAATAGAAACTGCGAGGGCGCATTATCATCATCATCATTGAAAGGAACAACGTTAGCAACATCTGAGACTAAAGCCGCAGAGACTAATTGCCGAATTCCGAAACCTCACTCAAACTGAAAGGCCCCTCCACTTCCTCAAGGGCCGGCGCTGGCCAATCGCGACGGCGGATCCGTCCTCGCGATTGGCCAGCGCAGGCCCTCGCGCCTTGCTCGAGGAAGTGGAGGGGCCCTTCAGTTTGAGTGTAGTTTGAGTGAGGTTTCTGAATTCGGCGCTAAGCGAAGAACCATCCCACTGAGCAGCCTATATAAAAAAAAAAAAAAAGAAAAAAAAAAGGCCGAGCTTGTGGATGTTTTTAATGTTGGACCGCCCTGTTCTCGCGCGCTAGCTACCAGCGAAGTCATAGCTAGTGCGAGCCCAATGCTCTGTGCATTCCTACTCGTGCGTGGGCTCGTGCAGTGTGGGCACCGTTACGGGCTTCTTGCGCGCGCTTGTAGCTTCGGCTGCACTCACACCGAAGCTGAAACGAAGTATAGTTGAGTTGCACCAAACTCTGGGTGTAGAGCTGGTAAAGCCTCGCTGTCCTTTTCGGAGCCCAAAACACTGTGCGACTGCGGTGTCTGCTCCGCGGGTGTCGCTTCTCTGCAGCGCGTCGGTGCATGCCAAGGAGCGCACTCAACGGGTAAACTCGCCGTGATCTGATCGTGACTTCGCGAGCACATCGAAAATGAATCGGAATTTTTGAAGCGAATATCAGATACCGCAATATTTTAAGCTGCTGCCCGAAAGACAACTCTAATCTGAACTAAAACATTCCACAACAGTCAGGGTCGTTGGATGCTGCTGCAGATACCTTAAAAGAAGTGCAGGCTGATATAAAACTAAATATCCTGTACCATCAGAACTCAGGGTGACATATTTAATTGCATTTGTTTATCTAACGATCAGATAAACTTTATTTTAAAAAAATGTTTTTTTTTGTTTACTTTGTTGAATTTTACATATCCTTCTTAAAAAGGCGACAGGCGCTGTGTTCCAATAATAGAGATGGGCTTTATGTAGCAGTGCGGCATTATTTCATTTTAAAGTAATATGCCAACAAATACTGGACCCTGCTCCAAAAGGGCCACTACCTGCTCCAAAACAACATTTTGCCTGCTCCAAAACGTCAAATGGCACTTCCATCACTGCAAGACTTGTGCATTCTAGGCAGTTGCAGACGTTAAGTTGTGTCTGACCTGCCCGTAGCTATGTACCGCACAACCGATGACTTCGTCAAATTCCGACTCTTTGCACCAATTGTTGGGCTGAAGTCGAAGGTAATAAGACTAGTCTTTCACGATTACCAACCTCATGTAGGCATTTGAGTGTTGAAACCAGTGCACTGGCAGCAGTGGGAGAGCAACCTGAACTGCTTTTTTGGCTCTTAGGATGTTGCTTAGGTCTGTTTAGGCTTAGGTATCTTTGTTTTTGGGATAAAATTGTCACCCTATAGTCGGATGCAACCTGAGAACAATCTTTTAGCTCCACCCACAAGCGCATTGCGCCCATCTGAAGTGCCTCCGCCGTCGAGAAAGTAGTTCGCTAGCAACGTTGCTTTTTCTTCCTTCAGGAAACGTGTCTTAAACTACTACAATATTTATTTAATTCATTCAGGACATTTAAATAAGTTAGAATACGTTTTTGTCAACGAAATAGCTGTTTAGTAAAGAAAGAAAGTAATGTCCAATGTACCGTTTTCCCAATTCATTTTCTGTCCAAGATACTGTCTAACATACCGTCTAACATACCTCTCAGCAGTGCTAAGCCTCGCGCCCGCTTCGAAATTTTCGTTGGCGATAGCGTCGCTGGATTCTCACGTTGGCGCGCAAAAACTGCTGCAAACGCAAGCCGATACCATTAAGATTTCGTGGCGTAACCTCGGGCACGTAAAACACGGCGCAAAAAAGCAGAATAATTCTCACGAGAAACTAGCGTCGCGTTGCTAAGGCCAGCAGCCATGTTGAGTTTTTTTTTGTTTTTTTTTTTTAAAGATTGCGATTGGTGCACGGAATCGTGACGTCCTGAAAACGATTGGCTGGCGTTTCTCGGCGTAGTATTACATTTTCCTCTGAGAGGCATTTCCGGTTTTTTCTTAGCTTGCAACCGACTATAGTGACTAACGTTTGCTCGTATTCATTTTGTTGGTTGCTATATTTGTTTACTATTAATTAGGCATGGGGGTTATTGTATTGCTATCAGCCTCTCAGGCTACCACACTGTCCCACAAGGCTGGCGGAGCACTTTCTTCGTCGTGCCTGGCGGCAGAGGGTGGACAAAGGAAACTGCTTGCACGTGTGTAGGGAAGTGACTGGCGACACCCGTGCCCGCTTCCCAAGGATTTTGCAGCAACACTGGGTTCCGGTGCAGTCTTGGTAGCTTAGTTTTTCAGCCACGGCAGTAACGCCCTACAGTTGTGTGATCAAAGTTGTTTGTGTTGCAAAAACTGCCAGGTCTAGTTAGGTGCTGTTTGCTGAAACCCTCAGCATATTGTGGTTTCTCTCCCATCATTTCAGTTTCTGCTGTCTTTAGACGCTTTGGTGGGGTGGTGTTACAGCACAATCCATTTATAACGATGTAGTGCTTATAACAATCAGTTTTACACTAGAAACTCTCAATTCCCAGTTGGGATGCTACAATAGTCGGTTATAACGACTGAATTTTAGTTTCCTCATTGTCGTTATGGATGGATTGCATTGTACTGCCCGTCTGGCTTTGTTTTCAAGCAGAAACTACTCCATGCCACCCTACATAGAACTATAGCCAGAGCTACAGATTGCCAGGTTAAAAAGCATGGTGCAGGGCTACAGCGTATCGGGTTTGAAAAAGATTTTATACGCTCATCAGAGCGGTTTTTCACATTTTTTGCTCGCTCGCCATCGGATGTGGCAGATCGAAGCTTTGGCCAGTCCATCGTAGTGCACTCCGACATACAGTTGCTTCAAACGCCTACTTGACATGCACGTCGGAGAAGTTTACCCCATTTCCTTAGTGGCTCGCGATTCGGTGCGCCAGATTGTAGCTTTTCACGGACCCTTCGTTGCTCCTCCCGCAGGACGAAGACGAGTATGCTCGGCGCGGCCGCCAGCGTCAGCTCGTCGACATTGAGATCAACTTTGCGGACCAGCGCCGCAGCCGGGGGGGCCGCGGACGCGGCGGAGGCCTCGGACGCGGCGGACCGGGAGGTCCCGGCGGCCCCGGGCGCGGGGGCGGACCCAGGGGACCCCCCGGAGAGCGGGGCCCTCCGGGCGAGAGGGGCGGACCCCGCGGAGGCGGATTTTCGGGTCCCCGCAGCCCCAGGGAGCTGCCCCAGGGCGGAAGCGGGCCGGCGGCCGGGCCCAAGCAGTCGGCGCCCAAGGTCGACGACTGGAACGACTTCCCTTCCCTGGTGGCCGCCTAAGACCCTGCGCTCCGACCAGGAGCGGATCCACCAGATCGGAGACAGAAGCGCGCGTCAAGGACGACCATTGTCACTTGCGCCACACGAGTTTTTTGGCGCCTGCTATCGAGGGTCGTTCGTTCCTTTCTCCCCCCCTCCTACATGCCCCCTCTCTCAAACTGTTTTTTTTTTCCTCCTTTGATCTTTTCTCTCCCCTCTTTCCTCTGTGTTTCTCTTGAGACCTTTGACTAGAGTGTGCATGCGCCAGAGTGCTGCATCTGTATGTATGCGTGTGCGAGAGAATGAATGTCTACACTTTGCTTTTTCCCACTACTTGAGAGCAAAAGGCTCTTGATTCTCTGGGAGGGCGGAACTGAAGAGCTGGTGTTCAAGAAAACCCTCACTGATTTTTTTTTTTTTTTTTGTGGTGTCTAAAAAAGAATTAATTTTCTGTTTTTGTTTTTTCTTGCAGAGTTTGTTGCACCACATGCTCTTTTTGTGTATGTTACACAGCTAAATACAGTAGCGGGTTTTCTCTGTGCGTGTGTGAGTGAGTGTGTAGTTAATTATTTCTTGCGTGCGAGAGTGAGTGGGTCCCTTTCTCTGCGTTTTGCCAGTCTGGTCCTTGCTCCCCTTGGAAGTTGGCGTGTAGTGTGTCCAAAAGTGTGATCGCGAACAAGAAAAGGAGGTGCAGCCTTCTTTTTTTGTTGTTGGGATGGAACCGTATTAGGGCTAGGGAATTGTGCGCACATCTTTCCTTTTCCTCCACTCTGCTCTGCAATAAGAGTACAAAATTAAGCAGTGCCCTTTTATTTTCTTTGTTTCGTCTGACTGGGTTGTGAATGTGAAGGGACATGGTGGTTTTACTTGGCCTTTGACCTTCTTGAACCTTAAAAAAGTAGCCCAAGATGTCTTTTTTTTTTTCCCCATTTGGTTTATTTGGGGAATGAGGGGGAAGAGAGGTCTGCATCTGCCAGCGTTCATTCTGACGACTGACGCAAAATGGTGAAGAAAACCAGAGTGTTTCTTTTGAGTTGCTCGTTTGCCAGGCTAGCCTTATTTGGGCTACCCTTATAAGGCTGCCCCCATCATGCTACTACCCCCCCATCCTGTCTCAGTTGTGGTTTGTCTCGACGGGACGTTTGGGGGGTTGACACGACCCCTTTTTATTTGTTCTACCACAAGTTTTCTTTAGTAGATCAATACCGGGGCCCCGAATGAGTCGCAGTGGGTGTCTCATCTGGCGGATGTGGTGGCAGCACAGAGTTGCTCTGGTTCTCACTGTGGGGAGGAGGGTCTTGTTTTTATTTGATGGGGAGGGGGATGTGAAGGCGGGGGAAGTCGTTGAATAAACGTCATAGACAGTTGTATGTTTTCTGATGTCTGTTTTTTGGGGGGTCAAGTAGCTGGAAGCACTGCCGGCTATTGTGTTTCCCGCACAGTAACCACAGCTGGAGTTTGGGTGCAAGTGGGGAGTAGCTCCACACATTTTCATAGACTACTAAAAATCAATGCCGTGCCCTGTAAAGGAAAACAAAATGGTTGGAATGGGGTAGAAAATTTTTCTCTGGGGAACTTCCAAGCAGCAGAAGATGCTTCAGTTTGAGATACTTTTTTGTGCTTCAAAGATGCGCGGGAACTCGCTTTTTGTAAAATTTGAAGAAATCTGGCTCCACCTGGGGCAACAAAGCTAGTAAAGTTGGGATAGTTGGTTCATCTTAGTTAAACATATAAAATAGCGTAAAAAAAGACAAGGGCCTGTATACTTGTCCTCGTCGGTTTTTTTTTTTTTTTTTTTTTTTTTTTTTTTTTGCGCTATTTTGTGTGTTTAACAAAGCTTGTAAAGTCGTATTTACTCAGTGTCGGTGACAGTCTGGTCCAGTTCTCCCTTCGTTTTCGTCCTTTTGTCATTACACCATGATAGTATCGCCACGGCCACTTATGAGGGCTGCTCATCAAGCTCAGTATATACAGCGCCAAAAAACGACAGGACAAAGACGAGAGTAAACAGGACGAGGCGCACTCGCAACTAAAGTTTATTTAGGAAAACACATAATATATAGGCCGTTAAAAATGCCTATTCATCCCATCAATCCAGAAGACCTCTTGATAAAATCAAACTCTTTCCCTGAGAGGGCAAGGGAAGGCTCGCTAACGCATTCATCTCCCTTTGCTCTAATCTCAAATGCCTCGTGCACTTCTCGGCATATTTTATCTTTGTATTTCGCCAGAACCTTCACATCATGCAGAACTGGTGAACACTGACAGCGACTACAATGAACAGCTAGATTGCCAGACGGGCTTGCTCTCATAGCTGACGCATGTTCCCGTGCACGATCATTGACACATCTGCCAGTCTGGCCGATGTACACGGAGCCGCAAGTCAGCGGAATTTCGTAAACCACTCCGACGGCACACTCAGCATATTTGGTTTTGTGTTTTGTGCCGCACTGCTCCATGTCTGTCTGGAGATTATTGATTCTACGGCACAAGCGTGCCATTTTTTCCGGAGCTGAAAATACTACGGGTACTTTAAACCGCCGTGCAACTTTCTTTAAATTATGGGACATGGCATGCAAGTACGGAATAATTACCGGTCTCGTTTTTGGCTTCTCTCTCGCCCGATTAGTTGCCCCTTTGAATTTTTTCAACAATCCTTCCGTAACCTCAGTCAGGCATCCTTGTGAGAAACCTGCCTTCTGCAGGCGTGAAATCTGTAGATTAAAGCTGTCTTGCACAGAATGTTCACAAGATCGTTTTAGGGCCATCTCCAAACACGTGCTAGCAATGCCGTACTTGCATGCCATGTCCCATAATTTAAAGAAAGTTGCACAGCGGTTTAAAGTACCCGTAGTATTTTCAGCTCCGGAAAAAATGGCACGCTTGTGCCGTAGAATCAATAATCCCCAGACAGACATGGAGCAGTGCGGCACAAAACCAAATATGCTGAGTGTGCCGTCGGAGTGGTTTACGAAATTCCGCTGACTTGCGGCTCCGTGTACATCGGCCAGACTGGCAGATGTGTCAATGATCGTGCACGGGAACATGCGTCAGCTATGAGAGCAAGCCCGTCTGGCAATCTAGCTGTTCATTGTAGTCGCTGCCCGTGCTCACCAGTTCTGCATGATGTGAAGGTTCTGGCGAAATACAAAGAGAAAATATGCCGAGAAGTGCACGAGGCATTTGAGATTGGAGCAAAGAGATGAATGCGTTAGCGAGCCTTCCCTTGCCCTCTCAGGGAAAGAGTTTGATTTTATCAAGAGGTCTTCTGGAGTGATGGGATGAATAGGCATTTTTAACGGCCTATATATTATGTGTGTTTTCCTAAATAAACTTTAGTTGCGAGTGCGCCTCGTCCTGTTTACTCTCGTCTTTGTCCTGTCGTTTTTTGGCGCTGTATATACTGATCATGAACCAACTAGCCCAAATTTCTACTTTGCTGCTCATCAAGCGGCCGTGTCGTTACATTCTTGCTGACTTCGCCAGTGGTCATCGCATGCTTCGGTATAAGATGGCCGGCTGGCGGCTGCCCTGCAATCATATTTAAGCGTCTACCCTTTTTGCGGTTTCCACGTCTCTTGGGGTTCGGGCAAGCCAGCGGGCACGGAGAGAGTAACTAAATATCAGTGCCTCATATTTTAACCAGACGACGCGGAAACCTCCTCCACCACGAGGGCGACCCGTGGTACCGAAAGCGTACAAAATGTGACGTCTTTGGTCCTGGGCTTGCTACTGGTCACAGCCGGTAAAAGCTTCTGTTTAGTCGAAATACAAAATATAAGTGGCGCGAACCGTTTCAGTTATTTATAAAAATAGTTTTTATTCAGTGTTTTAGACCAAAGAAGAAACTAACGCAGTTCAAAAAGTACGGAAACAAGAAATGGATGGATGGATGAATGGATGAATACGGCTGAGCCCTTTGGATCGGGCGGTAGCTTACGCCACCTAGCCATTTCGTTTTACCATTTAAGCTTAGAATATTTAAATGTGAAATCTATATTCACTCCGCAGTGCAAAGAAAGTGAGGCTATGAAACCCCCTTGCCATCAGTGGATAAGAAAATACCTAGTTTTCTCTCGATTTCTGCCACCATTCACTTAATCTTTGCTTGGTAATCTCTACAGTCTTGAAATCCACTCTCCCTTCGCTGTCTCTAAAACCCAATGACTTTATTAAATCTATGTTGTCTTCGGTAGGCATAGGGTGAAGCCCTTTACAGTAGAGTATCAAGTGCTCAGCCGTCTCGTCCTCCTCTCCACAAGCAGTGCACACTGTATCAATTTCCTGGTACTTCACCCTGTATGTTCTGGTTCGCAGAACACCCGTTCTTGCCTCAAACAGCAATGAGCTTCCCCTAGAATTGTCATAAATGCTTTCTTTGGCAATAACTCTTTTGTTTAATCTATAGCTTTCCAGAGCCGTCTTTGTCTGCATTCCCTCTAGCCACCAATCTCTTTCTGTGGCCTTAACTTTCTTCTTAACTGAGACTTGCTCTTGTCGACCCGTCGACATACCCGCCACCAAGCGGTGGAAAAGGCCGGCGCATACTAGAAAGGAGTAGGGGTGTCGCGAACTTTTGTCGAACCAGTTTTTTTGGTCGAACTTTCGGGGTTCGACTGAGTCGAACCGGTTCGACGAACCTTCGACCTTTTCACCAGATTCGACCGGTTCGACTTTGTGGACAGTGTGGCCAGCCCTTGATACAAGCATGTCTAGGTTTGGAGAATTTCTTTTTTTATGCAAAGGGTTATTTGATTTTGTGAATAACTGCAATTAAAAGAAACTAACTCTAATCACTGAAGAAGTTAATAACTTAATTTTTAGTACTGTATTAACTAAAATAGCCAATCAGCACTGCACTTAATTCATCTCTTAGCCATTACTATCCAATCCGAAGCCAACTGGCCAGCCTGTCGCGCATGCGCACACGAGTCGAACCTCAATACAAGGTTTAAAAGTAAACATTTTTGACAGAGGTCTGTCTGGTTAGGAAGAAATTGACAGTTTTTGCGGACACTAACCAAAGTTTTATTTAAAAACACATAAACCCGACGTTTCGGGACCCGCTCGGTCCCTTGGTCACGGGTGACTGTAGGTAGGGGCGCGGTGGGGAAGGTTGCCCAGGTGGTTGGCCTTGCTGAGGCTTAACCCAGAGGGCGCGGGGGAGGGGGCGCGGTGTGAAAGGTTGCCCGGGCGTTTGACCTTGCTAAGGTTTACCCCAGAGGGCGCGAAGTCCAGACACGTACGCGCTCGGGAGAGTGCCCTTGGACCGGTTCACGTTCTTACTCGTTGTTTGGATAAACCAGGACTCTAGATGAAGGCGTTTCCTCCAATGTCCCTCGGTGGCCACGATCTGAGTCTCGTCGAGGGAGAAAGAGTGCCCCGTTTTTTGCTCGTGCTCTGCCAGGGCGCTGGCCTCAATATCTTTCTTTCTCACGTCGTATTTGTGTCGTCGAATACGATCCGGGAAGTTTTTTGTTTCCCCCACATAAGCGACCGGGCAATCCGCGCACGGCACGCGGTACACGAGGCCTTGAGCCCTTTCCCTTCCTGGTCTGTCTTTGGGGAGAGGAAGCCGCCGACGGATGGTAGACACGGGCTTGTGGGAGACGGCGATGCCGTGTTTCCGAAGGACGCGTCCGACGGTCTCACTCACATTTTTCACATAAGGGAGACAGATCCGATTAGACGGTCTCGAGGTCGGAGTCACAGGGGGGCGGCGTAGGCGTTTGTAGATGTCGTTAATGAACCGCTTTGGGTAACCATTGTTAACTAGATCAGCTTTGATCTTCTTAACTTCTTCTCGTAGGGCCTCCTCCGTAGAACACACGGACAGCGCCCGTCGGAAAAGGGCGCTGACCACTGAGGCCTTGTGCGATGTGGGGTGATACGACTCGAAGTCCAGGTATCTACCGGTGTGCGTAGGTTTTCGGTATACCGCGAAGCTGAGCGCGTCAGAAGCTCTCCTGACGCTCACATCCAGAAACGGGAGCACGGGGCACTCTTTCTCCCTCGACGAGACTCAGATCGTGGCCACCGAGGGACATTGGAGGAAACGCCTTCATCTAGAGTCCTGGTTTATCCAAACAACGAGTAAGAACGTGAACCGGTCCAAGGGCACTCTCCCGAGCGCGTACGTGTCTGGACTTCGCGCCCTCTGGGGTAAACCTTAGCAAGGTCAAACGCCCGGGCAACCTTTCACACCGCGCCCCCTCCCCCGCGCCCTCTGGGTTAAGCCTCAGCAAGGCCAACCACCTGGGCAACCTTCCCCACCGCGCCCCCACCTACAGTCACCCGTGACCAAGGGACCGAGCGGGTCCCGAAACGTCGGGTTTATGTGTTTTTAAATAAAACTTTGGTTAGTGTCCGCAAAAACTGTCAATTTCTTCCTAACCAGACAGACCTCTGTCAAAAATGTTTACTTTTAAATCTCTATGCGATGACTACGGTCCGGACGCGGTGAAGCTTGCAAAGAGGTTTGTGCACGCCAATCGCACGACCGCCAATTTCAAGACCCACCTCACTTTTAACAAGACCTGCACGGATGGTAGACACGGGCTTGTGGGAGACGGCGATGCCGTGTTTCCGAAGGACGCGTCCGACGGTCTCACTCACATTTTTCACATAAGGGAGACAGATCCGATTAGACGGTCTCGAGGTCGGAGTCACAGGGGGGCGGCGTAGGCGTTTGTAGATGTCGTTAATGAACCGCTTTGGGTAACCATTGTTAACTAGATCAGCTTTGATCTTCTTAACTTCTTCTCGTAGGGCCTCCTCCGTAGAACACACGGACAGCGCCCGTCGGAAAAGGGCGCTGACCACTGAGGCCTTGTGCGATGTGGGGTGATACGACTCGAAGTCCAGGTATCTACCGGTGTGCGTAGGTTTTCGGTATACCGCGAAGCTGAGCGCGTCAGAAGCTCTCCTGACGCTCACATCCAGAAACGGGAGCACGGGGCACTCTTTCTCCCTCGACGAGACTCAGATCGTGGCCACCGAGGGACATTGGAGGAAACGCCTTCATCTAGAGTCCTGGTTTATCCAAACAACGAGTAAGAACGTGAACCGGTCCAAGGGCACTCTCCCGAGCGCGTACGTGTCTGGACTTCGCGCCCTCTGGGGTAAACCTTAGCAAGGTCAAACGCCCGGGCAACCTTTCACACCGCGCCCCCTCCCCCGCGCCCTCTGGGTTAAGCCTCAGCAAGGCCAACCACCTGGGCAACCTTCCCCACCGCGCCCCCCACCTACAGTCACCCGTGACCAAGGGACCGAGCGGGTCCCGAAACGTCGGGTTTATGTGTTTTTAAATAAAACTTTGGTTAGTGTCCGCAAAAACTGTCAATTTCTTCCTAACCAGACAGACCTCTGTCAAAAATGTTTACTTTTAAATATCTATGCGATGACTACGGTCCGGACGCGGTGAAGCTTGCAAAGAGGTTTGTGCACGCCAATCGCACGACCGCCAATTTCAAGACCCACCTCACTTTTAACAAGACCTGCAAGGAGCTCAACCTGATTCCCAAGAGCCTGCGGCTGAAGCGCCTGGTGAGCTCATCCGAGGGGCACAGGGTCATCGATCAAGCGGAACGCCGTCTTCTCGACGCCCGCATCCATGAGTGCCGAGAGAACGTCAAAAGAAGGGAACTCGACCTTTTCTTCTTGCGAAGACAGCTGGAATTCAAGATACCGGAGGCCTTCCACGCCCTTGATGATTTCGCCCGGTCCACGGCTATCACCGCTACGCAGGAAAGAACTTACGAACATCAGAAGAAGATCGCGGCTCTCCGGCAGAAATCGTCACCTAGCGTCTGCCGGAGTAACAGCAACTTCGTGAGGAACTTGTCTTCAAGGGTGCTCTCGCCGACAGAAACATCCGTGCTGACAAAAGGACACGGGTTCAACATCCCAAGTAAGCCTCCAATTCCCGCTATGGCGGCCGCCATTGAAGACGGCATTCGTAAACTGGACCCATCTCTGCAAGAAGAGGTTCGGCTTAAGGCTATCGGGGCTATCGCACAGGTGCGCCGTCGCCAGAATAACATTTCGTCCGCCGAACACCGCGCCCTGCGTAGCCTGAAGGAAGACGACGCCATCGTGGTTCTGCCCGCAGACAAAGGCAACGCAACGGTGGTCCTGGACAAGAGCTCCTACATCCGCAAGGTGACGGATATGCTCTCCACGTCGGCGTACGCGCCCCTACAAAAAGACCCCACCGGCAAGATCCAGAATACCATAAACAGGGCCCTGTCTATCATTTTCAAAGAGCACCCGGATTCACGCAGCCTTTATCTTAGGTTAATTTGTCGCAACGGGTCCGCTCCCGCTTTGTACGGTCTACCAAAAATCCACAAGCCCGAGGTCCCCCTCCGCCCCATTGTGGACTTCACTACTTCCCCACTGTACGTGCAGTTTCGGCGTACCTGCACCAGCTCATCTCCCCCCTTACTGGCACCACGGACACATACCTGCGAGATTCGAGTCACTTCATCGATCTCGTCAAAGGACTAAAGGTGAACGCCGACGAATCTCTGGTTTCCTTTGACGTCGTGTCACTCTTCACGAGTGTGCCGGTGCCCCTGGCACTTTCTGTGGCCAGGACGGCCCTTTCCGCCGATTCCGGGTTAGCAGAACGAACCTGTCTGTCCGTGGACGAAATCTGCCGCCTTCTGGAGCTGTGTCTCTCGAGCACATACTTCTCGTTCAATGGACGCTTCTACAAGCAAACGAGTGGAACTGCCATGGGAGCTGCGATCTCCGTTACCATGGCCAACCTCACGATGGAGTACATCGAACAAAAAGCTCTTTCTTGCTTTAATCCAAAGCCCAAGACCTTCCTCCGGTATGTGGATGATTGTTTCTGCATCGTCGAAGCCAGTGAGGTTGAGCGCCTGTGCCAGTGTTTGAACTCCGTTGAACCGTCGATTCAGTTCACGGTGGAGCGAGAGACGGACGGCGTGCTCCCGTTTCTGGATGTGAGCGTCAGGAGAGCTTCTGACGCGCTCAGCTTCGCGGTATACCGAAAACCTAAGCACACCGGTAGATACCTGGACTTCGAGTCGTATCACCCCACATCGCACAAGGCCTCAGTGGTCAGCGCCCTTTTCCGACGGGCGCTGTCCGTGTGTTCTACGGAGGAGGCCCTACGAGAAGAAGTTAAGAAGATCAAAGCTGATCTAGTTAACAATGGTTACCCAAAGCGGTTCATTAACGACATCTACAAACGCCTACGCCGCCCCCCTGTGACTCCGACCTCGAGACCGTCTAATCGGATCTGTCTCCCTTATGTGAAAAATGTGAGTGAGACCGTCGGACGCGTCCTTCGGAAACACGGCATCGCCGTCTCCCACAAGCCCGTGTCTACCATCCGTCGGCGGCTTCCTCTCCCCAAAGACAGACCAGGAAGGGAAAGGGCTCAAGGCCTCGTGTACCGCGTGCCGTGCGCGGATTGCCCGGTCGCTTATGTGGGGGAAACAAAAAAACTTCCCGGA